GCTACGGTCAGACAAGAAGAGCTAGACATACTTCCATATCCATACCCTCCAACATTTCTCTGATGACAATAGGGACGTCCCATTCCATAATGATAATTTTACTATTTATACCCCACACATCTTACTGGGTTCCCCCAGCCACTGTGGGAAGCTTCCAACATATATAAAAACATAATAAAACATTTTAAAACTTCCCTATACAGGATTGCCTTCAGACAGCTCGGGGGTTGGATAACTCCATACCCTCCAACATTTCTCCATTGAAAATAGGGACACCCTGAGGAAAAGTGGGACATTCTGGGATCAAATCAGAAACTTCTCTAAATCAGGAACGTTCCTGGAAAAAGGGGCACTTGGAGGGTCTGCATATCACATTGTTTCCACCCATCCTCATACCCCTAAACAGCAAAGTGGATTGTTTCCTCAAAATCTGTTTCCTTTCTTCACTTCACTTTCTACCACTGAATGATGAAACAATTTGCCAGCTCATTGCTTTCTTGCAATCTCTAAAGTCTGGTCCCACAACAGGTCACCCCTGCAAAGTTTTCCATTTAAAATCCAACATTGGGGGGGGGGTGGAACTGCTGTGTGGCCAAAATGACTACTGTTGTGTTTGGCTTGGCTTGCTCTTTGCATTTTCAATTCATAGCAATGAAAGGCATTTTTTAGCATTTTTTAGCGGAAGCGTTCTGCTCTGAGCCCTCCATCTGCCCTCCCCTCTTGACCTCTTGCAACAGAAATTTCTCCAGTGTTTTTGAAATTTACCACTATGACCATGCTTTGCATTTATTATACCTTTATTGTAACTTGTGATTAAAAACAAGGGTTAAAAAATTGGAGCGGACTTTGCAAGAGGATCCCTCCCCCTTTAATCACTTTGTAGTTGGAGAGCAGTTGTTCAAGGGATGTATAATGTGTTCCTGTCTTGTACATCCAACTTACATTCATTTAAAGGTCTGCAGTGTGGGCCTGCAGATGTATGAAAAGCAAAGCATCAGCCTCGTAAGCTTCTCTTCTCGAAAGGCCTTTTAAAAATCCCATTAGCTTAATTGTGTGCGTCAGTGTTGTCACTGAACAGAGAGCTCAAACAGCATGGGAATGGGATTAGGATTTAGCTGTCAACCATCCCTCCATACCCTCCATTCCCTAGCATAAAAAATAAATACACTCTTTTGCACTTATAACATGGGTATTTTCACACCAAGGATCCTTGCCCCTGACTATTACATATTGCAAAAGATTCAACTCAGCCCTTTCCCAGGCATACATAAAAGCCATTTGGGGGTTTGTCCTTTTTATCAAAGCCATGTTGGAAAATCCACAAATGTCCTACGCCAGCAGCTCAAAGCGAACCTTGCCAGCTGCAGCCGCCAAAAAAGTAGGTTGTACATAATAGGGCGTTTCTGTTTGGTGTGGTTTTTCTAAAGGCCACTTAAAAACAAACATTTTATTAAATCCTGGGATAAACGTAAGAGCTTACAATGTTTGGGTTCCCCCGGGGCCTTGTTCTAGGCCAGCCCTTCTGAATGTCTGTTACATGCAATTTAAAGAAAAAGAACTTGTACCCAGACACAACTCAGAGAGCCAAGTTACAGGTTATGTCAATTATGTACTTGCGCCCTAAGTACAAGGTCTACCCCCCCCTCCCCGCAAGTTGCCAAGACAGAGGCCCCAATCTGGATGATGATGATGATGATAATTATATGCCACCTATCTAACTGCCCCAGCTACTCTGGGTGGCTTCTAAGGAGGATCAGGACCTTATCAAAGAGGGTAGGAGGCTTTAATCCTTTGTCCCCCGATGTGCCCTACACCCTGCAATCTTCAAAAGGAAAAGGCTCCTGTTGTTAATTTTATATATATTTTATGAATGCGGCAGTACTTTGTAAATCCTATAAAATGACTTTTGTTGTAAATATGCTGATTAGCTTTGTTGTTGTTTTGCTTTGTGTTATGTAGATTGTAATCGGTTTACTGATGATTTGTAATCATTATACTGATGATTTGTTAATTATTCTGTGTGATTTGTGTCGTATTTGTGATGGTCTATTCTGCTATTTTTATTTTTTGTTTGTAAGCCGCTATGCGGTTCATGTGAATGAAAAGCGGCAAAGAAATACCTATAATAAATCAATTAAATCAAATCAGGCATCATAGGCAAGTTGGCCTCTTGATGATAGAACCATGGAAGGCCACTTTGCTTATAACAAACCCAAAGAAAAAAGCAGCATTGTGGGCAGGAACTGGAAAGTCAAGGAAGAAGGGTGAGATAAGGAAGCAAATCGGCAGAGAGCTCAGGAAGGGTCATTATAAAGGAAGACAGGCCTGAGAAACAGCAACGTAAATGAAGGATATGTGCAAGAGGAAAAGAGGGGACAGTGAAAAGTTTGTGCACAGGAAGGATAGTTTTATTCATGGTCACCAATTCACCACCAGTATTCGGATGACCTGCTTGCTGTTGCACAGATTAGGCAACAAGGGTAGCAAGGTAACAAAACTGGTTGACTGGATGGGTTGTTACGGGTCTTCAAAGCTCCCCAAGATGAATCTTCTTTATCTAGTTCGTTAGTTTTGGAAGCAAAAATGGCTACACAGTTGGTTTTTTAATTGATCACGTGAGAAAGCATAGCCCACAAAGGTTAACTGGTCAGAAGCTCATTTCTGTCAGGGTTTTTTTTTGCAGATGCAAATCCAAACCCCAACTATCTTCTTTTTCTGCAAACTCTTATTTGTGCAATACCTGGCCAACACACTGCAGAGAACACTGTGACTTTGTGGAAATTAAATATTCACCTTAGATCAATCAATGTTTTCTGTTTATCCATGATGTTTGGGTAATGAAGTAATATCTGCTCAGCTGTCAGAAACCACTTGAAAGCAAGGCTGCATTTCTCAAAATATGTTTCCACAAGGTGTGGGAACCTAAACAGATTCAGACCGTTGGCAGCGAGAAAGGATCAATTGGGATTATGATAAAAATTATAAAAATGTAATATGGGGAAGTTAATAATTGCTAGGCTAAGGCAGGATGTTAGGAATGCTCAAAGACCCTGATTTTAGTGAGGGTCATCATTAATTCGTACACCACAAATCTGTATGTGTGAATCTCTGCCAAAGGTGCCAAAAAAAACCCCCCACCTGTGCACCTTGACATTAGATGGGAACACAATTTGTGGCAAAATGTCTCAGGCTGGTCCTGGTGACTAATTATCAACCTGCTATGAAAAATGATGAAAAATCATAATTCAATATAAGAAAAAATTGTAGAAGAGAATTTGTGCCACAGCGATTCAAATATCTTGGCATGAGGTTATAATTCTAAAATAGAATTAGCTCTCCAGAGGCAAGTACACACCATGTACCTTCCCCATTACCCAGTTCATTGGATGGTTAATTATAATAACCTAAGGTTACCAGATTTTTATCAATGAATCCAGGGACAATTTTCAACTTCAGTAGGAACGATAGGATTTTGTCAGGGGACTGATTTGTAAATCTGGGGACTGTCCCTGGGAAACAGGGACGTCTGGTAACGTTATAATAACCTATGTTCTAGAAAGGCTATAGATCACGACACAAAGTGATCTATTTTGAGATCATGACTCAGATAAGCATCTGCTTCCAGGTAGATGCTTATTGTGGAATGGGGGGTTCTCACGCAAGCAAGTTTTTCAGAGGGTCTACATGATTGGCATCAAAATGCCAGCCTGTATTTGCCCTCACCCCACGTAATCTGGAATTACTTATTCTGAGGGAAATCCAATAAATTAGCAAAAAAACACAACCCACCCCTGTTGCCAATGAACCATTTATGATATCTGAATTATTATTATTATTATCATCATCATCATCATCATCATCATTTGTTAAATTTGTATTCAGTCTGAAGATCACAGGGCAGTTCACAGCGTGAAACTAGAAAACGAGAACACAGGATACACGATAAAACAAAACAAATTATCTCCCTCTTCCCACAAACACATTTAAAAGGAGGTAGGATGTTAATCAGCCAAAGGCCTGGTTGAAGAAGAGCGTTTTCCCCCTGCGCCTAAAGATGTATAATGAAAGTGCCAGATAAGCTTCCCTGGGGACAGCATTCCACTCCACAGAAAAAGCCTCTTCTCATGTTGCCACCCTCCCGGCCTCTTGTCGAGGAGGCACACAAAGAAGGGCCTCAGGTGGCGATCGCAGGGACTGGGTCGGATCATATTACCTGTTTATGACAATAAGCGTATCTGGAAGCACTTGGAGTTCACTCCCGGATTAAATTCATTACCATGGTCCGGTTTTGGGAGACCCTTAGTGCCCCCTGCCCCCATGCCTTTCCTCTTTGCTCATTCAGTGGCTCCCTGCCAGGGTGCCCAGCGGGAGAGGCCAAGCAGAGGCGGCGGCTTCTGGTCTGCCTTTCTACTTGCTCAGGTGCAAGCCCATGCAGCCAGGTACACTTGCTCTGAGCCTCGAAGGGCTAAGCTGGCTGCGGGGTGTGTGTGTGTGCTTTTTCGTTTGAGTTTATAACTTTATTCTAACAAGACTGCTGCCCTGAGCCTCAAGCAAGCTCTCTGGACAGTGTAATGCTTGGTCCTGGTCCTGCTGTGCTACCCAAAAGGAGTGTCTGGAATGCCTCCAGCTGCCTGAATGCTCTCCAGTGCCCTGGAGAGGACCAGTCTAGGCCCACTTTCCAACTCTGGGAGAGAGTGGAGGCAGCAGCCACCGTCCCTTGCATCTCTTGGTGGTGCAGAAATTGGCACTGAGTGCACTATGCCCTGTTGCCTCTGCCTCGCCACCCAGAGGGAGAAGAGAACAGAGACAGCGGCTGTTCTTTGCAGCTGCCTCTCCCGTTTGCTTGTCTGAATAGGAGACCAAAGAGCAGCGGACTATGGGGAGTAGCTGCCATCATCTCTGGCCTCTCTCTGGGCAGCGCAGTGATCGGGGTTTGGCTTTAATTATTATTATTATAAATTTTATTTATACCCCGCCCTCCCCGGCCAGAGCCAGGCTCAGGGCGGCTAACACCAGTAAACTTACAGTAAAAACATAATAGGAAAAAAACCCACCAATTTAAAATACAGGTTTAACAGGCCCAATCTTCCTCTCCTTACCACCTCGAAGGGTAGAGTGGAGACAGCTGCTTTTTGCAGTTATGGACACTGGGGCTGAAGAAGAAGAAGAAGAAGAGGAAGAAGAAGAAGAAGAAGAAGAAGAAGAAGACGAAGAAGAAGAAGAATTTGGATCTGATATCCCGCTTTATCACTACCCTAAAGAGTCTCAAAGCAGCTAACAATCTTTCTCTTCCTCTCCCACAACAAACACTCTGTGAGGTGAGTGAGGCTGAGAGACTTCAGAGAAGTGTGACTAGCCGAAGGCCACCCAGCAGCTGCATGTGGAAGAGTGGGGAAGCGAACCCAGTTCACCAGATTACGAGTCTACCACTCTTAACCACCTACACTACACTGGCTCTCTCCCAAGCGATGGCCAACCATAGGACCACAGGAAGCTGCCTTGCACTTGGTCCACCCATCTCTGTATTGCCAAACACTGACTAGAAGTGGCTCTCCAGAGCTTCAGGAAGAGGAAGCTGGGGATGTAGACAGGGACCTTGCACATTCAAGGCAGGCGCTCTCCTCATGGAGCAATGACTCTTCCCCATCATAAAGGTAAAGGGACCCCTGACCGTTAGGTCCAGTCGTGGCCGACTCTGGGGTTGCGGTGCTCATCTCACTTTATTGGCCGAGGGAGCTGGCGTACAGCTTCCAGGTCATGCGGCCAGCATGACTAAGCCGCTTCTGGCGAACCAGAGCAGCGCACGGAAACGCCGTTTACCTTCCCGCCGGAGCGGTACCTATTTATCTACTTGCACTTGACGTGCTTTCAAACTGCTAGGTTGGCAGGAGCTGGGACCGAGCAACGGGAGCTCACCCCATCGTGGGGATTCGAACCGCAGACCTTCTGATTGGGAAGCCGTAGGCTCTGTGGTTTAACCCACAGCGCCACTCGCATTCCCCATCATAGAATCATATCATTGTAGAGTTGGATGGGATCTCAAGGGTCGTCTAGCCCAACTCCCTGCAATGCAGGAATCACAGCTTCTTCACCCAAATGAAAAATGCTAAGAGGAACTTTTTGCTTCCGGAGGCAATAATAATAATTTTTTCTTTATACCCCGCCCTCACCAGCCAAGACCGGGCTCAGGGCAGCTAACAACCAATAATAAAAACAATCATAGCCGCTTCTTGCCACTGTCGTGCGGGGGCACCGAAGGCACAGCCACCTCGGCTCGCCTGCCGGCTCTCTCCCTCCAGGTGGGTCCAGTTCCCCTTGCTTGTCTGCTTTGGGGGCTGCGGGCGGGGAAGAGGGGGGGCTGCTTCCAGAAGCTCCTCCAAAACCTCCCCGGGGCTTCTTCCGCCTGACAGTGGCGGCTGCTGCTCCTCCGTGACGCCCAGTTAGGGGGCAGCGCCCCCGGGGCGTCCTCCGCGGCCATCCAAGTGGCGCCAACCTGGGAGCGGGCTCCGCCGCTCGCCGCAGCTGACGCACGAATGTGGCCCGCACTGCTAGCAGGGAATCCCTTCTCGGATTGGATGGGATTCCACGGGATGAGCGGCGATTGGGCCCTCGCAGCCGAATGAAGGGGTCGAACGCCGAGGGCCCGCAAAGGGCCGCACCATTGCGGACCACGATATTTGCACAGTTCGCCTTGGACCACAGGACCATCCTTTGACCTTTCTCCTGCTTTTTCAAACCACCCTGCAAATAGAGGACCGTCAGGCTTTTAATAATAATAATAATAATAATAATAATAATAATAATTTAGGAGTTTCTTATTTTAAAAGCGTCCGGCCATTCAAATGCGCCCCCCACCCCCGTCTCCAGAAGTGGTTCGGCCTCATTACGCCCCCCCCCCCGGCGATTCTCTGCCAGCCGCTTCATTCCGCTTCCACGCGCCTCGGATAGAAGGTGACGCGCGCCTCTACCTTCTGTCGCCTCCGTCACCATTTATGGGGAAAAACAGGAGGAGACCGGAGGCGCCCAAAATAAAACTGTAACGGCATTCATCACTCCGCCTCCCCGGTGGGATCCCGCGCGGGAGGCCGGGCGAACGGCGAGCCGAGGGGGAAAGTCTGCCTTGCCGCCCCGGCTGACTGGCAGCAGCTTCAAAGCGCCGTCGCCGCGCCCGCCCCCGGCCAGCCGAGTTGGCTCCACCCTCCCGACAACTCCCCCCCCCCGTTTCTTGCTTCTTTTTCGGAGTCCGGGGTTCAGCCCCTCCACTCGCAGCGCAATGAGCTGTACCAAAGAAGAGGGGAGGGGGCGCGTGTGAGGGGAGGAGCCTTCCGCGTGGGAAGGGGCGGCGGGAGCAGCTGAGCCCAGAGCGCCTTCGCCTTGCATCAGCCGGCTTGGGTGGGAGAGGCGAGGAGCCGAGCCGGGCGCCGCTGCCCACCTTGCTTGCGCCTCTCAGCTGCTTCGGCCGGCCAGCGCCGCGCGTAAAAGGCGCAGTGAGGGCGCGCGCGACGCTGGGCGAGGGGAGGCTGTCGCTCCGGCCGGGAAGGGCGAGCAGCGCTGAGGAAAAGCTCCCGCAGCGCGCCGGGCAGCGTCCCTCGTCGCCGGGCAGCATGGAGAAGCCCGACGAGAGCCGGAACGGCTACCTGGAGGCGACGGTGGTGTCGGGCTTGGAGGCCGGGGAGGAGGCGGCGCGTCGGCCCCGCCTGAAGCTCTTCCAGCTGCGCGGCTTGGGGGGCTTCCTGCGGAGGAACTGCATGGTGATCCTGACGGTGTCCGGGGTGCTCCTCGGCGTGGCCATGGGCACCCTGGTGCGGCGCCTGCACCTCGGCCCGGCGCACGTCGCCTACCTGGCCTTCCCGGGGGAGATGCTGCTCCGCATGCTCAAGATGATCATCCTGCCGCTGGTGGTGTGCAGCCTGGTCTCGGGCGCCGCCAGCCTCGACACCCGCTCGCTGGGCAAGCTGGGCGGCATCGCCGTCGCCTACTTCTTGGTCACCACCCTGCTGGCCGCAGCCCTCGCCGTCGCCCTGGCCTTCATCGTCAAACCCGGCGTGGGCGCCGGCAACCTCAACAAGAACTCGCTGGGCTTGGATGACACCGCGCCCAGCGGCAAGGACACGGTGGACTCTTTCCTGGACCTGGCGAGGTAAGGAGCAAACTCAGGAATGCCACGTGTGTTGTCTTCCTGGCTCATAGTCTCCCGTTTTGGGAGCGTAGCATCTATGCGGGGTTTCTTCAAAAAAAAGCCCTTTGCTAACCTAGTGCGCTTTCTGCCAGACTCCGTGGAACTCCAGACGTGACTGACATTTCGAGATTAGAACCCTGGACATTCCTGCTGGTTAAAAAAATGAAGTGACACCCGCACCCTAGGCTTCTGTCATCAAGCCTTCCTCTCTGGGCAGTTTGTTAATAGTTAGAAACCTTGGTCTTCGTAAAAGGTACTTGGAGCTAGGGAACTCGTGTGTTGCTATGAGTGGCAGTTATTCAGATTAAGAGAATTAAATAAGGATTTGAGAGCTTGGTTCTAGAAAGGTGGCCAGTGCATAGGTGCTTGTACTTCAGCTTTTTATTGCACACGGGTGCATGGTCAGCGCAATCTAAAGGCCAAAATGGGCAGGACTGAGCAGGATTAAGCCAGGCACCCCCAAACTCCAGCTGTTTTGGGACTGCAACTTACATCATCCCTAGCTGACAGGACCAGTGGTCAGGGATGGTGGGAGTTGTAGTCCCAAAACAGCTGGAGGGCCGAGTTTGGGGATGCCTGATTAAGCTCTTTGTGCTTTCAAGCGTTTCATGGTCCAATAAACTTTGGCAAAAATTCATGTTGGTTTACAGAAGAGTATTGCTAAAGAAGCATTCATTTTAATGCTAACTCGGAGCGGAGGCAGCATTTCTCTGTTGAAGCAAAAATAACAATGTCTTGTGACACATTAAAGTTTAAGTTGAACACTAACAGATTTTTTTGTGGCATGAACTGTTAATGGATCAGAGTCTGCTTCCACTCATGAACCATATCCTGGGTTGGAAGAGAGAGAGAGAGAGAGCTATAATAACCAGGGGATAGGATAGGGCTTGGTCAAGTTATTGTTTATATCTGAATGGCCAACATCTGGTTTTGGAAACATCGTGTGCTTTTTTATCTGTATTATTATCTGTATTGTTTTAATGCTTCTGACTTGTGATTCTCATTATGTGTCTCATAGTTTATCTCCTTTGTTGTGGTTGGATTGTATCTTGTGGAGGTTTAAGCTTTTGGCACCTGTTCCCTCTGGAAGAGTGGAAGATCTATTAACATGGTCCACTGAAGTCTTTGGAGAGTTTTTCCAGATAGAGTGGCAGATGCTGCTTTGAAGCCCTAGTTCTTCTCTGGATCGGAGAGACCCGATGCATCCTCTTCCACTGAGCAGATCCAAGGCTTGGTTTGTACCTGAGCTGAGGGCTATGATGCTAGTCAAAGATGGCAGAAAAGCAAGTGGAGCAAAATGCATGATGAATTGGGTTGAACCCAAGTGACAGCCTATTATCAGGCCTACTCATGGTAGTGACAGAAGCAAATAAACTATTATCCGCCCCTATAGTTTTCTCAGTGTCATCAAAATGAGCTTTCTCTGGTGTTGTGGGACCTTTTGCAATCGGGGCAGGGTGGGGGAATTTCATAGAAGTCTGGGTAGCAATGCAGTAATGCATTTGCAAGACACTGTGAAGGTCTTGCATATCTATCAGGTATCCTGTCATTTATTGTGAAAAATTATATTTTGATGCATCCCTCCCCCCGAAACCAGCTTGATGTGACCTGAGAAATAGAATGACATAGCTGTGTTTTAAGCTGGTAATGTGTACGCAGCCGTAGATGAAACAGGTTGTGTGGTAATGGAATGAATGAAGGTCTCACAGCACAATCCTAAAAGCACGTCTACTCAGAAGTTTATTCACCTTTCTCTATTTTTCTCTATTTCTCTCTCCCCTCCCCTTCTTTTTTCTTTCTTTTCCTCTGGATCTATATTTTTATTTTATCTAGATTAATGTTTTAGTCTGGACAAACAAAAATGTTAATAACTTTTGTATCTCTTTTTATGAAATCTAATAAAATGTATTCAGGCAAAAGAGAAGTTTATTCATCTCCATTCAATGCATTACCATATCCAAGCCCTGATTCTGACCATTCACAGACTTGCTTGCATCTGATAGAAAAGAGACACAGCTGGGGTTTGTTCATGTATTGGTGACACCTTGACTCAAATCTCTGGATGACTTCTCTCAGATATTAAACAACATAAGGCAGGTGCGCCAAGTTGCCCTCAACATGGGGGGGGCATTGTATGCTCATGACGTCACACATGTGCTGCCCCCCAACCTGGCCTGGCCAATACGGCCCCCGTCAGCTGTCTCGCCTTTTGTTTGCCACCGCAGGGCTGAGGCCACCTCCGCAGGTTACCTTTTGTGAAAGGGACCTTTTGAGGATCGCCACAGAATTTGGGGTGGGACCAGTCTTGAAAATATGGGGGGATGACACCCTTGCCCCCAGGTGGCACTCCTGGAAATAATTCATCTGTGTAGGATCCAAGGGGATGAGCAACAGTGCATCTTCCTTGTCCCAGGTAACAGGTTAGGATTTCAGTCTCAGTCCTGACAAGACAGATCTACTATTGGTGGGTGGTTGGCCTTCTGGGTGAGTGATACTCATACTGTTCTGGAAGTGGTGGTACTCTCCCCCTAAAAGATCAGGTCTGCAGTTTGGGAATCCTGCATTGTCCTTAAGCACTCAAAGCATATTTTATCAGCTTCAGTTGGGCGCCAGCTGCGACCATATCTGGCTTAAGATAGTGTAGTCACAGTTAACCTAACCTAACCTTCCACTTAGGTTGCTAACAGACTATTGCTATTTTATTTGGGACAGTGCTGGATTAAACCCTCTGGAGGTCCCTAGGCAGTTGAAATCTCAGGGCCCCCTTCATGTGCACTCTCTAGTGGGATAACATTGAACTAAGAAAGCTTGATTGTAATTTTCTTTCACAATAAAATTAATATTGTTGTGATCTGCTGTCACAGGGGTACTAAACAGTGTGGGGCCCACAGGCCAGTGCCTACTTTGCTTATTTGGTAATCCAGCACCGATTTGGGGATCCAGTTATATACCAGCAAATTCAGGTTGCACAATTAGAGTTGGTTGGGAGGTCTTATGCAACAAACCCGCTTCCTCAAAATATCAGACTTTTTGAGATAAGGAAAACTGGGGAAAGTGGGAGATAACACTTCCATTTATTTATCATCATCTAACTCTCCCCTCCAATAAATCAGAACAAATGTCTATTAAATAGCCAATGTTTTCTTATGTCCCTGCAAATAAATTTGGATGAAAATGAACAGGTCAGGTGAAAGTGTGCTTAGACTTTTGTAATGTGTTGCACTTGGGGCTGCCTTTGAAAATGGATCAGAAGCAGAGGTTGGCTCAACCTAGAGCAGCAAGATTACTGACTGGGTGGTTTGACCATGCTAAGCCTGAACTTTAACAGCTGCACTGGCTACCAGTCAGTTTCTGGGCCTGATTTTAACTGCCAGATTTAACCTATAAAGCCCTAGAGTGTTTAGGACCAGGTTGCCTGAAAGGCTACCTCTTGCTTCATATTTCTTAATTTAACATTCCCTATGCTTGATAGCCTGCCTAAACAACCCATTTCTCGCTGTCTCTTTGAAGTGTCAGGGTATATTAGCCACATATCACACTTGAGAACAGCATTTTGTATGTGTAAAATTCTGAACTCTACCCATTTTTCCAAATAACATGTGGTTTACTTGTGTTCGCAATTTGTTCTGTGATAAACTTGAGGCATTAGTTGAATGCTTTGGGGGCTATTTTCCTTTTCGTTTGTTTGCTTAGCCTCAGATTAACTGTTTTTGTGAAAACTTGTTTCAGAATGTGTTGTCATCGCACTCAGAATCTACCTGCTCTGCTTCATTGGCTGCTGCCTTTGGGGGCAGGAAAACTGCCATTTCTTCACACATTTTTGTTTATTATATGCTATTGTGAGAGAGAAGAGTTGGTGACGGGCCATTGTTTTCAGTAGCACTCATGCATCTCCTGTGTTACCTAGTTCCTGCCCGACAGCTTTTGATGCTTAATTGTTAACTGGGGCACATTGATTTATAGTGAGATAACCATATCAGATATTGATTTTGTACTTGCTAGGGAATAAAAACCCTGCTGAATGCAGTAGTGCCTATGTCTGAATAAACATGTGGAGCAGAGCTTTTCAAACTGTGTGTTGTGACCTGTTAGTGTGTCGGCTGCAGTGTGCAGACATGTCGCACGAATGCTCCCCGTGATCCTCCTGGGGCTGGAAAGGGGTTAGCTTAACCTCCGGTTTGCTGGTAAAACTGAATTACTGTGTTGCTAAATGACACATGCCTAAAAAGTGTGTCACCAACACGGAAAGGTTGGAAAACTCTGATGTAGAAGGTTGCATTTCTGCCTGTGCAGTCAGGTAAAATCAGCTCAAATGGACTTTTAGAAGTGTCTCCAATTTGTCATTTAGCACCCTATACCGCAGCCAATGTTGTCCACTCAAAGTAGAAGGTGTTTCCTTTTTTTTTTTTAACTTAACATTCCCGGACCATCCTGAGGCCAGATTTAGAAGGCAATTGGGCCAGATCTGGCCCCCAGACCTTAGTTTGCCTACCCATGATTTATACCCTGCCTTTCCCCCGATAGGGCTCAAGGCAGCTTAAAGATAAAAATAAGAACTGTTAAAAACATACAAAAAGAAATCATTGAAAAAGGATTAAACATTGATAGAATTTAAAACATATATAAAATCTAGTAAAACCATACCAATAGTTACAATAAAAACAGCACAGCGCCATTTCATTAAAAGCAGCCAGTCCCGAAAAGCAGTCTTCACCTGCTGGCAGAAAGACAACAGGAAGGGAGTCAGCCTGGCTTTTTCAGGGATGGAGTTCCAAAGTCTGGGAGCAGCCGGCCCTCTCGTTTTCCCCACCAAGCATGCCGGGGAGGTGATGGGAGCATGAGAGGAGGCCTCCCGCAAAGAAAACCCAGGCGAGTTCATATGAAAGTATGTTGCTTTGAGCATAGAAAAGTAACTGATACATTTCTTTTCTTTTCTTTTAAATCAACTATGAACAGCACAAATTAGCTCCCTGTGTGTGTCTAGTTAGGCTGCAAAAATGGGTGGCAGCAGTGAATGTACGCAAAGCTCCAACGTTTTATGCAGCCAAAGAAGTTTGGGATTAGTTTAAAGAAACTTGTTTGGAATACATCTGAAAAATACAGTCTGATACATTTTGTAAAGTTTGAAATAGAACAATACTTCAAAACCCCTTCGTTTCTAGTGGAGTAGGGAAGAAAAGCAACAACAGGAATACTCAGACGCTGGCAGAAGCAGTTTTCTGGGTGGTTGTGTGCATGGCTGCTCATGGCTGTGGGAAAGCTCACTCAGTGTGAGTTGAGTAAAGAACGTGAGACCAGGCAGCTTATCTGTGGTTTAGATAATGGCTCTTCCCTTTGTCATACCAATCTCACTGGTTCACTTTATCTTTATACAATAGGTCCTGCAAGCTTATTGTTTTTCTTTCCACCGCTGTACAGTATATAGACTCCAGTCTCAGATTATGTTGTTGTTGTTGTTGTCAACTGAAGTTGTTTGCTCTGTGTGTGCCTCTTCTGGGATATACCTGCTCTCCCTGGTGAAGTGCGACCTGAGTTGTATGGGCTGTTGTGGAAGACGTGTGTACATCTGTACATGCAGAATTGGGCTGGTGGGTTCTAGATTACCAGATCTCATCTCACATGCTATCTTTGAATTACACAGCAAAGTTAAATGTAGCAGTAGTTGTAGTAATTATAATAACACAAAACGCCTAACCTTTTCTAAGACAGGCTGACCATCTAATACAGGCTTTCTCAACTTCGGCCCTCCAGATGTTTTTGGCCTACAACTCCCATGATCCCTAGCTAGCAGGACCAGTGGTCAGGGATGATGGGAATTGTAGTCTTTAGACATCTGGAGGGCCGAGGTTGAGGAAGCCTGATCTAATAGATAAGATACAGAAGGGGGAAGGAAGAGGGAAGGAAGTGGAAACCTGCGTTGATGTGGCTGCTTCTTTGCTGGCCAACAGATAGAGTCTTGTTGCCATGCTGAGTTGGAGCAGAGTGGCCTTCCTTGCAGATTGAGGCAGGACATTATTTGGAGAAGCATTAAGAAAAGTCTGGACTCGGTAGATCGGCCAAGGGACTAACCTAATGACATCTGTGGGATCTCAGGATGCCAGTTTGATGATGGCTCTTTTAAAAAAGTTGGATGTTCCATATGGTGGGGAGATGTCACGTGACAGTTTTGAGAAAATAGTTATTGATTCAGTTAGTTCATTCCTATATTCTGCAACGGCAAGTGTGTCTGCTGAGGCCTAATAAGATTGAGACAAGAAGTGATTATATGGCATTGTGCAACATTGTTAATGCTGAATTAATACTCTAATCCTACTATATAGGCATAATGTTGTACTAATGTGAAAAGAAATAATTAAGTTGATAAGCTGTCATTAAATTCTAATCTTTCTCTTTCTTCTCTTTTTCCTTTTTTTTGGTTCCTGCCCACCCAGAAACTTGTTCCCAGCAAATCTTGTTGCTGCAGCCTTTCGATCGGTAAGTTTCATATGCCTTTTCCTTTCTTTCTTTGGATTGAGATTTCTGAAGCATGTGACCAAGAAACGGAAAACAGAAACCCAACTCAGTTCCTAAGGGGATCATGTCTTTGATATGCTTTCACTGAGACATAATAGTACCTACAATTCTTTACCCTGGATGATTAAGAAAACAAATTATTATTATTATTATTATTATTATTAAAATCAAGGCAACTGATCATTTACTTGTTACTGTTTATATACCAGTTTAAGCAGTCACTGAATTTAACCCTTAGTGTGGTTCAACTAAGTATAGTAGTTCACTTATCAAGATGAATGAGGGGTTGCAGAAATATGTAGACTCAGATTTAAAAGAGGACTGTTTGCACAGATGTTGTGGAGGGCACAATGAATTTGGATATCTAGCAATTTCAACATGCTGAAGACAGACTAATGGAAGAATTTCAGCACGGAATTCTTTCTTTTTATCTAGTGCATAACCTCTTGATGAGAAGCTACCCACTAGCAATGCTACAATGGACATTCTGACATTACCATGATGTATTTCTGTGGCGCTGGCTATTTCAGAATTATTTTTCTCCCTTTCCTTGAACTGGAATATTATCTCACATATACATGACAGATCTCCCTCATGCAGCAGCTGCTGTCTGAGAACATTACCTCTGATTCCACAAATAATTCAATTTCCACCACTTATCAGAGGGTTGTTCAAGTCACCAAAACTACAGTTCTTACACAGCCTCCTTAATTCTGTAACATACTGATCAATAGTTTGCTTTTTGAATGCATATTTCTTTGCATCATTCTTTTTAGACATACTGTATTCTTCAAATTTATCAGTTATTTCTTTTAGTTTCATATTCTCACCCTTAGCAAACACAAAGTTAGCATATATGTTCAGTGTTCGCTCTTCCACTAGGGTTGCCATATTTTGAAGAGCAAAAAAGAGGACACATTCTCCGACTTCTACTTTTAACTACAGTGGTACCTTGGGTTAAGTACTTAATTCGTTCCGGAAGTCCGTTCTTAACCTGAAACTGTTCTTAACCTGAAGCACCACTTTAGCTAATGGGGCCTCCTGCTGCCGCCGCGCCGCCACTGCACGATTTGTGTTCTCATCCTGAAGCAAAGTTCTTAACCCGAGGTACTATTTCTGGGTTAGCGGAGTCTGTAACCTGAAGTGTCTGTAACCTGAAGCGTCTGTAACCCAAGGTACCACTGTACAGATCACTTTGACAACTCTAATTTTAAATACTCCTACTAAATGTAGGCTATAGAAGCTATGATATATATCGCTAGTAGCAATGTTCTTAACTTTTCAACAACAAAATAATAAGAATACATACAGTCATACCTCGAGTTGAATGTGCTTCGGGTTGAGCGCGTTCGAGTTGCGCTCCGCGGCAACCTGGAAGTAACGGAGCGCATTACTTCCGGGTTTCGCTGCTCGCGCATGCGCAGACGCTCAAAATGACGTCACGCGCGTGCGTGGAAGCGGTGAAACGTGACCCGCACAGGTGCAAACGCGCCATTGCGTCTTACGTTCCGTTCGGGATGCGAACGGGGCTCCAGAACGGATCCCGTTCGTATCCCGAGGTACCACTGTATTGCTCGCTCACTTGCCACATGAAAGTATTTGGGCTCATGTTCATATCTTTGTGAACATACGTGTGCACAGAACAATTTAGTAAACTGTTTAACATGTACAGATGTGCTCTCCCTAAGGGCAGGAGGAGGTTAACTCTTGCCCTCCCAGACTCCTTCCCCAAGATCTTGTAGCTGAGCCAATATCCTTTTAGCCACACGAGAAGGGATTTATACAGTACGTAGTTAGTTTAAGATGTTGCTCTGTTGTGATTCTCTGCTGCAGACTAGCTTAGCTGGGTGCCTTAGATCTGAGTCTAATGCACTAGAATTTTTTTCTTGGGCTACTGTAAACAAAAAAACCTGGACATTTTGCCAAATTTTAAAAATCTGCCCAGACAGAAATTTTAATCCTGGAAAAGATCACGTGACCTGGAAAAAGAGGACACATGGCAACCTTACACAACATGTAGAAAAGTTATTTGATGTTATCAGTTTTCTCTTCTTCTCCCATTGCTGCCAGGTAGAATTCAAACCTTTGTCTAAACCTTTTCCAATTTTCTGAAATATCCCCTCACGACTGCAGGCTTGGTGATAGTTGAAACATATTCATTCCTGTTTATAAGAATTCCTCCAATTTAGCAGCACTTACAGATATTGTTGCTTTCACTGGGTGTGGCTCCCAAAATTTCTTATCATTTGTTTCTAGCTGTACATCCAGAAAACTGCTTTCAGTTGATTTAGTTTGCTCCTCATTCTGCATTTCAGATGTCATGTAATTATTCTGGATCAACAGACAAACTAGAGGAATGAGTAACGGCTTGAAACAACTTTATTATTCAGAGACTCTAAAACAAACTTGTGCAGCAACTTCTATGCTTTGGAACTGTCTGAATCATGTGACCTTAGGGCAAATCTTCACATTACCAGCTTCTTAATACTGAACACTAATCTCTGAATTATAAACACTGTCATGACAGGTATAGCAAAAGAAGGTTCTTTTCAAAACTGCCCATCTGTGTAGATTCCAGAGTGATATTCAGTAAGGTACCCCTGCCCGTACGGGCCAGTTGTGTCCGACTCTAGGGTTGTGCGCCCATCTCACTTAAGAGGCCGGGGGCCAGCGCTGTCCGGAGACACTTCCGGGTCTCGTGGCCAGCGTGATGAAGCTGCTCTGGCGAGCCAGCACCAGCGCAGCACACGGAAACGCCGTTTACCTTCCCGCTATAAAGCAGTACCTATTTATCTACTTGCACTTAGGGGTGCTTTCGAACTGCTAGGTGGGCAGGAGCTGGGACCGAAAGACAGGAGCTCACCCCGCCGCGGGGATTTGAACCGCCGACCATGCGATCGGCAAGTCCTAGGCGCTGAGGTTTTACCCACAGCGCCACCCGCGTTCCTAATATTCAGTAAAGAACATACCAAAAATACAATACCCAAAAAGCAATAAAACAGCACCACTCATAACATGGAAGTTGCATTTTAAAAAGCCAGTTCATAACTTTAAAATGCCTAGACTAGAATTGTAAAGTGCAAGTAAGTTCTCATTGCCTTGAAGCTATGGTTGAAAAAACCACCCCTATTGTTGTCAGTTCATATACCAAAATATTGGGTTGACAATCTGATTGATTAGTTCATAATTCTAGTGATGCAGATGCCAGTTATTTTCCTTGTGGTCCCACTGCTTCAACAGTTCAATTTCCTGGTCTCCAATTTCTACAGTACTACTCCAGCTTTAATTATGTTCTATGCATAGCCTTGTCATTCCTCGTCCTAAACTCCCAATCAATAGCTTATATTTTTATAGCTCTCCCACATTCCTTAGACATGCAAAAGGGGTTACTTGGCTGCAGTTTGAGAAACCAAGTTTTATGTAGTTTCAGAACCCTTGCTCCATTAGCAGAAAAAGGTGCTAGTTTGCATGTGGCTCACTTTTTTATTTTGGGCATTTCATGGTGACAAGTCCTGGGAGTTTCTTCAAACTCCTCCTGTGTAATTCATGCTTCCCTCCTTGGTTTAGCATACATGCATTTAACATTCTGCCTATCACTTTTTTACATTTTTGTCAGCAAATACTAGCTCGATAAACTGCAGTCCTTTCTGTTAGCTAATGAAACAGCGTGGCTTTCATTCATGGATAAATGTGGGGTAGGGAGGCAAGGGGTGTGTGTGCTTGCTCTGCCTCCAAAATCATAAATCTGTTTATTTCTTTTAATGTACACAGACACATGCACACCCAGATAGTCAATAAGAGATTTAGAGTGACCTCTAAGGCCACTCCTATCGAGAATGGCTGGTGTTTTCTGCACTTTTCCTGGCCAGCAGGCAGCTCACAGCTCAGATGAATGCTGCTTGCTCTGATCTAATGATACTGCTTTGGCGATGTAAACAAAAGAATCATGGTGCCTTTTTGCAATTAGGTGAGGAGGTTGGGGGTGCTGTTGGACCTGACCCTGCTTTTTGAGGGGCAGATGTGGGCAGTGGCCAAGATTAGAAATCAAAAGTGCCAGCCAGCTGCTCCACAAATGACCAGCATCTTTTATTGGGAAATCACGTCAAAGTGCAAGTAGATCAATAGGTACCGCTCCGGCGGGAAGGTAAACGGTGTTTCCGTGCGCTGCTCTGGTTCGCCAGAAGCGGCTTAGTCATGCTGGCCACATGACCCAGAAGCTGTACGCCGGCTCCCTCAGCCAATAAAGCGAGATGAGCGCTCCAACCCCAGAGTCGGTCACAACTGGACTTAACTGTCAGGGATCCCTTTAGCTTTAAAATAATGTATTGGGAAACAGAAGCTTTGATTGGTTGAAGGTTGAAAGAAAAGTCTAAGGGCTCTCTGTATAAGGTTGCCATTGGAATGAAAGCAAAGAAGCAGAGCTGTTTTTATTTGTTTATCTATGGATATTATTTATTTCATAACACACACACATACTGCTTGAGTGTAAAAAAAAGAAAGAACCTCACAGCGGTTTACAAAGAAATATCCACAACTACTTCAAAAAGCAGAAGACAGTGAGCCCAGACACAAGCTGAATGTACTGCTTCCTCAGACATTGCACATGCGCCACCAGTGTGTCTCTGTCAAAAGAGCCAAATAATATGCAGGTACAGCCAAGGGCAGGGCAGGAGAACATCCCAACTGAAAATAGAGCACCTAATAGTGTTGCCATATTTAAAAAAATGAAAATCCGGACACAAAAGTTGTTGAGGCCCCCCCCCCTTTTTTCCAAATCTCCCCAAAAATTAATTGATGTTTTTGAGCTATTTTTAAGGAAATCCATCAAAGCCCGGAAATGTCCGGGAAATCCCAGGCATATGGCAGCCATAACCTACGATTGAATCACAGGAAAAGCTGGATATAGGGGACTACATATCGAAAGCAATGTTATTTATTTGTTGAATTTAAAAGATGTTTCACTTGCTCTTTAAGAAACATTTTTCACAAAGGGTCTTACAAAACACACATCAGAACACAACACAAAGATATTAAGAGAACAAAACTGACCTCTGAATATCAATAGAGCCTCATCAATGTGAGTAGCAGTTTCCAAAATTACATGTAAGAGATCTGAGATGTTTACAAGCTGTTTTAACAGTGAGCCGGTATATCTGTCTACCAGTGTACCAAATAGGACTCAGTTTATCCTTTTGCATTTACAGTATGCCACTGATTATAAAGCCATAGTAAGAAACGCAACTATCGGAAACGTTACCATTGAAAAGGTAAGCAATGGTTTTGTGTTAATTTCACCCTCTTCATACAAGATTTTGATTAGAATTAAATCTTCCTAAAGTCTTTATAAGATACATAATAACATAAGAGTGGCTGGGACAACCCAGCCAGATGGGTGAGGTATAAATTATTATTATTATTATTATTATTATTATTATTATTACTACTACTACTACTACTACTACTACTATTTATATAAATCCTAGGCATGCTTACAAACATAAATAACACTGAATTCAATGGGATTTGTTGCTAGGTCCAATGTATGTAAGATTGAATGTCAGGGCATGTTCAGAAGTAGCAGTGAAGAAAAGGCTCCTAGGCTACCTCTAGGCTTGAAATGGTAAAAGAAAACTATTTTGACAAATGTGTTAATTTTATTTGTACCAATGTGTGTGGTGGTTTCCCTTATTATATGTATGAAGCTCTGGATGTGAATTCCCAAGCTGCGTAGCGGTTTCCCTCAAACAGCTGCCCTCCAGATGTTTTAGAGTTTAGTTCCCAACATCCCTAATTATTGACCATGGTGGTGGGAGTTGTAGACCAAAGCATTGGAAAGGAACAAAAGCTGGGAAAGGCTGCTGTATAACAATGAATTTGCATACCTCTGTAATGATACATAGAATATTTAATCGAAATATTGATTTTTTTGTTTGTTAACAGTATATCACTGATTATAATGCAGTAGTGATAAATGGAACTTCTGTTGTTGGAAATGCTTCGATTGAAAAGGTAAGCAATCTTTTCACCTCTCACGTTTTAATTGATTAATTGTTTTAATTAATTAATTAACTAATTAACTAACTAACTAATTAACATTTTAATTAATTAATTAATTAAATTGTTTTCACCTCTCACGTTTTAAGGTTTCGCATAGATCTTAACATGTAAATGCTTCCTTTAGAGTTGGACTTTTGGCTTCAAAATGTGTGTGATTTTTTAAAAACTAAAGCACTCTCAGAGAACATTGTCTTTTAATCCTTTGTCAAACACAAGGGCAACCTCTATGCAGTGACCTGAGGCCATTCTTGCACCCCAAAAGTTGATGTTATTTAGTCGTGTCCGACTCTTCGTGAGCCCCTGGACCAGAGCACGCCAGGCACTCCTGTCTTCCACTGCCTCCCGCAGCTTGGTCAAATTCATGCTGGTCGCTTCGAGAACACTGTCCAACCATCTTGTCCTCTGTCGTCCCCTTCTCCTTGTGCCCTCCATCTTTCCCAACATCAGGGTCTTTTCCAGGGAGTCTTCTCTTCTCATGAGGTGGCCAAAGTATTGGAGCCTCAGCTTCAGGATCTGTCCTTCCAGTGAGCACTCAGGGCTGATTTCCTTCAGAATGGAGAGGTTTGAGGGATAGGCAAATCAGCCTGTTTCTTCGTTTGTGTCACTTAAAGGGGAAAAAGGCACATTTTCGCCCATTACTAGGGCTTGCTGATTGTGGAGGAGCAACCAGTGTGCTGGAGTCCCAGATCTTCTAGGAAATCATAAAACGACATGATGCTTCATATTTAGAGTCTAAAACTATATAAAACACATTTGTTAAAAGTTCAGTTGCTAAGGTTGTGCCATATTGGCCAGTTACATCAAAGCCATTGCCCTCTCTGTTTTGTGTCTCATAATGTGGGGGTGCCAGTCTGCTAAGCCCCCTTGGTCTGGTGGTGTTGCTGCTAAATGCCAGGTCTTTCGAGAACAAAACATCTGTTATCCATTATTTGTTTGCAGATGAGAGCGCTGGCTTGGCATGCATAACTGAAACCTGGGTGAATTGACTGGGTGGCCCCATTCTCAGGTGCTTGATGCAGCACCAGCCCAGTTTACGTCACTCATCCATAAACATTCCATATCCTTTCCCTGGAGACCTATCTGCACTGTGTCTGGGTGTGATGCCTTGTTTGTGGTGTTGGGCCAATGAGACAGAACAGGGATGTTGTTAGTGTACCATTCATCCCAACGCGCAACAAACTCCCAAACTAAGCTGCTGGTGGAAGTCTTGGATGTGGTGTTGGAGAATCCTTTCACGGTAGTTTTGGGGGACTTCAGTATCCATGCTGAGGCTGCCTCAGATGGGCCAGCTTGGGACTTGATGTGTCTTAGTATGATGTCCAGATACAATCAGAGTACAGTGGTACCTCGGTTTAAGAACAGCCCTGTTTACAAACTATTCTGTTTAAGAACTCTGCAAAACCAGAAGTAGTGTCCCAGTTAGCGAACTTTAACTCGGTCTACAAACGGAAGCTGAACGGTGGAAGGGCACCGGTGGCAGGAGTCCTCATTAGGGAAAGTGCGCCTTGGTTTAAGAACGGTTTTGGTTTAAGAACGAACTTCCGGAACGGATTAAGTTCGTACACCGAGGTACCACTGTAATAGGACTGTTTACATTCCAGTTCAGATGGCATATGTGAAAACTCTTAAGCTACAAAGGGCAAGAGCCAATATGTGCTGTACTGGGTTTATATTATATTTGAAACACACACACACTGAAACCATTTACCTCTTTTTGTTTTCTCTTGTAAGATTTTAATGTGGCTTTTGGACGCTTAATAATGTGGAATCCTTTTCTCATGTTTTGATCTCCTGGTGCTCTGGTATAATGGAGTCCTGTATACATTGAAAACACAGCATGATACGCCTTAGGCTGTCCCTGAAATCTGGCTAGCTGTTGCTGACTTTGAACAGTTTTCCTTTCTAGTTCTTGAATGTTTCATTTTGTTTCTTATTTTAAATAGTTTGTTTTTTGTTTTTTTTTACAATCAGAGCATCTCTAAGATATGAACAAAATATTTCTAAATAATCTCTGATTTGGCAGGTTATTGCCCCATGGATAGTTCTGTGTGTGTGTGTGTGTGTGTGTGTGTGTGTGTTTCCATGGGTTCTAGCATGGTGCCACATCAGCACTTGTTATGTGAACTGAGACCTCCAGGTACAGGGTGGTATATAAATTCAGTTAATAATAATAATAATATGGTCAATGTCTATTCAAAAATAAGTTCCTGAAGAGGTATGCTTAGGATTCTGATAGATGCAATCCGGCATTAGCCTGAAATGGATTGTAATGGGCAATATTCTATTTGATAATTGAGTTACCACTTTAGCAGAGCTGGATTCTTGGGACACATGGAAAAATGGAACATCTCAATTGAATAGACACCCACACACCCTGCCCTGATGTACAATGAACAATATAACATTTCACAAGCATGCCTGTGTTTTATTCTTGCTTTTGATTACCTCTCTTGATTATGTAAGTTTTGTTCAGACAACATATGCACCAATCAAACATATGGGGGCAATTTGGGTTTGTGCCTGCAGAACCCCCAATACATGCACAGTCACCCTAAACTCTGCACAGAGTTTACATGTGTGCAATATGTACACTTGCAGACTCCATTCAGACATTTATGTCTAATGCATGTGCAGGGCAGTGCGCACAATCAGAGTCGCTCAGTGTGCCTTTAGTCAATGCACATACAACACCGTCTTTCCTTTCAAAAAATTTAACCAGATATAGAAGTAATTCTTAACCTATTGGTCTGTATAGTCAGTCTATAGAGAAGAATATCAAGATGTCAACTATATGATAGCAATGGTCACTGCTGAATGGAGTAGTCTGTGACCACGTGGGATGAGTGGGAAGGGGTTGATCCTGTGACAAAGCACTAGCCCTTAAATTTTGAGATTGGGAACGAAGAAGGCTCTACTGTCTTTATTCTGAGCTCTCTTGGAAACAATATTTTCTGTTCAAGGTTTTACATTTGTGTCTAGAGACTGGCTGTTTCTAGTTGTCCCCTGGTGTTTCTACAATATTTTGCATGTATCTTCTATCCATTCTGTGACCTGCTGTAGTTCATATCAAAAGAGGGGGAAAGGGAAAACTGACCTAAAGATTTAATTTCATACAATTGGAGTTTAGCACTAATGTATTTAATATTACAACTATGTATTATTTCACAGTTCCCAGTTGGCACGGATATTGAAGGAATGAATATCTTGGGGCTGGTCCTCTTTTCTCTGGTTTTGGGAGTTGCCTTAAAAAAGCTTGGCACTGAAGGAGAAGAACTCATCCGTTTCTTTAATTCTTTCAACGAAGCAACCATGGTCTTAGTATCTTGGATTATGTGGTGAGTGTTCCTTGGGACAATCCTCTCTGGCAATTTTGTGTGTTACCATCAGCAAAAGTAGTACAAATCAGCTAAATATAGGCACAGGCCAACTTGGAGATTGCCCTGACCCAACAGGCTCTTCTTATGTTCTTATGTGATGGGTCTGGATTTATCAAAGCAGTATCGCATATCTTCTTTCTGTGCCCATGCAAATAAATTTTTTAGGGATTTCCTTTGGTGTTCCAGTACTGGGGAACGGGCAAAACTACATGTATACGTACCCACATAGACATTTCTAGTTTACAGGTATGAAGTCTGAACCAGCCTAAGAAGTATTAATGCAGTTCTTAGGGCAGCACACCATCTGCCTGTCTCCTTATAGGGCAGTACAGATGCCATATGAAATGCAGGATCTTTGAAATGTACAGGGGACCTGCTGCTACACTTGATCCTGTTATTTAAAATCTGCATCAGCCACTCTGGGCGGCTTCCAACAAAGATTAAGGTAAAGGTAAAGGGACCCCTGACCATTAGGTCCAGTCGTGACCGACTCTGGGGTTGCAGCGCTCATCTCGCTTTATTGGCTGAGGGAGCCAGCGTACAGCTTCTGGGTCATGTGGCCAGCATGACTAAGCCGCTTTTGGCGAACCAGAGCAGCGCACGGAAACGCCACTTACCTTCCTGCCAAGCGGTACCTATTTATCTACTTGCACTTTGACGTGCTTTCGAACTGCTAGGTTGGCAGGAGCAGGGACCGAGCAACGGGAGCTCACCCCGTCACGGGGATTCGAACCGCTGACCTTCTGATCGGCAAGTCCTAGGCTCTGTGGTTTAACCCACAGCACCACCCATGTCCCAACTCCAACAAAGATTAAAAATAAAATAAAACATCAGTCATGAAAAACTTCCCTAAACAGGGCTGCCTTCAGATGTCGTCTAAACGTCTGACAATTGTTTATCTCTTTGACATCTGACGGGAGGGCATTCCACAGGGCGGGCGCCACGACGGAAAAGCCCCCTGCCTGGTTCCCTGTAACTTGGCTTCTCGCAGTGAGGCAACTGCCAGAAGGCCCTTGGCGCTGGATCTCAGTGTCTGGGCAGAGCGATGGGGGTGGAGATGCTCCTTCATGTATACTGGGCTGAAGGTGCAAGTTGGAGCTGGTTTGTTCAGGAAAAAAATAGGGGTTTGGAATAGGGTGGAGAAGGGATGTGCATGATAGGGTATTCTGCCTTGAAGTTTTCTGTTCAAAAGAAAAGTTTCTCCACTAATTACACCACATTGGCTCACAGTCCGGTCTGAAAACTATTTGTTTCTTTCACTGTCTTACAAATAAAATCTGTTAAGTGGTTATGCCTAGTCTCCCACATAAAACCCATGCTTTAAGGGATCGGGCATCCTCCTTGAAACAAGGTGTTCACAGTGAGACAGTAAACTTGGATGTTGTGCAAGCTCACCCCTTATCAAGCAGTCATTTTCAGAATATTTGACTGCAGGTGGCAACGTTCAGGTATTGGTTCATAAAATCTTCCTGGGTGAAAAGGGAAAGTGGAAGCTAGACTTCACACATAATCACTGCTTTACTTGAAATTCATCATTTTAGAGGGTGTATGCCTGCATCTTCTTAAGAAGCTTTTCTCAGCAGTTAATAGCGTCCAATGTTGGGCTTGGTCTGTAAGCAATGGAACGAATCTCATAGAACATATGACCTTAGAAACCAGACCTTTATGTTAGTACTTGCCTTTAGGGATTTGTATTAGAGCAGCTTAAGGTTTTTACTTCCAAGGATAATTAGGGATGGATGAGCTCATTAAAGTTTGGCCCACCCAAGTTCTCAGCGTAAACACTGGGGGCAGCCATGCTTTCTTCCCATACTGTTCCCCCTGAGAGTAACAGAACATTGTCAGATCCCATCACTCCCAAAAGGACTTGCTGTATACGAATTCAACAAACAGTACACAGGCTAGTGATATAATAGCAAAATGCAAAGTCACACAAAAATATATCACCAAGGGCAACTGCTCCACAATAAGGAGCCTTCCTTAGGCTAACAAATAGAAGGCCAGAGAGACTCTTCCTGTAGTAGTAGTAGTAGTAGTAGTAGTAGTAGTAATAATAATAATAATAATAATAATGTGATAAAACATCAAACATTAAAATAAAATAAAAAATCCAAACCTGAACAGCAAAATGCCAGTTGTGTCACATGATACTTAGATTTGAAAGTGGCCAAAGTGAGTGTGCGACTTTTGAAGGGCTGAAAGGACCTGAAGGCCTGGCTGCTTGTCCCTGTGTAGACCTGTATTATCACTTATATAATAATAATAATTTATTATTTATACCCTGCTCATCTGGCTGGGTTTCCCCAGCCACACTGGGCGGCTTCCAACAAAATATTAAAATACAATAGTAAGTCAAACATTAAAAACTTCCCTAAACAGGGCTGTCTTCAGATGTCTTATAAAAGTCTTTCCTTGACATCTGATGGGAGGGCGTTCCACAGGGCGGGCGCCACTACCAAGAAGGCCTTGAGAAAGATGCATATAAGGACAGATTGGCCCAGTTTTCTAAACTATTGATTGTATACCGTTAAGATTTCACTGTACAGCTTGATAGTTAAGCCCATTTGTGGGAAGAAACGCTGATTATACCAGAACATCATTGACTCACAAGTTGATGTACACACAAGTGATTGTAAAGAAAAAGACTACTTCTGTAATTTATTTATTTGCTTGTTTACACTACTTAATGTGGAGCAGTTGCCCTCGGTGATATATTATTGTGTGACATTGTATATGAATTCAAAGCATGCAGAGACAAGGAGCCCTGGGTGTTAGTCAGTCCAAATTATGGATGTCCTACTTTTGGGAGTTTAAACGCAAAACATTTTTATGGACCTTCTTGCAAAGCAATCCACTGGACTGTGGATTGATTAATGTTTTCTGGGCCATGATCTGCCCAGATCAAATCAGGCTCTGGAATCTGAGTAGGATTCCTCTCCCCGCCCCCCGCAATTCCTAAATATAATGCCTTTGTAATATTAAAGCAATTGATAGGTGGCATCATCATTTTGTCATTACTAAGCCAACACTCCAAGTTAATCAGTCATCAAATAATCCTCCACTTTGTAGATTATGGGCATACATTTTAACTTGACCCTGGAATGAACAGAAATTCTCAGGGCTGCTTTTCTCCTTTTCTGGAATTTATTATCTCTCTCTTTGAAATACTAATTAGCAAATTGAAGAAAAGCCACCCAGCTATAGATTAAAAGATCAAACAGTTAAGTTGTTTTTTTTTTAAAGTGGGATTCAAAACATCAACTTCATTAGGTTTCATGCTCAAATCATATTTAGAAACAAATAATGTTGCTTTTATGCTTAGTGAAACCATTGGTTTATCTTACTCAGAATTGTCTATATGTCTGGCAACCACTCCCCAGGGATTCAGACAGGAATATTTCCTGGCCATACCAAGAAATGCAAGAGAGTCAACCTGGGACCTTTTGTAAGCTTGGATCAATTTGTTCTGCTCCTATGTATTTAGGAGGCCCACACACTTATTTAAACAGTAGCATTGATATGATGTCCCTTGCCCAATAGATGAGAGGAAGAGACAGTAACAGTTTTGCTGTGGGAGCACAGATATTTTACCTGTAGCTCTCAGATCTTCCCCTGCCCCATTTGAGCTGGATCAGAGCTGCAGGGCTGATTTAGCACAGCATGGAAGCTGACAAATAATGAGGGTGGGCCTTAAATATAAGGGTTTGGGAAATGTAGGCAATGCAGAAAGGGTAATATGCTCATCAAAGAACAAACCTTAGTCAAATGTTTTAATTAGAATGTTATTCCAGACTTGGTCTGTATGGCATGGCTGTTGCATTCTTCACATGCTTTGGTTTATGGCACTTTAAAGACCTTGTTCCTTACTAATGTTGAATGTTGAACTTCCCTGCAGGTATGTACCTATTGGCATTACATTTCTTGTTGGAAGCAAGATAGTGGAAATGGACGACATCATGCTTCTGGTGACGAGCCTTGGGAAATATATATTTGCTTCGATTCTGGGCCACTTCATCCATGGACTGGTCGTTTTACCACTTATTTATTTTGCAATTACACGCAAAAACCCTTTCACTTTTCTGCTAGGACTTATAACACCGTTTGCAACAGCTTTTGCCACTTGTTCCAGGTTGGTTGATGTAAGCTTTTATATGTGAAATGGGAATAGCATTATTCTAATTCAGGGTAATAATTCTAGGTTAATGACCTGCTTAGTCATTTTCATAGCTTTTATTGCAACGCAAGAAACCCTCTTATGGGTGTCTAATTTCTCAAAATGACACACAGGCTTTTAGAATCATATTTGGATGTCCCATGTCCATATACCCTAATATAGCTGTCAGAATTTGACAGAGTAATCCTGCCCTCCTGATCCACTGGCTGAAGAGATTTAAGATGGGGTGAAGTTTCTCCAGCAGAGCAGGGGTGCCCACCAAAGAGCCCTGTCTCTCCTTGCACGTGGAAAGCTCTGCAGGTGTAGACCTGCTAATGGTAGTAGCCATTAGTTAGGGCCCGAAATAAGGCATTTCAGGAGCAGGCCAGAGGCAGCCTTGGTTCCAGTGGATCCAAAGTCTTCCAAGATCCTCCAAGAAGCTCCAAGATCAGGCTCATAAGCTATGCCAGTTTGAGACTGACATAGCCATTTCCTCTTATTAGTTTCAAAGCGGGTGGGGGGCATTTACAATTGGGCGAGGGCTAAAAAGAGAGAGACGTCCCTGTTGCAACCCCACCGTGGGCAGCTCAAGCCAGGAGTTGTAAATGATCTGTTTCTTCACTCCCTTTCCCACTTAGGATGGCTCTCACCAGTTTTAAAGGGCCAGAGAAAATAGCAGCACCTCCCTAATAGTGTGAGATAGCTGAGGTGCAAATTGTCTGCTTTCGGCCACCAAGACAAATAATGAAATCCAGTGTAATCTAAATTCTTGGGCAGTGTCTTGCTTAAACTAGTCATAACAGCTCTGAAACAGAAACAGCAATTTTAAAATGTACCCTAGACCGCCCTTTATTTTTCCTCTTATAAGACTTGGGTGTATCTTTTGGAAATATAGACTGTGGAGCTCTTTTCAGTTCCCGGGTTACCCTGGAACGGCATGTACCTGGAATGCTGCACAATATGTTTAGGCTGGCAGAGAGATCCAGCTGTTAGAATGTTTATATTAATGGGTTATATACATTGCCAGACCTGATGATGATATCCTTTCTTGGCCACATTTAGCTCTGCAACTCTTCCATCAATGATGAAATGCATCGAGGAGAACAATGGAATAGACAAAAGAATTAGCAGGTTTATTCTGCCAATTGGGGCCACGGTGAACATGGATGGAGCTGCCATTTTTCAGTGTGTAGCTGCTATTTTTATTGCCCAGCTGAACAACCATGAGCTCAATAGCGGACAGATCTTCACCATTCTGTAAGTTGCAATGCAAAGCTGCTTTTTTCTGATGGCCGAATGCAGCGATAGCTCCACTGTGGATATGCAATAAATGGAGTTATCTAGCTGTAAAGGTGCAAGAGAGAAACAACAGCTTGCCTTCTTGCAGCTTTCTTGGTTGCACTGCTAGTACTATTTAGAACGTGTGCCCTTCACAGAGGTGGTGGGTTAAATCCAGGCTTTCCCTTCTGTGGATGAAGGAGCTTTCATTTGCGGAAAGTACTCAGATCCATGGGAGTAAGCCTTCCACCAGTCCTGCCAGTTGTGTCCAGTGCCGCTCAACATGCTGTTCTGGAGGGAGGATCCCTCAGACCTTCTTTGGGGGTGGGAGCACAGGAGTCTGCAGGGGGAATAGGCAGAAAATAGCGTCCTCTTAAGACGGCACCCCATGGACAGTGTTCCACTTCATGGGTAGTCTGGGTTCAATGTGCTGAAAACATCAGCAACTTTCTCCTCCCAGTGAAAAAACAGTATATTTTGCAGTTGTGAATAAGTGCTCAGATGGGCAGAAGGTCTGAGCATGAGACTCATGATCTCAGGGTTGTGGGTTTGAGCCCTGTGTTGGGCAAAAGAGTCCTGTAAAAGGGCCAAGCTGGGTCTCCTAGCAGAGGCGGTTTCAGGGTAGTGTGCCCGGTTTGGGCACACTGGGCACCAGCACTGCAGGGGGCAACACAACAATGATGTGGAACAGAGTGTGGCAGTTGGGTGCGCACTGAATTTTAGCGTCACACAGGGGGCCACTGAAATTTGAGAGCCCAAAGTCTGCCACTTGTTCCCTTCCAAGGCAGACCAAGCTAACCCCATTTCTGTGGCTTTCTGCATGGAAGCAAAAGCCTTTGTTCCTAAGCTGATGTATAAATACATTGCCATTGGTTTTAACTGGTTGTTTCTATTGATGCCTCCTCTTTTTTGCTTTCTTTTATTAATGTTTTATTGTATTGTATTGCTGTTAGCTATTTTGAGCACCGTCTGGTGAAAAGGCAGGCTACAAATTTAAGAAATAAGATAAATAGATACATAATTAAGATGAATGTGCACAACAGTGATTCAGATCTGCAGAATACAGCTTGGAGAAATATATAAGCTTTGAATTGTGAGTGTGATGCAAATGGAGACCATGATGAACAAAATTAAACCTAGCACTAGTAGTAAGTGTATGGTTCCCAATGGTGATATGAATCATCTGTGTTGCAAAAAAGCATTTCTGTTTTTACATCTAAGTACCTGGAACATAGGGACGTGGGTGGCATTGTGGTCTAAACCACTGAGCCTAGGGTTTGCCGATCGGAAGGTCGGCGGTTCGAATCCCCGCGAGGGGGTGAGCTCCCGTTGCTCGGTCCCAGCTCCTGCCAACCTAGCAGTTCGAAAGCACGCCAAAAAGTGCAAGTAGATAAATAGGTACTGCTCCGGCAGGAAGGTAAACGACGTTTTCGTGCACTGCTCTGGTTTTAGTGTTCCGTTGCACCAGAAGCGGCTTAGTCATGCTGGCCACATGACCCTGGAAAAACTCTGTGGACAAATGCCGGCTCCCTTGGCCTGTAAAGCGAGATGAGTGCCGCAACCCCAGAGTCGTCTGCGACTGGACTTAACTGTCAGGGGTCCTTTGCCTTTTTACCTGGAACATGTTGTGCCAGCATGTGGGAAGGTAGAAATATCCCTAGACAAAAAAGGAAACCTTTGGCACTTTTATGCTTATGTGCCATTGCAGCACAACAGTAACCAATATTGATTCCTGTTGACAGTGTAACGGCAACTGCATCCAGCGTGGGAGCCGCTGGAATCCCAGCGGGAGGAGTTCTCACCATAGCTATTATCTTGGAGGCAATTGGACTTCCCACCAATGACATCTCCCTCATATTGGCTGTCGACTGGATTGTGTAAGTACTTGGTGTGTGGTTAGGGCACACATTATTGTGGCATCGTTGCAGGTGGTTGGTGGCATGAATTGAATATTATATTTTGCGGGGAGCATACTGTTGCACACCACTCCAGTCTCCAAGTGGTGGGAGATTCCTGGGGTTCCAGGTGCTTCGCCCAAGATTGTGTTTCCTTTGCAACGTGGCACCGTGGAGACTGTAGTGTCCTTAAGATATATGGTTTATTTACACATATATACAAGCTGAGCCTATGATGGAGAGGGGCTCACAGCATTGACATGCCAAGAATGTCCTGCTTCTCCCATAGCCACAGCCTTGAAACCTAGCAGAAATCAGCCATGGCGCTCTCTTCCTCTCTCTCTCTCTCTCTCTCTCTCTCTTTCTCTCTCTGCGTTTCCAATCTGCCACTTTTGCATCCAGCTTCTAGCTCACATCACTCAACTCCAGCCTCTTGTCTTTCTAACTAACAGAACGTTGAGAAAGGGAGACCCACACGTTTGTCCTTTGGCACAGAGTCATTCCCATATTTAGTGGGCCATGATCAGGCTGGCTTGGCTATTCCAGCAGTTGAATCTGTGCTGGATCCAGGAATTAGCTTGCCTGCCTCCTCCCCACAAACTCATAACAATACATTTCAGAATATATATTTTTTTAAGCTGACAGTGTGAATGAAGTACAGAATTCCTAAAAGGCAGGAACCTAAAAAATGAAAGAGATGCTGTATACTGTAGGTCAGTTATCAAGGGCCAATCTTGATGATGTTATGGCACAGCTTATCCTTAGAATCCCCAGTTAAAGTAATTAGGGACTCAGCTACATTAGTAAAACAAACAAACAAACAAACAAAAAAAAACCAATGCTTTGAATGTGTAACACCAGATGGCGCCAGAGAACAAACATATTTTCTATGCGATTTTTACATAGGTTTTTTTTTGTTATAACGATTTAATTTCTGACTTATATATGGTGTGTTTTTTTCTGTGTGTAGATCCACTCTGGGTTGCAGTCTACCAGTCAGTAAACAATTTGGGTCCAGATTGACCAACAGTCTGACAAGCTATAAGGCAGTTTGTTGTGTTCCTGTGAGGGGAGCTAAAGTTTCTCTCCATAGCAACTGACTTTCCTACAATCCACCCCTCCAGGCACTTTTTGTCTGGCAGCACTGGGAATGATTGACTTTTGGCTTATTCACACTTCCCTTTCCTCTGCTCTTTCCAGGCATGGTCTGTACTTTAAAGCTCCGTACGAAAACCCGCTCTTTAAAGCTCAGTTGGAGCAAATAGCAATCCATGGAGAACCCAAATTGACATTTGCTCCGATTGAACGCTGAAAAGTGGGGAAAGCTCAGACCAAAAAAAGAAAATGCTTGGGACACAAGAGCTTTTAAGCGTGGGCCTGTGCTTGGAAAGAGTGGGACAAAAGATAAGTGTGGACAAGCCCTAAGAGAGAAGCATTGTGGAGGGTGGAGCTGTAGGGAGCTTCAGTGTTGGAGCACCCTCTCTGCTTGCAGAAGGTCACAGGTTCAATCCTCAACATCTCCAGATAGGACTGAAACGCTGAAGAGCAGGTGCCAATAGCCCTGACAATACTGGGCTAGATGCACTATTGGTTTGCCTCGCTATAAAGCAGCCTTCCATTTTCCTATGAGACAAGCCACAATTCAGCAGAGAGTAGCCTCTCCTCCCCTGGAACTGCTGCTGCCCTGTCTGGTTAGAGTCAGACCCTTGGACAATATAAGTATTGATGCCTCCAGCCAGCTATAGTAATCACTGTTTTTGATTACCACTGACCTTTAAAGCCCTAAATGGCCTCGGTCCAGTATACCTGAAGGAGTGTCTCCACCCCCATCGTTCTGCCCGGACACTGAGGTCCAACGCCAAGGGCCTTCTGGTGGTTCCCTCACTGCGAGAAGCCAAGTTACAGGGAACCGGGCAGAGGGCCTTCTTGGTAGTGGCGCCCACCCTGTGGAACACCTTCCCATCCGATGTCAAAGAGAAAAACTACTACCAGACTTTTAGAAGACATCTGAAGGCAGCCCTGTTTAGGGAAGCTTTTAATGTTTAATAGACTATTGTATTTAAATATTCTGTTGGAAACCCAGCCAGATGGGCAGGGTACAAATAATTAATAATAATAATAATAATAATAATTATTATTATTATTATTATTATTATTATTATTATTAGCCTCTGTGGCTGGAGCACCACTTATAAGAGTCTCATGCTCTACTGACTGAGCTATCATCAAGGAGGAGAGCTGTTTCATTCCAGTCACTTGTTTATTCCTACTGGAGGGAATAAGGAGGTCACTGCTGTGGCTGTTCAGGTTTGTCCTTGTTCATTCTCATGGTGGCTACATTTGCCTGTAGTTGCGACGGAGGAAAACAGGAAAGCAGCTCATGTGTGGATCCTTCTCATTCTGCTTCTCTCAGTATTGTCCACACTGAATAATAATAATAATAATAATAATTTATTATTTGTACCCCGCCCATCTGGCTGGGTTTCCCAGCCACTCTGAGCGGCTTCCACAGAGACCAAAAATTCACTAAAATGCCACACATTAAAAACTTCCCTGAACAGGGCTGCCTTCAGATGTCTTCTGAATGTCAGGTAGTTGTTTATTGCTTTGACATCTGATGGGAGGGTGTTCCACAGGGTGGGCGCCACTACTGAGAAGGCCCTCTGTCTGGTTCCCTGTAACTTGGCTTCTCGCAATGAGGGAATCGCCAGAAGGCCCTCGGCGCTGGATCTCAGTGTCCGGGCTGACCGATGGGGGTGGAGACGCTCCTTCAGATATACTGGGCCAAGGCCATTTAGGGCTTTAAAGGTCAGCACCAACACTTTGAACTGTGCTTGGAAGCAGCAGCTTTCTTGTGTTTCAGACCAGGTCTCTCTCAGCCCTAACCTGGAGATACCAGGCATTGAATTTGGAACCTTCTGCATGCAAAGCAGATTCTTTGCCTGTAGGCTGTGGCCCTTCTTCAAGGTTTCAAGGCTTGTTGGGCTGCGTGTAAGTAGAACTGGGGGAGCAGTATTCTGCGTGAGGTGGGCTTTGCTTCTGACCCTGAGCCTGCTCACAGAAATGGAGCAAATTCTCAGAAGCTCTACTCAGTTTCTCATGACATCTGAACTGTATACATCTGGGGGAAACATGGTACCCTGTAGGCTGACCGAGCAATCTCATCTCCTGTGATGTTTTGTTAACACCGGGTTCCCTTTGTGCTCTTTCCCAATTGACCAGGGACCGGACCACTACAGTTGTGAATGTAGAAGGGGATGCCTTTGGAGCAGGTATCCTTCATTATCTGAATCAGAAAGAAGCCAAGGAGAAAGCAGAAGAAAAACTAAATGAAGTCTGCGTAGAAGCCATTCCAAACAGCAAGGCTGAGGGGGAAACGTCACCTCTGGTAATGCACAGAAGCCAAGACACCACATTTGCCGCTCTGCCACCTAGCACTAAAGATCTAGAATCTAAAGAGTCAGTCCTATGAATGAGAAGGAGCGGGGAGGCACTCTGAGGACACTGTATGTTGGAGACAACAGCATATTTAACTTGGAGCAGACCCAAGCGGCCGTTTGGATTGAACAGATGCGTCCCTTTTCCATTTTGGTGGTATGGAACACTGTGGTAGCCAGTCACAGACTACGTGTGTGCGCGCGCATTTCTGGCGTGTTTCCCCCTATGAGTGCAGACACTTTTGTGATGAGGTAGTGATGTTTCATAGTTTTGCGTGTGTGCAAAATATGCAACACTCGTGCGCTGATACGAGTGAAAGCAAGGTGTTTGCTTTTTGCTGGAACACTAAAGGCCCACTCTGAGAGGTAGATTTTGACAGCTGGATCGTACTAGGCAAGGTCACCTTGATAGCCTAGCTTGTACGGGGAGACAAATTGAGTTCTCTCCCTTTATTACATCAAGCCTGCCCTGTTGTATTCTGAAAGGCCCCCCTCTTTGTGAAGGGATAAGTCTTCTTGATTCTAAGGCCAGAGATTATGGGATTATGTTTCTGCTACCAGTTACTGGATATATCTTGATGATGCAGAGTGGACTTGAACTAATGTATGCCAGACATGCATGCCTAATGGAAACTAGTCCTAGCTATTCTAAAAAGTACGTTCTCATTTACTGTATTTTTTGCTCTATAAGACTCACTTTTTCCCTCCTAAAAAGTAAGGGGGAATGTGTGTGCGTCTTATGGAGCGAATGCAGGCTGCGCAGCTATCCCAGAAGCCAGAACAGCAAGAGGGATTGCTGCTTTCACTGCACAGCAATCCCTCTCACTGTTCTGGCTTCTGAGATTCAGAATATTTCTTTCCTTGTTTTCCTCCTCCAAAAACTTGTGGTCTTGTGGTCTGGTGCGTCTTATAGAGTGAAAAATACGGTATATTTCTCTTATCCCCCTCCTGCTAAGCCACACTATCTGTGTATGTTAAACATTGGGATATTTGGAAAGAATCTTTAGCTGCTCCAACTAAGAAATGTCAAGAACCTGTAACTATACAAGAATGGCCACAGTGAGCTTGATGCAAGAAGTTCAAAGACCGTTTTACACAAGACACTTAATTTGCCTCTGAGCATCTCTCGGCTCCTTTATTCTAACACCTGGCTGTTGTTTAGACAGATGAAAGGCATTTGTAATGTAATTGAACATTCTGGATTATTGGTAAGTGTTAGCATCCATATTACAAACCTGATTGAAGAAAGCCTGATGTAAGCTTCCTGTGCAGATATTCTCATTCTGGTTTCCTTCTTATCACTGGTACCAGTTAACACACATTATTACTTAAGGCCTTAAACCTCAAGAATGCAGACCAAAGAAAAGACTTGAAGCAGTATAGTAATTATTTTCTCTATGACTGTTGAAGTGCTTGTTCTTTGCTTTAGAAGAGCAGTTCTTGACCTCTAATGCACTGCTACCAACTATTTCTGCACCATTATCATTAAATGCCCCCTAAGCCATAGGTAAGAATTAGGACATAAAAACAGGACTCCAGACAAGGTAACTTATTCTAATATATAGGAATAGAGAGCTGTTGCAAATGCATTCCTGCTCAGAATACATTTAATACATTATATTGACTGTTTTGGAGGAAGAGAGAACAGAATGAGAGCCTGACTCTACCTTTCCCCCAAACAGGTACAGTGGTACCTCAGTTTTTGAACGTTTCCATTGACGAACATTTCAGTTTTTGAACGCCGTAAAAGTAAATGCTTCCGTTTTCAAACGTGCCTCGGAAGTTGAACGGCTTCCACTGAGTGTATATGCTATTTTTCCTCAATTTTCTCTATTATATTTGCAAACTGCCCTTTGCACCTCGGTTTCTGAACTCGAACAGTCTTCTGGAACGGATTAAGTTAAAAAACCGAGATACCACTGTATTTTAACACTCAGCTGGGACTTGTGGATTGTGCTTTGAATCCAGGCACTCTCCTACAATCCCTGGCTTGTGTTTCTTTGTACAAGACGGGGAGCCTTTTAGTGTAGGATAAAATGGGATAAGCTGAGATGAACTCCTCCTTGATACAAGGATAGGAAACTTTTGATTATCTTACTAATAACAATAATGCTGATTTCTTATCTGCCTTTTAGGAGGAATGATCCGGTATCTATCTGCTGAAATGACCCTTTTTCAGTCAGCACAATTTGGTTTAGTGCAGGCCCTTGAAAAAAGGTTGCACATAAATACTAGCCCCCAAAATCTCCCTTCTCTGTGGGAACACAGCAGTATTTATCATGTGTACCTTTTCGAGTGTACGTCTTCTTACAATGTGTTATGCAAAGAATGCCGTCTTGTTTTCCTGGGTCCTATAGCTAAAGGTCTATGACATGCTGACTGACAAAGGCCCTGCTGTTGTCTTAGTAGCCCAGCCAGTTAAGCGAGTCCTATTTGCACAAATTGCCAGGTTCTCTTTTGCAAGAAAGATACAATCTGTAAATAATCCCATTGCCTTTCTGTTAGATAATCATTGTCATAAGATTGCATCTATCCCTTGCTTAATTTGTTGAGCACACTTCAAAAAGCATGGGGGTATATCCTCACTGTCTGTGGTCTTGATTTCAGGGTTTCTGTTGAACAAATGACAGACATACAGACTGAGATAACAGATGATACAGATAAACCTAGCTTACATTGAAGAGAAAGGCAGTGTACATCTTTTCTAGTTTCTGGCACCAGCTTATAGCTTTGTTTGGGGTTCATGAGTCAAGTATTTCAGCTTACACATTCAAAGTATATAGGAGAGCTTGCAGGGAAGAAGCAATCCATTTGGAGAATAAACACCAGCAAACTGCTTTAATTGATCTAGCAAATGTTTAAGCGAGAAATAAAAGAAGTTCAAAAGTTGAAAGTAGCATCTTTCCTAATCAGTAACAACAGTTCGAATCCCCGCAGCGGGGTGAGCTCCCGTCGTTCGGTCCCAGCTCCTGCCCACCTAGCAGTTCGAAAGCACCCCTAAGTGCAAGTAGATAAATAGGTACTGCTTTATAGCGGGAAGGTAAACGGCGTTTCCGTGTGCTGCGCTGGTGCCGGCTCGCCAGTGCAGCTTCGTCACGCTGGCCACGTAACCCGGAAGTGTCTCCGGACAGCGCTGGCCCCCGGCCTCTTAAGTGAAATGGGCGCACAACCCTAGAGCTGGATGGTTACGTGGAAGCCGGTTGAAGTTAAATCCTTCGAAGACAGAGGTCCTCTGGCTGGGACGGGACGATATGGGATTGGGGGGGCAACTCCCATCTCTTGCGGGGGTGCAATTAGTGCCAGCACCGTCCGTTAAGAGTTTGGGTGTAATCTTCGATACCTCCCTCTCTATGGAGGCGCAGATTACAGCTATAACAAAGGCGGCATTTTTCATCTCCGCCAAGCTAAGCAGTTGGCCCCTTATCTCTCTCGCCCTGACCTAGCCACTGTGATCCACGCGATGGTCACCTCCAGACTGGATTATTGTAACTCGCTCTACGTGGGGCTGCCCTTGAGACTGACCCAGAAACTCCAGCGGGTGCAGAATGCCGCGGCGAGACTCCTTATGGGGTCTTCGCTGCGAGATCACATTCATCCGGTACTATACCAGCTGCACTGGCTCCCGGTGGAGTACAGGATCAGGTTTAAGGTGCTGGTTTTAACCTTTAAAGCCCTATACGGCCTAGGACCCTCGTACCTACAGGACCGCCTCTCCTGGTATGCCCCACAGAGGAACCTACGGTCTGCAAATAAAAACATCCTGAAGGTCCCAGGCCTCAGAGAGGTTAGGCTGGCCTCAACTAGAGCCAGGGCTTTCTGGCGGCGGCTCCAATCTGGTGGAACGCTCTGTCACAAGAGACTAGGGCCCTGCGGGACCTGACATCTTTCCGCAAGGCCTGCAAGACAGAGTTGTTCCACCAGGCCTTTGGTCAGGGCCCAGCCTGACTCCCTCCTCTGGCAACCTGCACAGATCTTTGCTTAACGGTTGCCATTAATTTGATTTTAATTAATTTTTATAATGAAATGTTTTAGAATGTTGGATTATTTGATTGTTTCATTATTTGATTGTTGTTAGCCGCCCTGAGCCTGGCTTTGGCTGGGGAGGGCGGGATATAAATAAAATTTATTATTATTATTATTATTATTAGAGCCGGACACGACTGGCCCGTACGGGCAGGGGTACCTTTACCTTTTAACAACATTTAAGTTCAGCTGTTCTTCAGGAAATACCCCATTTTCTCAACCTGTAATATACAGGAGCTACTTTTGCAAGAACGGCTCAAACAATTTACATTTTGCAGGTGATAAAGACCAAACTACACAGGATATTCATGACTGGATCTCCCAACACATTTAATTTTAACTTAACAGGAACTCTAGGGTCTCGCCTCCCTCCTCTCCCTAAATTGGATCAGGTTGAGGAAGGGGTGGCTTAATTATTTTCCTCTTTACACTGTTTCCCCTGCTTTAACTTGCTCCCACTGCTGCTAACTATGGGAAGTGTAAGTAAGGGAGGCTGTCATGCTCACTTCTGTTACCTATAAGAGAAGCTAGAGGGTAGAATAAGGAGGGACTAAATGTAACTACTTGAAGTGTAAGAAACAAAGACTTACCTAGTCCAGCATCCTGTTTCTCACAGTGGCCAAGAAGATGCCATGGGGAAGCCCATAAGCAGGGCAATAGCCCTCCCCTGATGGTGACCCCCAGCCAACTGGTATTCAGAGGAAGACCCCCTCTGGTCCTGGAGGTAGTAGACAGCAATCTTGACTATCAGCAATTGACAGCCTTACCCTCCATGTTGAAGTGGCTTATTTCAGATGGAGAGTGAGTACCACGTCCAGGGAGAACAAGGCCATAAAGGTAAAGGGACCCCTGACCATTAGGTCCAGTCGTGACCGACTCTGGGATTGCGGTGCTCATCTCGCTTTATTGGCCGAGGGAGCCGGCGTTTGTCATGTGGCCAGCATGACTAACCCGTTTCTGGCGAACTAGAGCAGCGCACGGAAACGCCGTTTACCTTCCCACCGGAGCGGTACCTATTTATCTACTTGCACTTTGATGTGCTTTCGAACTGCTAGGTTGGCAGGAGCAGGGACCAAGCAACAGGAGCTCACCCCGTCACGGGGATTCAAACCGCCAACCTTCTGATCAGCAAGTCCTAGGCTCTGTGGTTTAACCCACAGCGCCACCCGCGACACACATTAATGAGCCCCAGTTCCATGTTGAGTCTATAGCAGAGGCAGGACTGCTGGGGAACTGCCCCATGAACCTCGGCCTGCTCACCAGCAGCCCCTACTTGCCTACCTCCTTACTTGCAACCATGGCACAGCTTCCTTCTCCTTCTTAGCCTCAGTGGTGCCCTTGTGGAACTCAATGGGAAAGAGGATAGGGTCAAAGGTAGAATTAGTTGGCTCCACCTCTCATTGGCTCTGGCTGCACCCACTGTCAGACTCTCTGCCTTCGGTACCACTGGTTCCAATGGATACCACCCAGCGCAGCTTAGCCACACAACTCCCTCTAATTCTTTATGGTGTTCACGGTAGCAAACTGTTGTACACACAGTAAACACACCCTTGTCATAGGATAAGGTGGAAGACTAGTTTTCTAATGTCACTGCAGATATCCTCTGTAGCCCATCATATAAGTGGGGCTGCAACAGAACAAAACCTGTCTCCCATGCCAGATAAAACCCGTTGTTAATGTCTGCAAAGTGTCATGAGATGAAGAAACATTTATGAAGTGATACAGGGTATCATAGAAATGTAATCTGCTCTGCTTTGGGCCACTCAGGTTGCCTAACAAATACGGTATTAAGAGCCGGTACACTTTTTGCCCCGGTGGGAGGCTTGAACAAAGAACCCTTCCGCCGAATCTCCAAAATGGCGAAACCAGCTGAATGTGTTCCCATCATCTTTTGCTGAGAAGATAAAAGCCTTTGGGGATGTTCTTGCCCGTAATGAGGGTACCTTTTCGTGCTAAGTATCTGAATTGCAGGCTGATTTGGGAAAAGCTAATTGAGAACAGAAGCTAAAGAGGAAAACATTTGTTTCTCAACATTTTCTTCAGTTCAAGTATTGAGTCAGTGCCAACATAATTACCAAATTGCAGTCTTCTCTTTCCTTCTCTTGTTAAACAATTCTGCTTTCCCCAGTATCTTTATTTTCGAGAAAATCAAGTGGGTGCATAGCTGGAAATTGCGCAGGTCGTGTGTTCTTTGGCAGCTACAAACTTCTTTTCTACCAGGCAATCCCTGGACAAAATCCAAGGTGATCGTATCCTTTCTACCCCAACACTGTGTACATTGCGTAACACATGTCCTTTTGTACCTTTCCAGAAAGCAAATGCAGCTGCTTTTTTGAACATGGATGGTACAGCCTGTCTTCAGGTGCCCTATGGACCTTTAAATTAGCACAGGCACATTAGGCATGGTGACACTACCAGGTCAGACTGTGTTAACCTGCAGCGCGGTACTGTCTCCTTTGACTAGCAGCTGTTCTCCATCATCTCAGGCCTTTTGCATCCTTTTCAAGCTGGTTCTTTTTAATTACAGATGCCAGAGACCGCACCTAAGTCATTCTGCATGCAAAACTAGTGATAAGTTACTGCACTCTGGTCCCTCACCAGTTGATTTAAATGGCACGAATGTAGTTATGAGAAGCTTTGAATTTTGTGAGTAGTCTTGAGTATTTGTAACCTGAAACAGCAAACCTTCACCACCACCTGATAGTTTTAACAACATTCCAATTTTCTACAGGCCACTAAGAAATCTTAATGTCATAATCTCTCCTCTCCTCTCCATTCTCTGAATATTTCCCATTCCTTCAAAAGAGAAGGGTTTAAACCACTTGAGATAGACATTAGTCTTGTCTCCCTCTAGAGTAATTAGAGTGAAGAAGGGAATAGTTTTCCCCCCATGTGATAAACTGCATCTGTGTGCGATTATTAGTGCTTCTTTATGTGCAAGCAAACGCTAGCTATGTACACACTCTGCCATTAAAGCACATTTGAAGCAGTTTGTCCCCCTCAAAGAATTCTGGGCACTATAGTTTACCTCTCAGAAATACAATTTCCAGGAACTCTAAACTTCAGTGCCCATAATTCTTTGAGGGGGGGGGGAATGTGCTTTGAATATGCTTTAGAGTAGGGTTTCCCAAACTTGGGTCTCCAGTTGTTTTTGGACTTCAACTCCCATCATCCCTAGCTAGCAGAACATGTGGTCAGGGATGATGGGAATTGTAGTCCAAAAACATCACTTACACCACTTCAGTGGCTGAAAAAAGAAACCCTGGAATTTTTTTAAGGATTGTTTTGCCAGACCTCCTTATGCACTTGAACATGGCCAGTAGATTTTGTTGTTCTTGTTGTAAGGATTTCTCGTAGTTCATGAAACAGCCATATCCTGGGCTAAACTGATTTCCAAAGCCATGGAAGGAGAGTGAAGGATCAATGTAAACACTAAAAATGAGGATTCAGGTTCATAGTTTAAACAATGAGCAAAGCAGTTGATTTTTGCAGTGCAGTTGTGGAAAGTGCTACTGAAAGGGAAGATAATGAGTTGGAGGGGAATTGTGGATAGGGATCGAGACTCACATATTAAGGGGTGGGTTTGGAGAAAACGTGAGGGGTATGTAGAGATGCTGTCCTGTTTTCATTATGGAGGAGATCTGGTCTGAATGTGTGGTCTTCTGGTGATTTTAGGTGATCCAGGCTAGCTTTCAGCTATCTTGCCAGGAGGGGGAAATGCAAATCTATGCATTGTGACTGGTGAGGCTTTGAAAATAACTGTGACCAAACTGTAGCTGACTGATTTGGTGCTACATAACTCAGCTGGATGGGAGAGGGAGGCACCTTAAGGAAAACGTATCAACAAACATAAGTGTTTCCACTATAGCCATTCTTTTAGGCGGTTGCCTCTCTGGTTCCTGCTACATTCCCATTTTCTTCTGGTTTAGTGGGATCAGTCCAAACCCTCATGTTATCAAGATCACTTCAAAGTGGTATATCATTTCAGTGACTAAACTTCTCATAAGGAAAAATACGGTTCTGCCATCTGTTTCAGACTTCCGAGTGCTTTCCCGTTCTCTTTGTCTGCATTTTTAAGCCGTATCTTTACACATGTGCTTTGTGACTCTTCTTAGTTAGGTTTTTAGGAGGAAATATAATGTCACGCCTTGCTACCGTGTAACAATGCCTTCTGTGTCTTTCTCTGCTGATGTCCACAGTAAATGGCAGGTGGAGCCAAAAGAACCTCTGTTAAACTGAAAACGAACCGCTGGATGGATATTTTGCTCAACATGGTGCCTACATAATAAGGAAGGCCCATGCTGGGAAGGCCGTGAGTCTAAAAAAGAACTATGACACCACCTGCCTTATTATACCTCAGGTGCTTTGACCTGCTCACTGCTGCTGTTGGCCACTGTTTAGTATCTTGCTGTTTTTATAACTATGCAGAGCCTCCTGTTGCTAGCAGTGATGTGGGCCAGTATCCAAGGAGAAGGAGGGCCAAATTACACGAGCAATGGTGTGGTTGATGTTTTTAAAGTAAATAGCAGCTGCAAGAGGGCCTAATCCAGACCATGAACAGAGTAAAAGATAGGGAGGTATTGAACCCTTTACAGCTGCTGCAGTCCCACTTGATCTTGATCTCTCTCTCTCAACACACACACACACACACACACACACACACACAACTATTTGCGGTGGAAGGAAAATTCCCATTGGCATCAATTGAATTGTTGGATGTATTCCTTCATTAAACTCATTGGTTCACTGATATGTCTGCTTTTTTAAAACTATGAGTTTGTTTAACAGCGACAGATCAGAAAGGTGTTTTTTTTGCATGATTAGTGCAGTATAATTCTGTACTACTCTAATGTTTCAATGAACATTGTTATGTTGCATCACACCTATCTTGTTCTAGTATATTTCATAGGATTATAAAGGCATAGCCCTAAAAGAAAGGAATTGTCAGATGCCAAAAACCTATGTTGACTGTACAGATAACCACTCCATTTTCTAAAAGTTCCTCCCCTCGCTTTGTGAAATGTTCTTAATATATATTTTGTCCATATGGCTCCATACAGTCCTGATCACTACAAAGGACCAATTACATTTGTGTACATTAAAGGCATTCTATGTAGATATGTGATTGCAGAGCTGATGTTATGATACTATTTGTGTATTTTGCCTCTACACATAAGATGTTCCTCAAGCCCTCACTTGTTCTTGCGTAGAGTGTGCTGCCTAATGAATCAAGTTCCTTTCTAACTTGACAGAGAATAAACTCTCTAACTCCCAAACAATCATGTTTGTTCACTGTTTTTTTTCCTGAATCTGAAATAAAATTCCTTTAGTCTGAATGCACCATGATTGGTCTTTTTGGAAAAAGAATATAGATTCTATTGTACAGCGGTACAATAGAGGTATTCTTAGAACATGGTACCTTTTGGTATGGCCAGTCAGGAAGCTATTACTTATCATGATTCTTTGCATGGCCAGTTCTGAGTTTATATGTATGACAGCAGTAAGGAGCGCATGAATCTGCCCATTTTTGTCTCTCTCTTTCTCATTGTATTCCATTCTTCACAATTCTGCAATATATTTTCCCTCTGGTATATGGATTTTTGTGCACACTTGGATTTCTCCCTGTGCAAAGGCTTACGTCTTGCCCCCACCATCTTTGCTAGAGATGGATGGGTGGCAAAGTGGCAAGGCAGTATTGGGTTCGGTTCCTTTGGGTAGGGTCCAATCAAGCCACCTCTACACAGGTAAGTAGCAGAAGGGATACTTTAGTGTAGATCTTAAGACTACAACACGTAAGGAGTATCCACCGATGGATGTCGCTTAACCAGCTTTCCCTGTGATTTGCAAGTCGACCAATACTTCTTCTGGTGCCAGCAATGCAGAACGTATTCTCCATTCTGCATTTGAGCCAAATAGTCTCTAGCATTAACCTCTGACATGCTCTGAGGCAGAGATGCCAAACTTTCAAGAGATTTTCTCCCTCTCAGCCTGTACTTATGTGGGGCCACAGGTAGTCTAATTCAGAGTTGTGGAGAGCAATCTGAACAAGCACAACATTGCATAAAAATGCACCTTTAAATATATAACTGCATACAAAATCTCAAAGTTGGCCTATTTAAGTGTGAAACGCAACTTTTCCTTACAACTTGTAGAAAACAAGGTCAAACTGAACAATATTTTTAACACTTGCTTACCGGTAATTAATAAGCAACTTACGGGGTGCATGATGGCAATCTTTGATCTAAAGCAATATTATTTTATAGTGGTGGAAATGCTTGAAAGAACAGCTTTTGTCCTTCAGAATCGTATATATTTGGTGTTGTTTTGAAAGGGCCATAATAAACCTTTTAACACATATTTTACTTGTTAGTAAAAAGCAGAGGATAAAGTGGGCTTGTCTTTCCACTTGACATCCCCCAGTTTACTTTACCACTTTGCTCTTTGAGTAGCAGTTCTTGCCTTCAAGACAGAAAGATGCCCTTTAAGATTAGAACTTTGACTTTTCATTTTTTTTTAAAGAAATAGACCATTTGCTATGATTTATCTTAGCATCCAAAAGGAAGCAGATCTGAGAGGCTGTATAAAATGAAGTAAGACTATGAATGCATCAAGATACGATGGATCCAGCTTAGTACCAAAAGTTCTCTTTGAGAAACAGCATGGGTATCATCTCGAGAGATTACTACACTTCGCACCAAGCTAAAATATGGTCTTTTACACCAGCTATAACTAGGGATGTACAGTAATGTTTGTTTAATAATGGGTTTGATATCTTGATTGAGGCTGCAGTCTTATATTCACTAACCTGGGATGGAGTAAGACTCATTGAAATGAAAACCAAGGAAAACCATGTGAAACAAAGTGATGAGAGATGCCTGCCCTGTGCATTATAGGAGTATGCAAACCGCTGTAATCTGCAACAGAATGACCAGGTCGGTGCTGAAAGTTTTAAAGGCCAGGTTAAAAGTAAAGGTAAAGGGACCCTGACCATTAGGTCCAGTCATGACCGACTCTGGGGTTGCAGCGCTCATCTCGCTTTACTGGCCGAGGGAGCCAGCGTACAGCTTCCGGGTCATGTGGCCAGCATGACTAAGCCACTTCTGGTGAACCAGAGCAGCGCACGGAAACACCGTTTACCTTCCCGCCGGAGCGGTACCTATTTATCTACTTGCACTTTGACGTGCTTTTGAACTGCTAGGTTGGTAGGAGCTGGGACCAAGCAACGGGAGCTCACCCCGTCATGGGGATTCAAACCGCCAACCTTCTGATTGGCAAGCCCTAGGCTCTGTGGTTTAACCCACAGCACCACCCGTGTCCCCAAGGCCAGGTTACTTCTCTTTAAATCACCTGCCTCTTAACTGTGCACTTCTAGAGGGGGAAAGAGAAAGCATAAGACTGGATTATTTTCCTCAGGTAACTTGGTCCTCCCTTTACATATGAAACACCAGCATAGGTCACTTCTAGGCAATCTGCTTATTCGGCATTCATCCTGATTTGCATGTCTGGAGGAGATACAACATTGCATCATGCAATTTTTATTTATTTTATTTATTTATTTCTTGCATTTATATTCCACCTTTCCTTCAGGGAACTCAAGGTGGCTCACATGGTACGTTATCCTCACAACAACCATGTGAGGTAGGCTAGGCTCAGAGACTGTGGCTGAACCAAGGTAACCCAGTGAGTTTCATGGCTTGAGTGGGGATTTGAACCCTTGTCTCCCAGGTCCTAATCCAACACTGTAACCATGAGGAGTATATTCCTATCTAAGGTTACCAGACGTCCCCGTTTCCCAGGAACAGTCCCCGGATTTACAAATCAGTCCCCATACAAAATCCATTGAAGTTGAAAAATGTCCCCGGATTCATTGAAAAAAAATCTGGTAACCTTACTCCTATCATGCAAGAAGTCTGATATGTGGGGACGGGGGGAGAGCAGATTTGTTGTGCAGGAGTGCCAAAGCAACTTTAATGGTGAAACCTGAATGTGCTGGAATGGGATTGTATCCCACCCAAAAACAGAGCAGCCAGAATTAATGCAGCTAAATAAACTGGAGTCTATTTCCATCTTGTGGCTAGATGAAGAAAGTGCAATTTTACTCTTTTCCCTAAGAACATAACCGGAGCGTGGTAAACTTGTTTTTTCCCTGTTGACAAAAGTGCAAGGGGTGGAGATATCTGAAGCTCTACATCAGTAGCTGGGATGGGGCAGCTTAAGGTTTACCCCATCCTGCATTATCAACCTCCCTGCTAAGTAGTGCTGAAACCTGTCCAAAAATTTATCCATTATCCTCCCTTGCAAAAGTGCCTTCTATTTTTATTGTGCCACAGAGCACAGAAAACGCTTAAAGGAAGTCCTTCCTTCTACCTTTAAAAACATCTTTCTGCACTGTCTCTAAAAGTGTAAAAGGAACTGTGCTTAAAAAGAACAACAATGAACAGCTGCTAGGTGTTCATGGGGCAATGTCCCCACCTTCCTGTGCTCACAGGAAAGCCCAGCAGAGGATACCATGAGGTTTTTAGGAAGCACATGCAGTTAGTTGGAAAGGCCCCAGAGTGCAACTTGTGCAGAGAGATGGTTTGGAGAAAGAAAACAAGGGCTCTCACAAAGACACTTCGGCTACTTTAAAAGTAAGAGGAGCATAACAAAAACTCAACACGCCACCCATTGGAATTTCACCAAAGTTTTCTATTTATTTTCTCATGGATTGATGGAGAATGGTTAAGAAAAAAATGACCTTTTCACCATATCGCTACCTCAAAGCTTTTCTCATCCCCTCCACCATCCGTCCCTGGAGCTTTGATTTGGTCTTGGAGTCCTCAGCATGGGGGAAAATGGCTGGACAGGAACGATGGGTATTACAACTGGGTGATATCCACTTAGGCTTCTGCTTCTCCCTAACTTCACATCCACACCTTCACATTTAAAACATGTTTAAAGCATCCGTCTTCCCCCCCAAGAATCCTCTACAACTGGGGATTGTACTGAAAAGAGAAAATAAGGAGTGCCTCAACACTACAATGCTGAATGTCTTACACTCCTGTTTCGTCTCAAGCATTTATTTAATAGGATGCAACTCATCTCAAAAGCATTTCAAAAGATGCCTGCCAAGACGCTATTTATTCAGGGTTCATCACCTACCTCACTCCAATACATTTCAGTGACCATTTGAACGGACAATACATTGGTTCTTTGTGACATTCCTTAATTATACTGCATAAGCTGCCCATCGCTCAGGAATGTAATGCATTCTTTCCAAATGACTATTTGAAAATCCAGTGCATTTCTCTGGTCATTCAAAAGGAACAAATGTAGTATCTCAGTAGCCATTCATTGTTGTCCTAGGACATGGGTAGGCAACCTAAGGCCTGGGGGCCGGATCCGGCCCAATTGCCTTCTAAGTCTGGCCCGAGGACGGTCTGGGAATCAGCATGTTTTTACATGAGTAGAATGTGTGCTTTTAAGGTATACAGGTCGGAACTAAACAGTACAAATTGAGAGCATTTGCAGATGACTTAGTATTGATGTTACAGGAGCCAGAATCTAGTACTAAAAGGGTTCTAGAACTGATTCAAGAATTTGGTCAAGTGGCAGGATTTAAATTGAACAAGTCAAAAACTAAGGTTTTAGAGAAAAATCTAACACCGTTTGAAAGAGAGAGGTTTCAGAATGAGACAGGTTTAACAGTGGTTAAGAAAGTTAAATACCTGGGGATTAACATGACAGCAAAAAATGGGAATTTATTTAAAGATAATTATGAAAAATGTTGGTCTGAAGTGAAAAAAGACTTAGAAATTTGGTCAAATTTGAAGCTTTCACTGCTAGGCCGTATTGCTGCGATAAAAATGAATGTATTGCCTAGAATGTTGTTTTTGTTTCAAACTTTGCAGATCGTTGACAAAATGGATTGTTTCAAGAGGTGGCAGAAAGATATTTCTAAATTTGTCTGGCAGGGCAAGAAGCCTAGAATAAAATTTAAAATACTAACGGATGCAAAGGAAAGAGGCGGATTTGCCCTGCCAGACCTCAAACTTTACTATGAATCAGCAGCCTTTTGCTGGTTGAAAGAATGGCTACTTCTTGAAAACACTGACATTTTGGACTTGGAAGGTTTTAACAATGTATTTGGATGGCATGCATATTTATGGTATGATAAGGTCAAAGCACATAAAGCATTTAGAAATCACATTGTCAGGAAAGCGCTATTTAATGTTTGGATAAGATATAAGGACTTGTTAGAAAACAAAACCCCAATGTGGCTGTCACCAATGGAAGCGAAAGCCTTGAGAAAGGTCAATATGGAGGTCAAATGGCCGAAATATTGGGAAATTTTGGAACAAGACGGAGATAGACTGAAATTGCAGAGTTTTGAAAAATTAAAAAACAAAGTGCGAGACTGGCTTCATTATTTTCAGATAATGGAGGCATTTAAATTGGACAAGAAAATTGGCTTCCAGGTGGAAAGATCAAAATTAGAAACAGAATTGTTAGAACCCAAAACTAAGAATTTGTCAAGAATGTATAACTTGCTGCTGAAATGGAATACTCAGGATGAAACGGTAAAATCGGCTATGATTAAATGGGCACAGGACGTTGGACATAACATTATGTTTGCTGACTGGGAACAGTTATGGACCACAGGTATGAAATTTACGGCATGTAATGCCTTAAGAGAGAATATTATGAAAATGATATACAGGTGGTACATAACCCCAGTCAAGCTTGCAAAAATCTATCATTTGCCCGATAACAAATGTTGGAAATGTAAAGAAACTGAAGGTACATTTTTTCACCTCTGGTGGACGTGCCCAAAGATTAAGGCTTTCTGGGAAATGATATATAATGAATTAAAAAAGGTATTTAAATATACCTTCCCTAAGAAACCAGAGGCCTTTCTCCTGGGCATAGTCGGCCAAATGGTGTTAAAAAGGATAGAACTTTCTTTATGTATGCAACAACAGCAGCAAGAATACTCATCGCAAAGTATTGGAAGACACAAGAACTTCCCACGCTGGAGGAATGGCAGATGAAACTGATGGACTATATGGAACTGGCGGAAATGACTGGTAGAATCCGTGACCAGGGAGAAGAGTTGGTGGAGGAAGATTGGAAGAAATTCAAAGATTATCTTCAGAAACACTGCAAAATTAAAGAATGTTAGAGTGATGTTGGATCGAAAATAAGTGGTTTCCAGCTGTACAGGTTAAACTTATTGATAGACTAAGATTAAAGATTAGGATTAAAGATGTTTAAGGAAATGGAAATTTGGTACTTAAGAGGTAAAATTTTAATGTTATATTACATTAAGATTAAAGATTAGGATTAAAGAAGTTTAAGTGTTATATATTATATTAAAATTAAAGATTGGGATTAAAAAAAGTGGAAAAGAAATTGCTGGACAAACAATTTGGACTGGAATACAAAAGAGGGAGGTATGAGGAAGTCCAGAAAATAAGTAAATTCAAAAACGGAAATGGAAAAGTGATATTGTTTTTAAGTGTTCTGGTTTTTTTTGTGTGTTTCTTTTGTATTTTGTTTTCTGTGTTTTCTTTTTCTTTTTAGATTATGTATTGTGTATTTTTGTATTTCTACTTTTATGTTTTTTTTTGTTTAACTTCTTTATTGAAATCATAATAAAAATCTTTTAAAAAAAGAAGAAAAAAAAAGAAAAAAAAAGAACGTGTGCTTTTATTTAAAATGCTCTCTGTGTTATTTGTGGGGCATAAGAATTCGTTCATTCCCCCCCCCCTTCAAAATACAGCCCGGCTCCCCCACAAGGTCTGCGGGACAGTGGACCAGCCCCCTGCCGAAAAAGTTTGCTGACCCCTGTCCTAAGAGGATATATTTTGCTGTAACACCCGTGCAGTGGTACCTCGGGTTACATACGCTTCAGGCTACATACGCTTCAGGTTACAGACTCTGCTAACCCAGAAATAGTACCTCGGGTTAAGAACTTTGCTTCAGGATGAGAATAGAAATCGTGCTCCAGCGGCGCAGGAGCAGCAGAAGGCCCCATTAGCTAAAGTGGTGCTTCAGGTTAAGAACAGTTTCAGGTTAAGAGTGGACCTCTGGAACGAATTAAATACTTAACCCGAGGTAATGAACAGTGAAAGCATTTTTCTACTCCCCCCCCCTTCTTTAGTTTGTAAAAGCTCAGAGTCTCTAAACCTTGGGTTCCTAGCTGTTGTTGGACTACAACTCCCATCATTCCTACCCAGCATGGCCAGTAGAAAGAGATTATGGGAGTTGTACTGTATCACCTTGCCAACAAAGGTCTGTATAGTTAAAGCTATGGTTTTCCCAGTAGTGATGTATGGAAGTGAGAGCTGGACCATAAAGAAGGCTGATCGCAGAAGAATGGATGCTTTTGAATTCTGGTGCTGGAGGAGACTCTTGAGAGTCCCATGGACTGCAAGAAGATCAAATGCATCCATTCTTAAGGAAATTAGCCCTGAGTGCTCACAGGAATGACAGATCGTGAAGCTGAGGCTCCAGTACTTTGGCCACCTCATGAGAAGAGAAGACTCCCTGGAAAAGACCCTGATGTTGGGAAAGATGGAGGGCACAAGGAGAAGGGGACGACAGAGGACGAGATGGTTGGACAGTGTTCTCGAAGCTACAAACATGAGTCTGACCAAACTGCGGGAGGCAGTGGAAGACAGGAGTGCCTGGCGTGCTCTGGTCCATGGGGTCACGAAGAGTCGGACATGACTACACAACAACAACACTGTATCACAGAATTGCAGAGTTGGAAGGGATTCAGAGGGATCTAGTCCATTCTCTGGCAACGCTGGAATCTCAACTGAAAAACCTCCAAGGAAGGAGAGGCAGAGGGTGTTTTATTCTGGGGCCCGCCTCAGGTGCCCAAAAGTCTTGGGCCGGTGAAGATCTAAGGATGTTAATGTTTAAGTTAAATTTTATAAGAACTGTGATTTGGAAAACCGTTAAAAGGACATGACCCTGGAACACTTAGACACTGGGACACCCCGCCCTCCTAACGTCATTTCTCTCACTCAGTCACAGACCACACGTTGCTTCCAACGTCTCACACACTCGAAACATTCACTGGAGTGTCCCCACGCGCACATTCAGAAAAACCCATGCACCTCCCCCAATCCCCCTTTTTTTTTTACCAAAACCACAACCAACCGGCAGCGCTTCAACTTCGACCGGGGCCCAACAGCACCTTTTACTGCTTCCTTCTGGGAAAAACCAAAACCAGTGGCACTTTTTCTGCCCTACTGGTGGAGCTGATCAAACTCTCTTTGCTCCCACCTATCCCTGTGGAGCCTTACCTTTTTCCTCGAGGTACCTTCTTTCAGCCGTTGCTTTTTCTCCGGTCCTTGCAGTGTCTCCACTCAGGAACGGGTGGCAATTCCTCCCACGAACTTGGCAGGATGTGCACTGGAACCGCGGACACCGATCCGAGCTGTTCACCGCAGGGACGCCTTGGACCCATGTCCCTTATCCTCGGGGAATGCTGCTTTTCCCAGCCAACGCACCAAGAAATGTAGCCTTATGAGGCTTTGCCCTCAGGTGGGAAAAATATTGCGCCCGGGAAAGGGAAGTGGGAGTCAACAGACACTCAAGGAATAGTTCGGAGAAAAGACTTTTATTTCTACCATCCATGAACTGGTAGAAGGAGCAAATGTGATAAGTCACAAAAAGCATGCACGGGCTCACAGTCATGTGCACAGAGCATATATACCCCTTCCAGTTCCCTCCCCTTTCTCCTCCTTTTCCAGGAGTCCTGCCCCATGAGTTCCTCTGAGCATGAACAGAAAGCTGTCTTGGGACTATTGTGGACTCTTGGCGCCCTTCCCAGGAAAAGGGGAATGAAAGCGGTTCAGCATGTCCAAAGATGTTGCAACTAGAATGAGATAAAAGTCAGTTCTCAGGCCTGCTTTGAACAGTCTATTCATTAGCTTTTTGCAGCCTTCTTGTACTGATAAAAAGTAACGGTTTGCCCTTGCCACAGCATCTTGTGAGAAAAGCAGAGAAGAGCAGAGAAAAGCTGTTTTGGATTTTTAGAAGACAAAAGGAATTTTGGACAGTTTTGAGGCCTGGTGGGGGGGGTGACTTCGGGCCTAGGTGGGGTCACCTGTCCTCACCTCCTACAATGCCATGAAAGTCAACCAAGGGGAAGCGAGGAAGTCACTTAACAATGTTAATAAGTGTAATTTTCAATAAGGCTATGATTTATGTTTTTTTGTCTTATGTGTTTGTTTATAATATTATGAAAACCAATTCAAAAAAACTGGGGAAATTTTTGGACAGCTTCTCCGCCCACTTTTGGCGCGCAATGCGCCCCTGGCCAAAGCGGGCAAGTTCCCCCCCGTTTCCATTTCCAGGCCTCCCTTTGTCTCCGTCTCCCTCACCAAAGCGACAAGACCGCGCCCCCCCCCCGCGCGCGCCCGCATCCTCTCGTCACTCGGGCGCGCAACCCCCCCCCGGAGGCGCGCCAGGCCTGGACGCGCGCAGGAAAGGGCGGAGAAGAAGCGCGTTCCGGGCGCGCGCGCGCAGCAGCCGCCGCCTCCGCGCCTCTCCAAGGCGGCCCCGGGCTGCGCTTTGCGCCCCTGCTGCTTCCAAGCGCCTCCATTTCCAGAGGCGGCCCCGGCGGGGCTCGCGGGCTCCCGCGTCGTGGCCGGACGAGGGCCGGAGGGCGCAGGGCGGCGCCCGGAGCTCGGCGGGGACCCTCTTGGGGTAAGGGCGCGCCGCTCTCCCGCTCGCTCCTCCGCCTGCGCCTCGGAGGAGGCTGCGCGCGGAAGCTCCGCGGAGACGCCGCCGCCGCTGTTTTCGGGGGCCGCCGGGGCGGGAGGCCGAGGGCGGCCCCGGCGTTGCTTGGGGCCGAGGCTCCGCCGGGCTGGCCTTCCTTGCTCCGGTTGTCCGGAGAGAAAGCCGGTCCGGCGCTGACCTTCTCATTTCTATGGCGCAGGGCGGTTTGCAAGACGGAAACGCAAAAGAGGTTTTTGAGCAGAGGGCTGAGATTCCTGCATTGGAAGGCGTTGGGCTAAATGACCCCCCCGGGGGGGTCCCTTCCAACTCTGCCCTTCTATGATCCTGTTGAGGTTCTTGCATTGCAGAGGGTTCGACTAGATTGGCCCTCGGGGGTCTCTTCCAGCTCTACAGTTCTGATAACAAACAAGGCTGTCCCCCCTATCAGAAGTCCTGCCCTTTGAGTAAGTTATTTGTTATTAATTAATTAATTAAAATCTTGTACCGCTCTTCACCGAAGATCCTAGGGAGGTTCACAACAGAAAAATTGCAAATATATATTATAAAACAGAAACACACCAATAACCCCTCTCCCACAAAAGCATTCTTGATAACGCCTCTAACTTGTTTTTTTTTCCTTTTTTTACAAAAGCCCTCTGCGGGATTTTATTAAATGCCATGGTTCTTTTTAAATCTTTATTTTCTCCTGCTTTGCATCCTTCTAAATTTGCGATTGATAAGCCACAATAGTTGCATCTGTGTGAATGGTAGTGTACTGGGATCAGCTCTCTTGGGTGATTCTTTCATTCGTTTAGGTTTTTGTAAGAAACAAACCGAAACTAGTGTTTTCTGGTGGGTTGAAAACCACATAGTTCACCATCTGTGTAGAGGAGATTTAATTTCTTGGCCAAGGCAGGATCTTTTTAATAGCAATCAAAGCTCTCCAGAGACTTCAGAGAACATTGCAAAATACTGTTATTGTCTGGGGACTTGGTTGTTAGTATTTAAAAGTCTGGCAGTCGGTGGGTATTAACAAAAGGCAGGGCTGGCATTGTGTTATAAAAACTAGCTGTCTCCATCTCTACCCACACAGAGTTATGGCAGCCATCCATGTGCTAACAATTTTTCCCCAATAATGCCAGGACAGTTATAGGCTTTCCTGTTACTATTCAGCACTTTTCCCACTTAAAGTTAAGGGCAAAACTTACTGACAGCAGTGTCTGTTAGAATTGTAAAGTTTGGGTCCCGATTTTAGTGCTTGGTGGTTAAATTCTGTACTTTTGACTGCTGAAATAAGCAGCCCTTTGGAAACACAAAATAGGGGATCAAAGCCTCTGAAGTCCAGGAGAATTAACTGGCGTTTATTAAGAGTAGTCCTAAATTTCGACTAGGCAGTGTGTTAAATGCATGCACATAAGAGCAATTGGAACCCAGCCATTGTGTGCAAAGTGTAAGGCAGGCAAGCACAAACCGTTGGCAGGGGAAACATGACCTGCTTCTTGTTGCCTCCTTCAAGTATGTGTGTGTGTGGGTGCTTGCGGCTCTGGATACTCAGAGAGCTGTGTTGTTGACAGACTGTCCTTAATTTTCATGGGTTTGCTTACCTGTGGCGTTGGGAACCCTAAAACCCCGAATCCACATAGTTTTTGCTTGTTCCTCTTCTGCTGTAAGTCTGCCTGTTGCTGGCCTCAAAGATAGGAGTGAGCGTACCCAGTTGAACTGGTCTTATAACCACAAGGAGCTAAATAATAATAATAAATCCTAAGAAGACTCTTGAAGGACAAAAAGTAGTAGAAGGAAATGCCAAAGACCTTTGCCATAACCAGAGCGGTAGCTATGGGGGGCTAGTTGGGGTTTTTGCCCTGGGTGAAACCTCCAGAGGGGTGACATCAGGGCCATCTTAAGCATATCCGGTGCCGTGGTGCAAAGCTCCCTCCGGTGGCGCCTCCTCCCGTTTCCCAGAGTTTTTTAGCGAGGACGGTGGGGCTGGAGGAGGCGGGCAGTGGCTGGAGGGTGGCTCCTCCGGCGGGGAAGAGGCGGAGGCTGGATGCGGCGCCTCCCGGCTCATCTGGACGCTTTGTGCCGCGGTGGCCATGGCAGACGGAGGTTCTGGGCGCGGCACTGCTTCGGCGTGGCATGGCGGAGGCGGGTGAGGGCGGTGAGCTGATGCCGGGTGGCGCCGCGTCCAGCCTCCGCCTTTTCCCTGGCACCCTCCAGAACTTGGTGCCCTGCGCCACTAGCCTCTATGGGCAAGACGCCCCTGGGTGCCATTGAGGCTTTCAGCGTGTGTGTGTACGTGTATGCAAATGTGTGTGGGCACAGTATCAAATTGGGTTGTTGACCTGAGTGAAATAAAGCCTAGTTTCACCTCTGCCATAACAGACAAGTGACAAAAATTGGAACTCTGGGTCATGCAGTGATACGATTTGCAGAAGGTTTGGGACAGTTATTTGAGGAATTTGCTGGCACAAGATGTGATCCTGGGTAGCTTTAAATGGGGATTTGAGAAATTTGCGGAGTGGAAGGCTCAATGGCTGCTACTTGTGGTGCCTATATGCAACTTCCAGGTTCAGAGGCTGCGAGGACGGGAGATGATGGTTGCTTTCACATTCTGCTTAGGGGCTTTTTGGGTGTACCTGGTTGGGCTCAGTGAGCCTTTCTGTCTGATCTAGCAAGGCTGCTGTGTATGACGTGAAATGCTTAACTAAAACCCAGCTCTTGTGCTCCAGTGCAGCTGTCCTGAACACAAGGGGATGAATAGAAAAGAGTAGCTTTGCTAAAATCCGTGCCCCGGAGACAGGCAAGATGCTGCTGTTCTGGGTGCACCTGAATTTGAGCGGCTTGCGAGCCATCTCATGGTACCTGTAACAAGAGGCACGATGGAGGTGGGTGGCCAAAAGCCCCTCACAGACCAGAACAATGGTTTATAGTGTAAACCTGTTCATGTATTATTTTGCTGTGTTATTAGAATTAGGCCCTTGATCCGTACGGCTTGGGCTGACTCTCATGAAAGTTTTGTGATGGATCCTCTCAGTTACTTCATCTTTCTTTTGTTTGCATGTTGAGTTGACCTGCCCTTAAGGGAGCAGCAGCGTACTAGTCTCTGGTGGTTTTTTCTTTCTCTTGGGACCGAACAGTGTGCTTGTTATGCATGCCCTGTAAAATTGATGAAGCATTTAATTTGCCTCTTTCATGCTCTGCAGTGCTTTCCCGTTGCTTCGTGATAACAACAAACTGCTTCATATATAGCACCCCTGGTAAAGCGCTCTCACTCTCTTTTCTGAAAGCTTCATTTGCTCCCATGAAGAACCTGCTACATATTGGAAACCTTGAGGGCACCTTCTCTCTTGTGGAGCAGCAGACCAGAGAGATGCAGTGCTGTGGCCAGCATAGAATTAGGCAGTCAGTGGACAAGGCTGGAGGTGGACCTAATGGTGGCATCCCAAAAATGGGATGGTGGGAGCTGGTTCACCGTCCCCCAGACCTACTTGCAGGCCAGAGTGCACGCACGGGAGCGCACGCGGTGGAGGGCGCTTCCCTCTCTCCCCCCTTTTCAGGCCAACTTTCCCAGGCGCCAGGCCAGCAGGTGCGCCAAGCTCCAGCCCACAGTGCGGCCATGGGGAGAGGTCCGTGGGCGGCGAGGCTTCCTATCAAAGCCCAGCTCCCTTCCTCCGCAGGGCCGGAGAAGCCAGGAAGAAGGAGGGAGGAGCCGCTGCCGCGGTGAGGAAGGGGAAAATTGCCCAAAAATGGCGCCCGAAAAAAGATTGGAAAAAAATGGTGATCGCGCCGACCCAAGCAGCGATTGCAGAACTGTTCACGGGCCGGATCCAGAGAGCAATTGGGCTGGATCCGGCCCGTGGGCCTTAGTTTGCCAACAAAGTAGCATGGTACTCTAATTAGGATGAACTCAGAGTAGTAGTATGGTACCAATTTTCTTCTTTAAACAGCTGCTGCCTGTTGCTGATACTCGGATCTAGCCAAATAACCATCTTGTTGATGTTAACAGGGCCATTTATAATATGTGATTAGGCATCACAGTGATAACGATATGGCATCATGCAACTCTTTACATTTGGCTGTTTGTGATGATGTCACTAAGGGCAAATGAAGCTCTCTAGCTGGCCTCACTCTTTGGGTTCCTACGTCAAGGCAGCAAAACCAATGCTCCCAATCCTGATATGGTGCTCTGATAGTTCATTACATGCCAGCACACTCTGGCAAGGGAACATTAGCCTACCTGACCTTCACAATCTATAAATATTTATTCCCGCTCCCAGAGCATTGGGAAGAGCAAAAATTGTCTCCCCAGTCTGGACTATCTGAAGTTTTGTATAATACTGTCTGCTCCCAGTGATCTTAGTTTATTTACTGCCTAGTGTTTCTTGACATGGATTTTGATCATGCGCGTGCATCTGTTACAACACAAGGGTTGAGACGCTGAAGAATAAAAATAGAACAGTAGCCTGCACCAGCAAACTGTATTTTGTATGTGGTTCTTGCATTCAAGACTTGGTCAGATTGCTCATGTTGCTTACATGTATTGAAAGATCCAACAGAATTTAACTCAGTAATCATACCTACATTACGTAAGGCAGCAGAAGCTTGAGTTATGGGGCAGTGTGCCACCAGATGTTTTCTTCTTTCAGTTTATTTCTTTTTGCATCTGCAATCCAAATGACATTAACACGTGTTAGGCATTGCACCAGCTACATCTCAGACGCAGCAGGCATGGGGAACCTGTGGCCCTGCATATGTTGTTGGACTCCAGGTCCCATCAGCCTCGGCCAGCATAGCTGTTGGTCAGGGATGATGGGAGTTGTGGTCCAGCAGAATCTGGAGAGCCGCTCCTCTTTGGATTACAGGAAACCAATTCCTTTTGAAAGCCAAGATGAAGATAAAAAAGGCAAAGGGACCCCTGACCATTAGGTTCAGTTGTGACCAACTCTGGGGTTGCGCCACTCATCTCGCTTTATTGGCCAAGGGAGCCAGCGTACAGCTTCCGGATCATGTGGCCAGCATGACTAAGCCGCTTCTGGCGAACCAGAGCAGCGCACGGAAACGCCATTTACCTTCCCGCCGGAGCAGTACCTATCTATCTACTTGCACTTTGATGTGCTTTCGAACTGCTAGGTTGGCAGGAGCAGGGACCGAGCAACGGGAGCTCACCCCATCGCGGGGATTCGAATCACTAACCTTCTGATCGGCAAGTCCTAGGCTCTGGTTTATTTTTATTTTTTTATAAGATATTTATTAAAATTTTCAATGTTTTACAAAACACACAAGGAAAAAGAAAAAAAAAAGAAAATACATAGTAAAAATTTAAAAACAATTCTTTCCTTCCATTACTTAACCTTCATTTACTTATTTCCAGGACCTCCTCACACCTTCCTTTTTTGTATTCCAGTTCAATTATTTTGTTCAGCAAATCCCTCCCCTCTTTGAATATCCTAATCATTAATCCTAAAAATGTTGTAATTTTAGATTTTTACATATTACATAATAAACCCTTTTTTCATCTTCCCTTGTAACCTTTCAGCTAGAGACCACTTAGTTTCTATCCAGCATCATTCTAACATTCATTAATTTTACAATATTTCTGTAAATAATCTTTAAACTTTTTCCAATCTTCCTCCATTGACTCTTCTCCCTGGTCTCGGATTCTGTCAGTCATTTCCGCCAGTTCCATATAGTCCATCACCTTCATCTGCCATTCTTCCAAGGTGGGTAGATCTTCCACAGCACCACACACAGCTTAAATATGAGGACAGTGCTAAATGAAGCATGCTGCTTGACGTATCAAGGCTTCTCCTGCCTGAGGATGCAAACTCTACCCATGCCTTTAGCTGTTGGACCGAAGTTGAAGCAGGCCTTTTTGTTATTCATGGTGGCATGACCTGAAGCATGTAGCGAATTTCCCAGCAGGCCTTTCTTTCACCTGACTCAGTGTTCTCGCCAACAGACTTGGATGGAGGGGGCTAGGAAAAGAGGCTGGATTCACTTCTTGCAAAGCTCCTGGTCGGTTGTGAACAGAAGCCCTATTTTTTAAAATTTTAAATATTTTTTATTAGGAATTTCAGTTTAACAGTTTTTCAAAAAATACATCATCCTCAATTTCCCCCCTCCCCATAAGAAAAAAAAAAAGAACAACACAAACAGAACCCCACCCCACCCCGACTTCCCTCAGCTGCTCTCTCTGGTTTTTCAGCACTTGCTATTCTCTGCATGTTATAAAATTGTACAGAGCCTTAATTTATCTATCTAAAGGTTATCAGTAAAAAGTTTGTGTATGTTTATTCAAAACCTGCCAAGGAGTCCAGTTCATTTTGCTGTTTCTTTAGGTACTTTGTAAAAGGTTCCCATTCATCTTTAAAGTCACAGTTATCCTTCTCATGTAATTTTGCCAATTCTGCGTAGTCCAAGAGTTTAATTTATGTGTCAGTTTTGCCAATTCTGCCTAGTCCAATAGTTTCTCTTGCCACAGTTCTTTGCTTGGGATTTCTTCATTTTTCCATCCTTGTGCTATTAAGACTCTTGCCGCCGTTGTCGCATACATAAAGATATTTTTCAGTTTCCTTAGCAGGTCTTTTCCTTCAATCCCTAAAAGAAATGCTTCAGGTTTTTAACAAATGTCAATTGGAACATTTTCTTCAACTCATTATATATCATTTCCCAAATTTTTAAAATTTTACTACAATCCCACCACATATGATAAAAAGTCCCTTCTTTTTCCTTACATTTCCAACACAAAATTGAATCGGTTAACAGAAGCACTATTTAAGCAAGGTCTGAAGGGCTTGCAACGTTGGTTCTGCCCTCTGAAGTGCTAATAATAATAATAATAATAATAATAATAAATTTTATTTATATCCCGCTCTCCCCAGCCGAAGCCGGACTCAGGGCGGCTAACAACAATAAAATAATACAACATTCTAAAATCATTTCATTAAAATTAATTCAACTCAAATTGATGGCAACCATTAGGCTAGAGTTCTGTGAAGGTTGCCGAAGGAGGGGGTCAGGCTGTGCCCTGGCCAAAGGCCTGGTGGAACAGCTCCGTCTTGCAGGCCTTGCGGAAAGATGTCAGGTCCCGCAGGGCCCTAGTCTCTTGTGGCAGAGTGTTCCACCAGATTGGAGCCACAGCCGAGAAAGCCCTGGCTCTGGTTGAGGCCAGCCTAACTTCTCTGTGCCCTGGGACCTTCAAGATGTTTTTATTTGAAGACCGTAAGTTCCTCTGTGGGACATACCAGGAGAGGCGGTCCCGTAGGTACGAGGGTCCTAGGCCGTATAGGGCTTTGAAGGTTAAAACCAGCACCTTAAACCTGATCCTGTACTCCACCGGGAGCCAGTGCAGCTGGTATAGCACCGGGTGAATGTGATCCTGCAGCGAGGACCCCATAAGGAGTCTCGCTGCAGCATTCTGCACCCGCTGGAGTTTCTGGGTCAGTCTCAATGGCAGCCCCACGTAGAGCGAGTTACAATAATCCAGTCTGGAGGTGACCGTCGCATGGATCACAGTGGCCAGGTCAGGGTAAGAGAGTGCTGGAACGGAGGGCTTTTTCACGCCCCTCCCACAGTGCAAAACCCAACGGAAGGACAATGGGAGCATCCAGGCAGAGCGTTGGTTGTTGCTCATGTTGGGGAACGGGGGTTCAGAGGCCTTGCCTGTGTCCTCGCCTTGAGGTGTGCAACAGGGATCTTGTGTCGGGAGGTGCTTTTGTATCGGGTTGCGCTGAGGGCTAAATTTGGACCCTGGGTCTGCAGCAAGACCCACAAGAAGTGGGGCTGCCCTTGAGTGCTGCTAGATTACTGGGATTACCAGGTTACTAGGATGGGGGTAAGCTTTGTTGCTTGGCACTGTAACACCCGCAGGCAGGGCCCAACTTGGCTCCTGTTTTGGGACTACAATTCCCATCATCACTTACCCCTGGTCCTGTTAGCTAGGGATGATGGGAGTTGTAGTCCCAAAACATCTGGAGGGCCAAGTTTGGCCATGCCTGCGTTACGGTGACTAGTAGCTTTTTTAGAAAAATTAAAAAATAAAAACAGTAAGCATTACTGCAGGGGATACTCAACTGTTCCATTTGAGAGGGGAAATGTCTAATGTGAACTTTATTTATTTAATGACCTTTATATACCTCTTCATTGTAAAAACAACAACCTGTGTACAGTTTACAGCAACATAAAAAAAACCCTTAAAAGTGGTTAATAAAAAACAGCTAAAAACAAATTACTAAAAAGATCACTAAAATCAGCAGTATCTAAAAAGAAATAAAGCACATGCAACTTAAACATTTGTGGATAGGCTTACCTACACTACACAAGGATGTGGTTTTGGGGTGTACAGTGTTCATCTTGGCGCTGCAGGGGATCCACAGTCACGATCCACAGCCACATGGGAACGTCTCGAGATGACTGGGCTGTGTTGCTGAAACATCCTGGAGCTTTCTTCTCCATTGAAACAGAATTTGCAGTCCCAGGTTGACAGCTGCGGGATAGTAGTGTGTGCATGTTTAAAATGAAGCAGTTGTAGTTAGAAATACAGTCTGGAAACGAAAGTTTCACTTGCATGGGGTCTGTCATATTCACAGTGCTAATGTTAAACCTGCACAGGTGAATGAATACTTTGAATATGAAGTTTGAACCAGAAAGTGTGTTTGTGTGTTGGAAAGGGGGGGGGGCCGGAGCTGCGATTTTTGTTGTGACATTTTTTGTTTCCTCTCCCATTGTGTCTCCTGCTCCAGGTCCTTCCTTCTCCTTTGTGGGTGGGTGTTTCTGCTTTTGGAAGCTGTTGCCTGGAAGAAAGTGTGTGTGTGTGTTGGGACTTTCCTGTCTTGGGAGAATACAATGGACATTGGCAATGGGGAGGGAAAAGATGAGATTTTGCGAAGGATTTTCCAGATTACTGCTAGGAGGAAGTGGGAGGGAGATCTTCCGGCCAGGTGACCTCATGAAGGCTTCCTCTGTGAACAAGGCAGGCTGGAATTGTGTAGGCATAAATTTTTTGAGAGATTGCTGTTGGACCCTGCCCAGGGGCATGTTTGCAGAATGGTTGTTATGCATTTTTGTGCTTTCATTTTGTATTTTTATGTTGTGAGCCACCCTGTGATCTTCGGATGAAGGGTGGTGTGACGTTTGCCCTCCTAGGTGTACGACATTCATAAGGAAAGGGTTAAGTAATTGTAAAATGACTAACCAATGGGAACCCAAGGGGCGGAGTTGACTGTATAAGGTTTAAGCACAGAGGTTTTAGGGAGTAATAATAATAATAATAATAATAATAATAATAATAAATTATTTATACCCCGCCCATCTGGCTGAGTTTCCCCAGCCACTCTGGGCAGCTTCCAATCAAGTTAGAGTTGGAGGTATAGGTCAGTAAAGAAACTAAAGTTAAGATACTGACAGGAATATTTTCTGAGAAACCATAAACTTGCTAATGTTTATAAAATAAACTTGTTTATTTGGTTCACTGTTAACAACTGTCTGGGCTCCGTGTTTTACCCGAGAGTAACGGGTTGGTGGCAATGGGGAAGCGAGCACAGTGGTGGCGGAGGGATCAGTAGACCATTAAACGTCCAGGGACCCTGTGTGATCGCCACAGGTGGTATAAAGTTTTTAGAAATAAATAAGTAATTAAGTAAAAATAAAACATAGGACCAGTTCTGGCATCACCTTTATCCATGGTTGTGCTCACAGCATCACCAACAAAATCCTCATGGGAGAACCCTCACTTGTTGCTTTTCAGCTGCTCCCTGTTCCAGGAGATATTGCTTCCATTCTGGCTGCCTCTACCGTAAGGTGGGTCTATGTGGTGCTTCCTGGGTGTTTTGCACTTAGAAACCCCCCAGTCCTGGGCAGCAGCGATGATGGAAGTTGTAGTACCAGATTAGCTGCCTTTGTCCAGAGGCACTTGTTTATAAAGGGGGACCAAATAAAATAACCCAATGAGGCCCCAAAGTTCTGACTTCTGCAGCTTAAGAAGGCTGAATCCCAACTGTATACAGGAGGGATGACAAATGCGGCTGAAAAGAATTATGCTTGGGCCACCCAAAAGCTCAGGTAGTTGGGGGCATTAAGCGGGAAAACGATATTGTCACTGGGTTCCTTGGGTGGTCCTGGTGATCTTTACCAGTGCCTGCTCTGTGATAATTTGTTAGCTCCTGAATCCAGTAGGAAGTCCACAATAACAAATAGGATGCATATTGTATCATTTTTGAAGCGTAACCTAAGAAATCAAATATTTTACCCATGGACCATAGCTCTTTATTAAAAGCTCCTTAACTGTCAAATAGGTGGTCATGATTCACTTCCAGAAAATGTGTGTGTGTAACACTTTTCTGCAATGCAGGAATCTCAGCTAAAGCATCCATGACAGCTGTTTATCCAACCTCTGCTTAAAATCTTCCTAGGAAGGAGAGTCCACCACCTTCTGAGAGAGACTGTTCTACTGTTGAACAACTTTTACTGTCAGAAAGTTCTTCCTGATATTTAGTCGGAATCTCCTTCTTTGTAACTTGAAGCCATTGGTTTGGGTCCTAGAATCTGGAGCAAGAGAAAACAAGCTTGCTCCATCTTCCTCTTGACAGCCCTTTGTTTATTTGAAGATGGCTGTCATGTTTCCTCTTATTCTTGTGTTTGTTTTTTAAAATATCATTTTTACTTGCTTCCTGGGAGTAGGTCCCATTGAAAACAGTATGACCAGCTCACAAATGAATATGCATGGGATTGTAGATATCCAGAACAATCCTAGGGATACTTTCTTGGATGGCTAATTGGAGCTTACTTGCAAATTAGCATGCATAGGCTTGCAGCCTCTGTGTTAGATGGGAGTTCTTAAATAATTCAGTTGCATCTCTTGTTTATTTCAGGTTAAAAGACTCACATTTGAGGCACTGAAGGAAAAGAAACCTGCTTTATAGATGGCCTTGGAGGTAGAAAAATCTCCTTTTGAGGCATCGTTGAGTGCGAAGGCCAAATGCTATGGGAGGTGGAACTACCGAGAACTCGAGATGGACCACTCTGAACTAGTTAGCAAGGTTTGCCAGCCTTCAGCTGTGGAAGAAGAAGAGCCTTTGCCCAAGGAAACAGTGGTTGGAGAGTTCAAGGCCATAGAGAAAGCTGGCCATACATTTCCTGGCATTTTCTGGAGAACTGAAAAATGTGATAAGATGTCTTCAACAGCTTCTAACAAGTTTTGCAAGATGAAAGCAAAAGTAAAGTATGTGGAGAGACGGCCGCTCATCAGTAGGACCACTTTTGGTAGTGAAGTAGCTCCCAGTTTTAGCAGAGGTGGTTTGTTTCCAGAAGAACAACAACAGGTGAGCATATTTAGGTATTCATACTTGCACGATGCTTCCAAGAAAAATGCTAAGGAGTCTGGATTCTCACAGTTGAAGAGTGAATGATCATAGTGCAGAAAACATTTTTTATTTCCTTTTATACATCTCTTTCCATTGGCACATGTGACATGGTGGATAAGCAGTTTGGAAGAAACTTTAGGAGTTATCTGAATTAGAAACCAGAGCAAATACCTTGCAGCCTTTGACTGCCGTTCTGATTCAGTCACGCTTCTGCCTCTTCCTTTAAAATTGTTTTGATTGAACGTTGGTCAGGCTGGATCAGAATGCAGGTGGGGAGGGATGATCAGTGAGAAGGGTAACAGATTGCTACCCAGTGTTAGGCACACTTAATTGGGAGTAAGCCTCATTGAACACAGTGGGGCTTGCTTTTGAGAAAATGCACATAGGGTTGTGCTGTGAATTCGCGTATTTTAGAGTTTCAGATTTATGGTATTTGCTACTGTCAGGGAACTGACATCGGAGCTAGAGGTGGAGGGGAGGCTCTCTAATGATGCTGGAGAAGGGCCCAGCAGGGAGAGAGGCAGCTCAGCAGATGGGGAAGCAAATCAGCGCAACACCCGGGATAGAGAAGGGCAGATGGGGGAATCGGCGAGAGGGCTCCAGGACTCTTCACCGGACACCAGCGGGGAGAGCACTGGTCCTCCGCTACCCACGCCCTCCCTGCGCAGAAGACTTCCGCGCAGAGAGGGTAGGAGGAGACTGGGTGTCAAACAACTTTTATGTTGGAAAAGGTTTGAGAAACGCCCACTGACGGATTCTGCTAGCGACTGAGGCAGCCACGAATTGAAGGGCTGTCCAGACAGAAAGGTTTAAGAAGGCAACATAGCCAGGAGAGGCGGCAACTTACGCACGAGCAACCCCATACCATTATAGCTACTATGGCAATATTGCAAGTGAGGGTGGGGAGGAAGAATGATAGACCCGCTTCCCTGAATGTATTCTTCAGGGTTGGGCAGCATTGTGGACTTTTCTGAAAACCTATCCAAATGGTGCACACAATAGATCTAGTTTGTTGGTTTAAATACGGGTGAACGCTGCCTGAGCAACAGGAGCATAAATAGTCCATGGGAGTGAGTGAATTTGCTTGAATGTAATTGGTCTGGGTCTTTCTATTTGGGTGTGTGTTTTGAGATTCCCAAATACATGTAATGAGACTGAAGGTACATTCTTCCACCTTTGGTGGACATGCCCAAGGATTAAGACATTTTGGGAGATGATTTATAACGAAATGAAAAAGATATTCAAATACACCTTCCTGAAGAAACCAGAGGCCTTTCTCCTGGGCATGGTCACCCAATTGGTGCCAAAGAAGGATAGAACTTTTTTTATGTATGCTACAACAGCAGCAAGAATACTCATTGCAAAGCACTGGAAGACACAAGATTTACCCACCCGGGAAGAATGGCAGATGAAGTTGATGGACTATATGGAACTGGCGGAAATGACTGGCAGAATCCGAGACCAGGGAGAAGAGTCGGTGGAAGAAGACTGGAAAAGTTTAAAGACTATTTACAGAAATACTGTAAAATTAATGAATGTTAGGAAAACGTTGGAATGAAGTTATATGGCTTTAGTAGAAATGTTATAAGGAATTAAGTATAAATAGACTAATAGAGTATTAAAGGAAAAAATAAGGATAGAAAGTGTTAAGATAATTATAGGATAGAAAACAGAGGAAGATGGAAAGGAATTGCTGAAACAATTAACAGAAGTGGAATACAAAAAGGGACGTGTGAGGAGGTCATTGAAATAAGTGAATGAAAGATAAGATATTGAAATTGTTTGATGTGTTTTAAACTGCTTTTGTTTTGTTTTGTTAGTTTAATGTGTTAGTGTTATGTAGTGTTTTTGTATTGTATTGTTTATTTTTTTTATAGTGTTTAAATTGTTGGAAAAGTAATAAATATTATTTAAATAATAAAAAAAAAGAGATTCCCAAATACATAAGTAATTAGTGTCATCCTTGTGATGACCCTTCCAAGTCTGCAGTTCTATGATTCTGTGTCATGGGTAGGCAAACTAAGGCCCGGGGGCTGGATCCGGCCCAGTTGCCTTCTAAATCTGGCCCACGGACAGTCTGGGAATCAGCGTGTTTCTACATGAGTAGAATGTGTCCTTTTATTTAAAATGAGTCTCTGGGTTATTTGTGGGGCATAGGAATTCATTCATCCCCCCCCCCAAAAAAATATATAGTCCGGCCCCCCACAAGGTCTGAAGGACCGTGGACCGGTCCGCTGCTGAAAAAGTTTGCTGACCCCTAATGGCATTCGCATCAGAATGCTGGTTTTCATTCCTCCAGCCTTCAAATTAATCCAGGTTCACTTATTTCGGGGGGGGGGGAGCCATTGAGCTTAAAAGAAAAGAAAGAAAGAAACAATTGTCAGCAGCCTGCTTGCTAATTAACCCCCCCCCCAATATATTGGAATATTCTTTCTTTGTAAATAAAAAAAATTCCTGCCTTTCTTGCCTGACCTCTTTTTTAAAAATGACTTGCACAGGTGACTTCAGCAGAAGACTCGGATTCTGCAGAGCCGCTTCAGGGGTTGCTGGAAATCACAACCAAAGCTATGGACTCAACATTTTACAGCCCTACCACCAAACCCCTCTACAGCCTTGATGCTGATGGGAGGAGCCAGGTGACAGTTGCGCCTTATTCATCCACTCCCAAACACCTGCCAGGTAAAATAAACCATCGTTTTGATGCTGTGACACCTGCGTTCCCTCGGACTAGCTTCGCCTTACAGCCTTCAGAAGACTCTGGTTTTGATCAGCAGGGGATGACGAGATCAAAGAGCTTTTTGGGGGCTGGGACTCTTTCGTTGTCCCCTGAAACATCTGCTCCCTGGCAGCTGCCTGGTCTCCCTGACCCTTCAGGAAACCACATGCTGGGTGCACACGGGCACATAGCTTTGGATAGCTCCCCCACAGTGGGTCACATGAGAAAGATGTCCTCCTTCCAGGCGGACTACTGGGCGTGTGCCATACCCGATTGCCTGCCCCCATCGCCAGACCGCCAGTCGCCCCATTGGGACCCTAATAAAGAATATGAGGACTTGCTTGATTACACCTATCCTTTGAGGCCGAAACACAAGCTTGCAAAGAACCCCAGAGAGTCTTCTGTCCACGATTCTGGGGTTGACCTCAACAGCCTTTCCATTTCTCCCGAGAGTACCTTGAAGTCCATGAACCTGCAGGGCCAGGAACCCCTGGCTGCAGAGATCCCACACTCAGAGAGCTTTCCAACCCCTTTATTGGAAAAGTCAGAATGCCCCCTTCCAGTTTCTCACTACAGACTCTCACCTGTTGGGAAAGTGTCCTTTTCTGATGGTGTTCCCTCTCCTGGGAGAACTCGCATCTCTGGAGAGATGGCGCATGGCTTGTCTCCTATGTGCCCACGACCAGTTCCATTTGATTCATGCAACTTGGATGAAAGACGCTGGGACACAAGGGGATATGGCTGCCTTACAAAGAGAGATGCTGTCAGTAGCAGCTTCATACGCTCCACAAGGGTGCTGCCTTTACAAAACGGGAGTTCCAGTGATGAAGAGTATCTCTCCTTACCACCCAGGCTCAAGGAGTTAGAGATGTTGGCTCAGCAGCTGACTGAGCTTTCACTGATCATAAGGAACCCTGAACATTTTGCATATGGCGATGTGACTGGAGAGCAGCTTCCACTGGAGGCTCAGGGAGATGGTGGAGCCAGCAAGAGTCAGTGGGAAACAGATGGTGATTCTTGTCATACGTGTAGCTTCCATGAACATATTGAAGAAGACCTTCTGAGCAACCAAAGCTGCCAGGACCAGGAGGAGTTTCCAGGAGAGGCTGCTAGTAGCATTGACTTGCTCAAAACAAGATTCCTCGAGAGCGGAGGTCATCATGTCGAGCAAGAGACAACCCGATGCAGAGACTCCCTTGCACTGCATATGAGGGTAAATAAAATAAATCCAAACCTGAACAGCAAAATGCCAATTGTGTCATATGATACTTAGATTTGAAAGTGGCCAAAGGGAGTGTGCGACTTTTGAAGAGCTGAAAGACCTGAAGGCCTGGCTGCTTGTCCCTGTGTAGACCTGTATTATCACTTATATAATAATAACAATTTATTATGTACCCCGCCCATCTGGCTGGGGTTCCCCAGCCACTCTTTGCGGCTTCCAACAAAATATTAAAATACAATAGTAAGTCAAACATTAAAAGCTTCCCTAAACAGGCCTGCCTTCAGATGTCTTCTAAAAGTCTGGTAGTTGTTTTTCTCTTTGTCATCTGGTGGGAGGGCGTTCCACAGGGCGGGTGCCACTACCGAGAAGGCCCTCTGCCTGGTTCCCTGTGACTTGGCTTCTCGCAATGAGGGAACTGCCAGAAGGCCCTCAGCGCTGGATCTCAGTGTCCGGGCTGAACGATGGGGGTGGAGACGCTCCTTCAGGTATACTGGACTGAGGCCGTTTAGGGCTTTAAAGGTCAGCGCCAACACTTTGAATTCTGTTTGGAAATGTACTGGGAGCCAATGTAGGTCTTTCAGGACTGGTGTTATGTGGTCTCAGTGGCCACTCCCAGTCACCAGTCTAGCTGCCACAGTCCGGATTAGTTGTAGTTTCTGGGTCACCTTCAAAGGTAGCCCCACGCAGAGCACATTGCAGTAGGTCATCTGGGGCAAGTTTATGTGTAGCACAACCTACCTAATGTCATAGGGCAGGGACCCGAAAACAGGCATTTTCTGCTCCTGCACCGTGCCTGTCTCTGTACCATTTGGGAAGCAGCAGCCACCAGTATTGTATTTAATGTTAATTCTGGAAGTGTCCCTTCCAACACTACAATTCTATGGTTCTATGATATTTGAGGCGGGTATCATACTGGTGTATATTTAGCTCTAGGAGGCTAAATTAGGTCAGAATCGAGAATACACTTCCAGAATTAACACTGAATACATTACTTCTGGTAAATGAGCCACCGTAGTCCCTCAAGGGTTGTGAAAATTTGTGTGCCAGGCTTTTTGGACTCGTCTAGTTTTCAGCTCTCCCACCCCACTACTGCGTCTAACCTGGGAATTGAAACCCCCCCCCAAATAGTTTTACAGTTAAGCCTATAAAACTGAATTTTACTATGTCTTATGCATATAATGGGTGCCTTTGTTCTGATTCATCCAAGTAGATATTTTGCTGTCAACTAGAAGAGCTCATTTGTTGGCTGCACAAAGTAGCAGAAGTTACAGACAACTGGATTCCTCCCAAGCCAGATGTTGGAAGTGTCAAAGCAGCATTACAAAGCTACCTGGTAATTCCTTCCCCCCTTTTTCCTCCTTAACTGTGGATTTGAGTAGCTCTGAGGTCACTGGGCTTCATTATGTAGGAGCAACTGACTGCTGAAAAGAGGCCCAATTCAAATCAAATAATCCCTTAAGCAGACCCCTGTGAGAAATAAGAAAAGGCTGCAGCCCCACTGTGGCCTATCAGTTTGGAAGAATGCCTATTGTAGAAAGCTCTTTGTCCACATCATGAAACACCAGTCTCCCTTGTCCCCCCGCCCCCTCAAATGTATAAATCAGTGGAATACGGTATTGGGAAAATGTATATTCTTGCCATGTGCTCACCCTCCTAGGAGAGTTCTGCTGTTCTTGGTGTACAGTTGGTAGTAACTGGAGGGCAGATAGGCTAAGAGCAACCTTTTTCAGCCGTGGGCCTGTCCACCATCCCTCAGACCATGGGGTGGGCCGGACTATATTTTTGGAAAAAAATATGAATGAATTCTTATGCCCCACAAATAACCCAGAGATGCATTTTAAATAAAAGGACACATTCTACTCATGTAAAAACACACTGATTCCTGGACCGTCCATGGGCCGGATTGAGAAGGCAATTGGGCCGCATCCGGCCCCCGGGCCTTAGGTTGCCTACTCCTGGCTGAGAGCATTGTGATCCCTGTTTCATCAGAGCAGCTCACACAACTGATATTCCTGCGCCCTCCTTGCTGCCCACCCCTGACAGCCGTAACCCTGTCCAGAGATTCAGAGGGCCCTCCTGAACAGTCGAGGCTGCATTGCACAGGGTTGCAGTACAAAGGGGGAAATTGCCTAGACTCTGGCAGCGGGATCTTTCAGCAATGGGAGCTTCTGCTGGCAGACGACCCCTCCTCTCAATTTTAGCTGACTTCCCCTCCTATTTTGCACTGCAGAACTGTACACCACAGCCTCTGCTGTTTCGGGGTGCCCCATTGCCTCCATAGATAGGGTTTTTTTTTATTTTTGTTAAGTACAGCAGCTGCAGGCAGAGGAGGGAAAGCAAAATGGGATACACAGGCTGTCTTCTCACACCGTTGGATCTAACCTATAACTTTTAAATACATTTTGCAGAACCTATGTGCCCACTTGTGGATAATGAGTAATTGTTCTTTAGAAAGATAAATTTAAAGGACCCCTGATCCCGTTTACCTTCCCACAGGAGCGGTACCTATTTATCTACTTGCACTTTGATGTGCTTTCGAACTGCTAGGTTGGCAGGAGCAGGGACTGAGCAACGGGAGCTCACCCTGCCGCGGGGATTCGAACCACCGGCCTTCTGATTGGCAAGTCCTAGGCTCAGTGGTTTACACCACAGCACCACCTGCGTCCCTAATTTTTCTTTACTCATTAATTGATTTTTAATGCTTTGGCTTTGAATACTGTTGCTCATGACATCAATCACATTTCTATGCAGGAGTTCAAAAAGGATTTAGCTGACCACCAGACACTGACTGAAAATGTCTTGCAAGATGGCGATAGGCTTCTCAAATGCATGGTATCAGATTCACCAGGTGAGGGGAGAGACAACTAAAAGGGGGAAACAGAACCAGACTATGGTGTAGGGGAGGACAGGGGAACTGCAGGCCACCAGATCAGACCTTGTAATATTTTTCTGAAACTCCTCCACCTTCTCCCACTGGGTTTTCAACTTTCTAGCTCTCATGGTTTTCAACATACTTGGCAAATACAGTTTTCAAGTCTCACCTGTTTAAACAGAGCAAACTTAAGCACATATTTGATGTTCTCATAGAAAGCTGTAGGATTTCAGAATGCTTTATTTTTGCTGAAATATGCCCCATGTTACCTTCTTTTTACTATATAAAGGCTGAAAAACTAGAAAGCACTGTGCATGAGCTGTGACCTGAGCACATGTGTGTTTGCTAATAGAAAACGGAGCTTTGGGGTAGTGCTTTTTGGTGAATCCTTCTTGTTAGTTTCATCCGCTTGAGAAAGCTGCTATAACTTGTACAGCACCATCTCTCTATTCCTAGCATGCACCATAATCTACTCTTCTTTCTCTTATCCTCTAGTTATTTATTGCAAGCGAAGCAGAACGCTTAATGCCTCTTCTTGTGGTCATTTCTAACAGTGTTAGTTACCCAAAATTGTCAAGGAGAAACATCACAGAATCCGGCTCTTAAATTTGTATTAACCCTTGCTTCTAGTTTTACAGAACACTCTCAGCTTGATCGCCAAACAATCTGACAGGCTTGAAAGCCACGCTGAACGCTTGTATGAGACTCTCCTAGCAGCTATGGACACCCTTGGCGATGGCTTGATAAAGAATTGTGATGCTCAGCAAACGGCTGCCCAGGCAGAGTCGTCAAGGTGGGTAAGCGGAAGAGAAGATGTGAGGGTGGACCTTAATGAATGTGTTCTTGTGTGCTGGCACACCAAGCTTGCCTGGCTCCAAGGGCGTTTGAAGTTCCTTAAATAGTAAACTTGCACCCTCTTATGAATTGACGCTCATCTTCAGCTTTTCGTAAACCACTAGAAATTCCAGCAACTTAGGCAGATGCACCCCGTTTTCCTGGGGTGGATATAAGGGTATAAACGCTTTAAGAAAATCCTCAAGGTTATAATGAATTAAGGTGGAAAGGGGCAGCCCGGGATATTTTGCCACTGTAGGCAAAAGTCCCCTCCCCCCCCCCCAGAACCAGGCCCCCCCCCCTGCCCCCACTGTCACACCCCTGCAGGTTGTCCTTCGCTTCTTATGACTGGGAAAGACTCCTTCCTGCCGGCTGGTCTCAACTGGGCTGGGTGAGCCAATGATCTGATTCTGTGCAAAGCAGTTTCCTCTGCTCCTAATGGGAAATTTGGATCCAAGGTCTAGCACTTTGCACCTGAAGGGACCTCCATTGGCCCTTTTATTCCTCTTTTTGTCCCTGCTCTTTGTGGATAGAGTGGCTTCGTTAAATAAGGGACAGGGCTCCTGCGCTGTTAATGGCTGCCAAGAAGAGTGAATTTGCATCACAATCTGCATCTCTTGAAACTACCTCTCCAACACAACCATTAAAAGTTCAGGAGCCTTTGTTCTTTTTTAACCTGCCATCTTTAGGTGAATCATTAAGGCTGCAATCCTGTACCCAGTTTCCCACTGAATTTAGCTGAACTTACTTTGATCAGACATGATACAGAACAGCACTGTTAAGGAGTTCAGCTGCCTCTGTGCTAAAGGGTATAAGGATCCCATCCTCCACACACTTTCTAGTTTTGTTGCTCCTTGCTTTCAGCCAGTGGTTTAATTTAAACTATCATAGCAATCATAGTCACTAATAGTAAAATGCAGAAAACAATTGGGAAATCAAGCCTGCATTGTCTGAATAGCACCTTCCTGGCCATTGGCTTTTAAAAGATTTATGACGGGTTGAAAGTGGCAGTATTAACAGTGGCCTTCTAGAAATGTAGAGCTTAGGTTGAAGTTTATCTGTACCTGTAAGGTAAAGGGACCCCTGACCATTAAGTCCAGTAGTGGACAACTCTGGGGTTGCGGCGCTCATCTCGCTTTATTGGCCGAGGGAGCCGGCGTACAGCTTCCGGGTCATGTGGCCAGCATGACGAAGCTGCTTCTGGCAGAGCAGCGCACGGAAACGCCATTTACCTTCCTGCCGGAGTGGTACCTATTTATCTACTTGCACTTTGATGTGCTTTCAAACTGCTAGGTTGGCAGGAGCAGGGACCGAGCAACGGGAGCCATGTAACTTAAGAGGGCTACTTTGCAATGTAACTGAGGCATTATCATCATCATCATTTATTCCCCACCCATCTGCCCGAGTTTCCCAGCCGCTCTGGGTTTCTCCAGCCACTTTATGTCCTGAGGAACTTTTGGTTGCAAATAAAAGCATACTAACCCCCCCCCCAATAAAATTTATTTTAAGTTATTTAAATCCCATAGAGCAAATGAATGCTTGGTACCTTGGGCAGTTTTCAGTGTGTAGTCTAAAGGCATTTGACGTAGCAACCTTGCTGAAGTGAAGCAGGTCTGCTCATCCTAAGTGTATTTCGTTTGAAGTCCACAATGGAAAAAAGACAGGATGCATTTGTTAACTTGCGGATTACTTTATTTCAGATAATGCGTCTGTGTGGAATTTCACAGGGCTTCTTTCCCTGAATGAAAGAGCTGCTTCAGTAAGGAGTTCGAGGAAATATTAAAGTGCTCTCGACAGTGTTCTTGAAGCCTGGAAGCTGTATGTGACCTCTTGCAGCGTCACCAAGATTTGTTTCCAAGTTCAGGTGTTACAGCAACTGGCTCCATCTCTGGCGCCCATTGGGAGTATGCTGGATACAGCGCCCACAGATGTTGGTGTGGTCATTGACTTAATGATGAACCGCCTCTAAAGTTGGATGCCCTTTTTTAGGTTATCGTTGTTCAAGTGAACAATTAGAAGTCTCCAGTGCCTGGTCCTTTAATGTACTTGGGTTTTCCTTCGAAATATGGTTCGTTTGTTTACATGTAATTTCTATGGAAGACTACATTTCAAATAAAAGAATTTTATCACCATATATATTAAAGAAAGCACTGGCAATGTGTGATTTCAGTACACCTGGCCATCTCCCTGTCACACAGTGATCTCTAAGAAGACATGGATAACTTCACCTTAAAGGAATAGTGCCATGGCTGGTTTGTTCTTTGGTTAATCATTGGTAGAGGTTCTCTAGCAAACTGCTGTTTAAGAGCTGCTGATTTTCTTTGGAGTACAGAGAACTTATCCTTATAGCTCTTTTGAAGAATTGCTATGTGGTTTGCTAATGGCCTCATTTCATAAGAGGAATGAGACTGCAGGCCTACGCTGCCTCCTTGTATTTGCTTCCATTTTCAGCTACAGTATAGTTAAGTCTAAGCAGGGAAGTGCAGTTTTGCGTGGCGAGTTCCCGCCCACCATGGTAAATAAAGACACAAGACACCATAATTTAAGGTTAATTGGGCGAATTAGGCCACAACTTTATTGAATTCAGGAATGAGAGGCATTGGCTTAGGCATTGGTCCTATCGACTATCCGGCTCCAGCCCATTTGCTGGAGACACGGGGAAGGGTTAACACTATATCGGGGGAGTCTCCTGCAGAGGCACATCGACTAGGAGCTCCCCCGGGTCACCGCTCTGGGGCGTGCCTTTGGCCCACACCTCCATAGGCTTCAGACAGGGCCACGCCCCCCGGAGTCCTTTAACGGACCACCCTTCGCTCACTGGGGGGAGGTGATGGCGTCCCCCCCCTCCTCTTAACCCCTTCTTACCAATGCCTACCGCCAATGCCGAAGAGTTGTGACGAGTTGCTACAAGGTAGGCGAAAAACCAAAAGGCTGTAAATTGCCAATTGGGAAAAATTCCTACCATGCCCCTTGCGGCGACAGACCGAAGTCCATAGCAAAGTCAGAGACCTGCCTAAAGCCTACCTAGAGGGAGGGTGGGAAAACGTGAGGGCTAGCCGGCGGAAAGAGGGCGAGCCCCCTCCACGCTGGCCCTAAATAGCCCAGGCCACGCCCCCCCAGCCAGCCGATTGGCTGGCTGGGGGGGCAGACCCGGCCGGGATTTCCATTCTCGCGGGGGCTGAAACCAGCCCCCGCTCACGTGGGGTGGGCGTGAAGCCCGCAACCCCACCTCCTGGGCAGGCCGGAAGTGGCTTTGCCAAACTCTGGATTATGCTTTGAAGTTGCCTTGTTAAAACTAAACCTGGTTTGTCTCAGTCTGGAAACTAATTGCAGTTTAAAACAGTAGCTGTGCCAGTAGATGCGTGCCCAAATCCAAGACTTGTTCCCATAGTTTAGTACTGTGTATGATCTTATTCGATGAGGTAAACAGTTTTGCTACTGAAGTTGAGTTTAAGAATCCTTACTGCCAAACATCAAAATAAGAATTTTGAATATTTAAAATACATCCCCCAAAATTGGATAACTGGCTGCTCATGCACATTTGGCTAAAGCAAGGCTGCATATTTTCCCCCCCACAGTAGCAAGACTCACTGCATAAGCTATCCATGCAAAATTAAACGACCTGTTTTTCAGTAACTAGTTTGCTCAACACATGTGCCAAAAAATAAGATTCCAAACCAGTTTATTTCTGGTTTGCAGGAAAACATTGGGTTGAGTAAACCAGTTTGCATCTTAAATGCAGTAACTGTGCCTTTCCTCGTATTTGCTTCTCTCCTCAATCATGGGGAATAAAATGAACACAAGATGAGACCAAGGCCCTAAGTAGGCTGTATGAATTGAACCTTTTCCTGCCGTTTTCAACTATGCCACTTCAGTTCCCACTACGGTGATAGCTGTTGCGAGTAGTTTAATCTTTGCCTATTTTCTAACCTAGATCCTAGCTGCATCATTGCAGCTTTAAAATAATGTGCTTTTTACAGGCTTCCCATTCAACTCCTGCTATAATGCTCTTCAGCAAGACAGGTAGTTTTAGTTGTCTGATACCACTGTTCTGAAGGTGACATGATAGAAGGCACCCACATTTAGCAATTGGAACCTTTAAACTGAATGATCCCAGTATGTTGAACTGTGGCTGTTGTGAGCTCAACTTGACTAGAGCCCAGTGCAAAAGAGATTTGCTTACAAAGAACCAAGGGTGGCATACTGTCTCAGTACCAGTCCTTCCATACAAAAACCCATTCCTGCTTACCTTCTCCCCCCACCAGCTTTTTTCATTTCAGCAGTATAATTTGTAAATGGGAGATCATTTTGTTATTGCCGTTCTTCAACTGGGAGGCAAAACAGGAAACAGCAGTGACATGTGGGTATGTACACTCAAGCTAACCTGCTATTGTTGCTTTATGAACATGCTTCAGGAATAACAAGACATCCCAGTTACTCAGTTCTATGTCTTGCAACCCAAACTGTCCTGTGGATTTGAACTCCCTGAAGCTGTAGTCATAGCACTTTTTGAAACTTCCAAGTTCCTGCTGGGGGCAAGAACTTAAAATATAAACAAGTAACAGAAATGAGAACCTATCATCTCGTTACACTTCCGCTGCTTCTGAGAAAAATACTCTCATGACTGACACATGGGAGTTTCATAGTGCAAGTTAACTCTTGGTATTTTGTCACATGTTTGAGTGCCCAAACCACAGTGCTGTTTTGCCTTCATCCTAGTAATGTGGATAAATTACTGCTTCACGGAGAGCAGTGAGGCGATGGAACGTGCATCAGAGGAGACAGTGATGGCCAACAGCTTGGATGGCTTTTAAAGATTAGATTAGCCTTTTCCTCTTCTCACAGTGACTGTTCTACCCCCACTGTCAGAGGAGGCCATCTCAAGTGTGGCACTCACTTCCTGCTTACAGGGTTTCCACAGGCTTGGTTGGCCACTATGAGAACAGGAGGCTGCAGTAGATGGGCCATTTGGTTTGATCCAGCACTCTTCACTACTCAAATACTAAGGAGGACCTGCCCTACAACTAACAGGATGTAATTTACACAGCTCTTTGTGTTTTCAGGATAACGGTTAGAACTTGCCAAGATTAACCGGGTGCTTAACTTCAGCAAATAGGCACAGAGGGGTCCTCTGTTATACTAATAAAGTATGGTGCCTACATTAACCATGTGAAACTGGCTAAGCACCCAGTTGTCAAAATGTGTTCATCAGCAAGATCTGCTCTCCCCTTTGCCAGGGTCTTAACTTCAATAGCCTGGTTCTCGGTGTTAAACCTGCTAGAACTTGAATTAACTCTGCACACGAGGATGAATCAAGTAGGCAATCAGATTACAAGTTTGTTAACCAGAGGTTATTTGAGTACAATGGGTATATAGATTTCGTACACTTTTATTCCAGAACCTATTTGCATCCTAGATGTTTTCTGCACTTCAGAAATGAATTTAAATGATTGTGCTCAATGAATTCACTTTATAAACTTTCAGAAGTAGCTTCAGAATAACCAAAATTCCACGAACACAAAGTATTCTAGCTGGATATCTTCTACGTAAGAACCATTTTGATCAAAACAGTACACTATTACCCTCAAAGCATGTTAGGAATTGATCCACTAAGCACATCTCATTATGAAGTACACTTTATTGTGAAGTTCAAGAGCATATTCAAAGTTTCAGTAATTTCAATCTTCTGACAACAGTATGAAGACTTAAGGTACTATGTATTCCAGTTGTGGATGCAAATCACGTTTATCCCAATATTGGGATGAGTAATCATTTTAGTGATTTGCTAATACACTTGCCTCTCAACATATCTAACTGGCATATTTTGCAGTCACATCTGGTTGTTTTCTTGCAAAAAAGCCTTAATGGCAGTTTTAATCTCTTTTAAAAGAGAGATTATTTAATCAAGTTGGTAACTTTAAAACCCAGATAACAGGCACTAATGGATTAGTTTCTCTGTACAAGACGTGGTCGCTGTAGCAATAAATCAAGTTTTGAGTTTTTGCTCAGACTTACATTTTAGAGTCTTCTTGCTGCACAAAGTTACATTAGTCATCTGGTTATTTGCTTGATAACCAGTTCCCACCACTCCAGCTTCCTTGTGCATAACCAAGCCAACCAATAAATTGCACTAAGTTTTATTAAAGTCAACAGTATTTGATTGTGAGAGAATGGAAGTAACATTATTTAGAAAAGACATAACATCAGATTTTAACATCACCTTGTTAGTTTGAAGTCATTCATATATTAGGAAAATACTGCTTTCCTCTTCTATGACAGAGCAAGAGACACAAGGTATTTCTAAATGAAATCATTTAGAAAGATCCAGACACTTAGGAGCAGGGAGGGGGAGAATATGGTACATTTAGAGTGATTATGATTCTATAAACAATGCTAGAAGATTTTGTGTTCCAAGTATAGCATACACGCCAGAAACACCATGGCAGCTTTTAGTCATTTAAGCCATACTTGCTAGTTGTTTGTTCGGCTGGGAAGGTATGGTCCAGGAAAAGGTTCTAAAGTGCCATTACTGCACATAAAAAGGTACATTTGGGGCACAATGCAAGCCTTTCCGCTTTGCCATAAGAATTAAGACAATACTTAATCACCATACAGTTTGATATTACTTCCAATAAGTACAATATTTATTAAACATTTCTTCAGTTTGTTACATATTGTGCAACAAATTACAATGTTCTGCAGCCACAAATTATATGCAGAGTATTAAGAAAAATCAGCATCTTGGATCCAAAGAGCTACTTTAGGATTGCCCAAGGTCTAAGGCATTGCCAATGGAAATCTGCGACTTTCCTTTCAGGGGCAGCCACCCCCCACCCCCAATGAAACATGCCTCAGTTTAAAAAAAAAAAAAAAAAAGGTTTGTCTGGGAGAGGTACAAGTAGAATCCAAACCTGCCTTGGGCGCACAGAACCAATTAGTGCAGTTCTTTGGATCAAAGACAGATTGTAATCTCTCCGTTTACAACTCTACAAGGAACTAGCAAATCAGATCTTACATAGAACATTTGTCTTACTGAACTTTATGCATGGAAAAGTGACAAGACACAGTTGTGCTGTTGGATACAAAAAAGGCTATACTTCATCTTCAGAAGACTAAACCTGACATCTAAACATGCCAATATGATCAGAACAAAATAATATATTTCAAGTTTAGCCAACCACAGGAAACGATCTGGTATAAGAAAAAGCAACAAGGATTACACGCATTTATAAACCAGCACACAAAAGGTTTAACATATTTCTGAAAATGAAGTTAGCTTTATTGAATCGGGGGAATAAAAAAGTCAGTATTGACCATTTACAATCTCTGACCTTTGTGGAGACGATAAGAATCTGTTGTAGTGCAGCTACATACAGTACAATTCAGGCATTTTTTTCAGTTGGGTTCAGGTTTCAGATTCATTGCAAATGGGGAGGAGAGTTTTAGCAGCAACCTCCACTGGACTGCTTGACGGGAGTGCTCTGAATTTTAACATTGGACTTCTCTGCACCACCTGCTGTAGCTCCAGGGCCCATCCGTTTTTTGATCTCAGCAGCCATGGTCATGAAAGACTGTTCTACATTTGTTGCATTCTTTGCACTGGTTTCCAAAAAAGGAATCCCAAGGGAATCTGCAAATTCCTGTAGGTAAAGCATATCAGTGTTATTTATGCTGTCCAAAACTTGGAGAAAAATAAAGTAGCTCTGCATTTTGCCACTGTACACGAGCAAGTCAGGTATATATTAATGCCTTACTACCGAAGTCAACACCATCCTTTTACTAGGTACATTTTACATATCTTGAATCATTGGTACTAGGACTGTTGATTTATTGATACATTGCTGAAAACCAGCTTAATGTCCAGATCGTGATAAAGGTTTGATAATTTTTTGGCCATGCAATACTCTGCTCACGAGGGGTGGAAGCAGTTGCTGAACTCCTTGCTGCTAAATGCCTCCGTGCTTGCAAGGAGTGTGCTATCAGCTGGCAATGTAGTCCTTTACTGCAGAGTAAATAGGTCCCGCTCCGGCGGGAAGGTAAACACCGTTTCCTTGCGCTGCTCTGGTTCGCCACAAGCGGCTTAGTCCTGCTGGCCACATGACCCGGAAGCTGTACACCGGCTCCCTTGGCCAATAAAGCAAGATGAGCGCCACAACCCCAGAGTCAGTCACAACTGGACCTAATGGTCAGGGGTCCCTTTACCTTTTTAAAGCATTTTACTGCCATGTAAAGGGCTGCTAGCCAGCTCTAAAGCAGCTCTGCACCCTGTTGTCCAGGGAAGAAGGAAAAAGGAGTGGAATTAAGCACAGCCAATTGTAATCTGCTCTCTTTGGAGGCTGTCCTTATCATTGCTCTGTCAGGCAATGGATCTCTTGCAATGGAAATTGTTCCTAGAGGGAACTGGAGAGGAGGGATGCAGAAACCAAAATTGTCCTCAGGGACAGTGGAGGAAATCATGACCGTGGATCTAGTTCATGAGACCTTGCACAGGGAGGTGGGACTGTGCTTGCCAAAGCCTCTACGTTGCGATTCTTCTGCAAGAAACTTTCTCCCTCTGTTTTTTAAAAAAGATAATTCCTTCCCCCTCTCCCCACCACTTGTTGATCTCCTATTCTTTAGTTGCAACTGCAAACCTGCTTCTAGGCAAAACGAGGTTTAGGAGGAGTCAGGCTTGGAAAAGATTCTCTCCCCCGGCCCCAATTTCCTAGCTTACAACTTATATCCTAGTAGCCCCAGTGGACTTCTTTAAAATGTTTTCCACTGCTATTTCTGGTTGAAACTGGCCAACTTGGAAATAGCTTGACTCCAGGCCCTTAAGTGCCTTAAATTTCACCCCCACCCCCCAGCCAAGAAATGGTTGAGTTTTCACCTGGGCGGGCAATGATTGATTCCCCCCCCCCCATTCAATGAGTGACTAAACAACTGGGCATTTTTTTTTTACACACACACATTCACACATGGAGCAACTGCCAATCATTACACAACTGTTGCTCTAACTAAAGGGCAACATTGTCTTTTTAATTTAGTGAATAGCACTTCTACAAAATTTAAAGTAGACACTGAACACTTTAAAAACAAGGGTATCCCTGGGGTGTGAAGTTCTCCTTTCACTTGTTCATGGTTATGTTTTTGGTACATTCCTGGGGAGTTTTAAAAAGTGCAAAAAATTTCCTCCCCCCCAAAGAAAATGCAAGGAAGTGCTGCAGGAGAACAATGTTCTTGGCTAGGGTTGGGCAATGCCTTGTCCAAAACTGGTGTGAAGTTCACATCCAGGAATCAACGGCTTTCCCCTCCCCACCTTATTTCTTCCTTCATTCTTATTTCATACATTGTCATATGTATTGTTATATCATGACATTTAGCTGGTGATATAGCACAATGTTGAAAACCAGATATTGCCCAGCCCTACACCACCTTAGCCCATATCCAAAGTCAGAACTGTTGCAATTATTTAAAAAAAAATGTAAAATCAGTTGACGTACCTTTGCTGTTGTATAGTCTACTACTTTCTTTGTGGTCAGATCACACTTGTTCCCTACCAACAACTTGTTAACATTTTCACTGGCATAACGATCTATTTCTTGAAGCCACTGTTTTACATTATTGAAAGACTCCTGGAACATAAGGAGGTATATGTTAAATATTGCCTTTATCTTGTACAAGTGTACGAGAGAACTTGAAAAGTTGCTATAAGCTCGCTTAAAGCTCACCCCAGCAATTATTTTTTTTAAACTGGACATATTTTTTGACTAAGGTACTTAAGACACACTCTTCTTAGCTCCATCACTTCTTCCTGTGGCTGCAGCCAAGGAAAAGGACCTTGTCAAGCGCAAGATCTTTCCTTCAGAGATCCACAATAGCAATGTACTGTATTTTTCGCCCCATAGGACACACTTTTTCCCCTCCAAAAATGAAGGGGAAATGTGTGTGCGTCTTTTGGGGCGAATGCAGGCTTTCGCTGAAGCCTGGAGAGCGAGAGGCATCGGTGTGCACCGACCCCTCTCGCTCTCCAGGTTTCAGGAAGCTATCCGCAAGCCTTGCAAGCCCGGTGGGAGTTCCCGCGGGCTCACAAGGCTTGCAGGCAGCAGCCTGCAGCCCCGGCGAGTGTCCGCAAGCCTTGCGCGCCCAGCAGGAGGTCCCGCCAAGCGCGCGAGGCTTGGGGCGGCAGCCTGCAGCCAGAAGCACGCGGAGCCCTCCGGAAGGTGCCCCGTGCTTCGGGCAGGTGTGCACAAGGCTTGGGGCGGCAGCCGCGGCGGGGGGGGGGGGGAATAATTTTTTTTTATTCATTTCCCCTCCCCCAAAAAACCGAGGTGCGTCCTATGGGCCGGTGCGCCCTATAGGACGAAAAATACGGTAAATAAGCTGCATTTAAAGCAATTTGGTGTGTGCATAAACTCTAAAACAGACACCTTTCTGGTCACCTAGGAAGGAATAATTGAAAGACTGCCAGGAAAAGTGGAGCAGGAGGCTCAGAGGGTAGAACTACCACTTTATATGAGCCTCCTCTCTGCACACAAGCTTTTGACACCTATGTACAAAGTTTACATTTCCCCATGGTTTGCTCAGAAACCATAAACAAGCTTTCAGACACTATTTCCTCAAAGGCAAAACAAAGGCCAAGTGCTTACCTGATCTGTAACATCATACACAACTATGATGCCATGAGCTCCTCTGTAGTAACTAGAAGTGATAGTTCGAAATCTCTCTTGGCCTGCCGTATCCCACTACAAAAAAGCAAAAGAGAACTTAGAAGATGGCATCTGTTCAGAGAAGCAGCTCACTCTATTCCAATAGAGAAAAGGGGAAATAGGGAAAGTTAAAAGGAGTTCTGTAAATTCTTTCAGTGATCCTTTATGGACTGCTCTGAAGTACCTGCCACAAAGAAGACGACACCTTTACACTACTGAAGTGAAATTGAAAGATACTGCCATACATTAAGGCAAGGTGTGTCAACTGTAAAACGTGACTATTCAAGGACCCTCAGTACATTTCCCCACCCCAGCATGCCCCTCTCTAAATAGCACCTGGCTTTAAAGAGTGAAGGATCAAATCCTCAACAGTGAGGGTTAGCAGCAGCCCTGCCATCATGCGTCTTCAATTAGCAGCCAAGAAGCTCAGAAATAAACAGCACAGTGATGTGGAGCAGCAACATGGTAATTTCCCTGGTCTGGCAGCCGTTGTACTACTAACTTCAGTGAATTACAATTCAGAAGCTTTTTACATATTTAAGGTCCTCAGTTTTTGGAGAGCAGCACTGGTCTTGAAAGTGCAAAGGCTTTTAGATGGTCACTGCTGTGCCATGGAGCACAAAGGACGACTGAAATGTGAAATCTCATGGGAGCCTTTGCTTTTGAAGGGTTCTATAGAACTCCGATTTCCCACATTCAATGCATCAAGCAGAGATTGCAAATTTGGAGGGTCACACGAGCCAGGCTTATCTTTGCAGAAGTTGCACGTTTATTATTTAAAACCTTAAAAAGCAGAAGTCCTGCTGCCTGCCATCTCCCCCAAAAGGATACGAGGCAAAAGCAGTGGCGTAGCGTGGGGGGTGCAGGGGGAGCCGGCCGCACCGGGCGCAACATCTGGGGGGGCGCGCTCGCACTCGCAGCTCTCTGCCCCTACCTGGCTCACTCACTCTCTCTCACTGCAGTGCTGGCTGTGCGAATCCGATCCGAGCCGCTGGGTCGCCGCCCACTGTGGAGGGGTGGGTGCCAGGCGTGCGGTGCGGAGAGAGAGCGAGGGACTATCTGGGGAGGGACAGTGCAGCGGCCGCCCAGCGCAGCGCTGAGCGCGGGAGAGAACCACACCAGACCAGACCAGGCAGCAGCAAGAAGAAGCTGGCAGCGGCGGCAGGTTAGGGGTTAGGGGGCGCAAATTACTTGCCTTGCCCCGGGTTAGGGGGCACAAATTACTTGCCTTGCCCCAGGTGCTGACAACCCACGCTACGCTGCTGGGCAAAAGTGACAGACCCCAGGACATAGTCAGTGACATGGCCTTTGCTGCTGCCTACTTTCACAGTTTAAAGGAAAAATGCTACCACCAGAAAGGTAAGCTCTCTCCTCCTCACCTCCCCAATTCGTATTTCCACCCCTCAAATTACTGGAACAGCACCTGGTCAGTGTTCAAAATTAGCCAGGCGCCAGTCACATTTCACAACTGGCAGCTGGGCCTTTGCAAAGGCGTGCAGATGGCCGGGCGCCATATTTTGCACCCTAGCTGTGGTGGGAGACGCGGCAAAGACAAAAACTGCCCTGAGGTTGCTGCTGAAGAGCCGTTTGTGACTGCTACCTGGAGCCCCCACCCCCCGCTGTGAATGGGGAGCTGCTGCTTGTTCTGCCCTCCATGGAGCCCCTGGCTCAACCCAACCCTGCCACCCCCTTGCCCCACAAGGCAGCAGGAGCGTTCTTGCCGCCACTGCCTTCTCCTATTTTCCATTCCTCCCTTTCCCTCCGCTCTCTTCATGGGTGGGAAGCTCTCCCCTCCGCAGCCCCAAGCTCTGCTCACCCAACTCTTGAGTAAGCCACTGATTTTCTCCAGCTGAGGGCGCAGACTCCAAAGTAAAATTAAGAACAGTTTCCCAGATTCATTTGAATACTATGCTGAGAGAACAGAGGGGCAGGGGAGGAAAGGTGAGCCCACTGAAGGAGAGAGTTCCCCAGGCAGCACAGAGAGGGAAAAGTGCCTTGTATGTTGGTTTAGATCATGGGTAGGGCAAACTAAGGCCTGGGGGCTGGATGCAGCCCAATCACCTTCTCAATCCGGCCCATGGACAGTCCAGGAATCAGCGTGTTTTTACATGAGCAGAATGTGTCCTTCTATTTAAAATGCATCTCTGGGTTATTTGTGGGGCCTGCCTGGTGTTTTTACATGACCAGAATGTGTGCTTTTATTTAAAATGCATCTCTGGGTTATTTGTGGGGCATAGGAATGTGTTCATTATTATTATTATTATTATTATTATTCCCCTCCCCAAAAAATATAGTCTGGCCCCCCACAAGGTCTGAGGGACAGTGGACAGGCCCATGGCTGAAATAGGTTGCATGAAGTTGCAGCTGTGGGGTGGGGACACTTCTGGGTTGGGGCTGCGTGTGTTTCTCTACCAGATACAGTCATTTTCTCGTGATTCCAGCCCCATCCAACACATTAAACCTGAAGAGCTCAGCTTAGCAGTTGTTCACACCTCTTTTCTTTCCGTGTGTGAGAGTGTGCATGTGTGTGTATTTGCAACTCCCTCTCCCTCCCTCTGATGTGAATTGTGTATTAGATCATGCGTTTCAAAAAAACAAATAGAAAGTGCTACCATGGTTTTTTGGAAAGGGGGTGGGGGATAGTGACTAGCCATTTTATTTTTGTGACTGAAACCCAGGTTCCAGGCGCCTTGTGGTGAACAGCTTTTCTAACAGTGCACCTGGTTTGCTCCTTCCACATTTATAGCCAAAGGTTCTCAGAAATTTAAAGTTCCATTCTCAGTGTCACCAAACATCATGCAGAACCTAACTTGAGAAAGTCTTTTTAGTCAGGAAAGCATTGTTTAATGTCTGGGTGAGATATAAGGATTTGTTGGAAAGTAAAACACCAAGGTGGTTGTCACCAATGGAGGCTAAGGCTCTGAAAAAAATTAATATGGAGACAAATTGGCCAAAATACTGTGAAATTTTAGAACAAGATGGAGATAGATTAAAGCTGCAGAGCTTTGACAAATTAAAAACTAAAGTTCGAGACTGGCTTCATTATTATCAAATAAGGGAGGCTTATAATTTAGATAAGAAGATTGGTTTCCAGGAGGAAAAATCAAAATTGGAAACAGAATTGTTAGATCCTAAAACTAAGAATTTATCAAGAATGTATAACTTGCTGTTGAAATGGAATACACAGGATGAAACGGTTAAATCTGTTATGATTAAATGGGCACAAGATTTTGGACATAACATTATGTTTGCTGACTGGGAACAGTTATGGACCACAGGTATGAAATTTACGGCTTGTAATGCCTTAAGAGAAAATATAATGAAAATGATTTACAGGTGGTACTTAACCCCAGTCAAGCTAGCAAAAATCTATCATTCGCCAGATAGTAAATGTTGGAAATGTAAAGAGACTGAAGGCACATTTTTGCACCTTTGGTGGACATGTCCAAGGATTAAGGCTTTCTGGGAAATGATATATAATGAATTGAAAAAGGTATTTAAATATACCTTTCTGAAGAAACCAGAGGCCTTTCTTCTGGGCATGGTCGGCCAATTGGTGCGAAGGGAGGATAGAACCTTTTTTATGTATGCTACAACAGCAGCAAGAATACTTATCGGGAAGTACTGGAAGACACAAGAATTGCCCACCCGAGAAAAATGGCAGATGAAAGTGATGGACTACATGGAACTGGCTGAGATGACCGGCAGAATTCGAGACCAGGGGGAAGGGTCGATGGAAGAAGATTGGAAAAAATTCAAAATATACCTTCAAAAATACTGCAATATAAAAGACTGTTAGAAAGAGGTTGGAAAAAGAATATTAGGTTGCTTGGGTAGACATGATATAAAGGATTAAGCAAAAATGAGTTGATGAAATTGATGAAATAGAGGTTTAATCACATTATTTTAATTTTAAAATACGTAAATGAAAATAAGGTTAGAAGGATTTGCTGGAAATATGATCTGAACTAGAATACAAAATTGGGAGGTGAGAGGAGGTCATGGAAATAAGTAAAGGGAAAAGGTTATGTAAAGGTTTAATCTGTTTTCGTTTTATTCTAACTTAATGTATTTTTATATTTTTTGTTAAGTCTTTTTTTTTATCCTATTTTACTGTTCATTTTTACTTGTTCATTTTTTGTTTTGTTATGGTGAAAGTTTTTTTTTGTATTTTGTATGGTTTTTCTTTTTCTTTTTTGTAACTTTAAATTTGGAATAAATATTATTTTTTTAAAAAAAAGAGAAAGTCCTTTTAAATTCTACGTCAGCTATGGACAGACCATGAATACAAAGAACAAGACAAGACTGCACCACTGCCATGCATTTCAGTACATATGTAGACCGTGGTTTGTTGCTGCTCTGCCCAGCTGTGGAGCAATGCAGGTCTGCTTATGCCATAGCCAGTCCTATGACTGAAGTGCCACTAAAACACTCCAGCCTGTGTCATACGTGGAATTAGTGTCAAATGTTGATCACACATTATCAGATAGGTTTCTGCTTCCCATACAAATGGATTCAAGTTACAAGAAAGGAGATTTCAATGAAACACCAGGAAGAAATTTCTGACAGTAAGAATTTCAACAGTGAAACAGACTCCCTCAGAAGGTGGTGGACGTTTTTCAATGGAGATTTTAAAGCAGAAATTAGATGGCCATCTGTCATGGATGCTTGAGATTCCTGCATTGAAGGGTTGGGATAGATGACCCTCAGAGTCCCTTCCAACTTTACCATTCCAAGTGTTCAGGAGATTTACAGCTTCTATAAGCAACCTAAATTTCTTCCTAAACCTGCTTGCATATACCTTTTCAGCTATTTATCCACTATCTTAGGGACACTCAGGATGGATAAAAATCAAAGCTTTTTAATAAATTGGATTTATAAAAATAAAATGCTTTTGAAGGAAAAATCTTTCTAAAGATAATTTTCTATTTAAGTTACATTATAGTCCAAAGGCTATTCATCAGGAAATAAATATTTGTTTTCAATTATGTAGCATGAGGCTTTATATGCAATGTTTAATTTTTTTGGCAAATGAATGCCATTAATCCATCAGAGGTTTCTGTAAGATTATTTGGAGCAGTTTTTCTAAGGAGAAGGTATTATCACAGATGCCTGTTTTTGCCGTTTTCAAAAGTGTGAATTTGTATCTGCAGAGATAACATGCCTTTTCTTCACAGGAAAAATGTTATAAAATAAATATACAGAGTTGAGGGGAAAACCTTAATCCCATTGTTCCTTTGCAAATTTATACACACAGAATCGACCCCTTCCCTCTTAAATGCTAAGTCCCAAGAGGTTCAAGGAATAGATTGTTTGGAGTGGAATAGATGTGTACAAGTAGCTAAGCGTGAAGCAGTAAAAATAAAAGTGCAACCTTGTGAGCAGAATACTCCGCAAGTCTTGGGATCTTTGTGTAATAATTATGCAAATCAGTTGCATGTCTGTGCAACTCAGACTTGAGGCAAGTGTTGAAGGCACTTCAGGGCTGGCAACCTCTTTCCAATCCCATTGGGTTCCAGCAAATGCACTAACACTTAACTGTACAGAATAGGCACCTGAATGTAGAAGCAAATCTAAAGGGATGGTTGGTGGTGGAAATACAGACGTTTTAAGTTTTTCATGTGTGCTAAAACTCAGTTAAGTTATTTTGGTTTTTTTTTATGTTTAACCACATCAGTTAACAAACATGGAAACATATGCTATAATGTTATTGTTTTAGTTAAAGAAATTATTTAAGTTGTTATTAAGGAAATGATGATTTGTCTCCTTCCAATAAAATACAGCAGAAAAGTTGTCCAAATATAAACAGTTAACTTATTAAACCTCACAATAATTTTATAATTATCTGTCTATGTATTTCTAATAGTATAACCAAATCAGTAATTTTTTATATAACTATAAAAACTACTCTGAAAATTTATTATTCCAAAAATGAAACCTTCATCTGGTTGTAAATATTAAGATTATACTAGCAAGAATGAGTCTTTCTGTAAAAAAAGTGATTTAAATCTATTCTTACTGACTAGTGATTTAAATCGATTTGATTTAAACCAAATCTACCCTGGGAACACTACAGTCCTATTACTGTTTCTGCGCAGCCTTTCGCAGCTAACCCCAGCCTTAACCCTTAACCATTTCAGATATAGAATCTCATCTCACTGTATCAAATATTTTGACAGACTTTGATTCTACGTAAGAGGATTGCAGAACCTTGAGTTTAGTCCACTGTGCACCTGAGGTGTCCAACACAGGCATTTCCCCTACCCCAATTAGCAAGCGTAGCTGAAAAAAGGGTGGCATACCACAAGAAATACAAATTTGCAAGCAATACAAACCACTGATAGATAGTTGGCTTAACATGAACAGGCTCTTAATGGGCTATAGCAGGGAAATGCATTAGATAACATATGAAAATTAGCTTCAGTAAAGAAATAGAGTAGAACCTTATGCAAATAACACAGCCATAACCACGTGCAATCTCACTACCAAATTATTCTGCCCTATTAAGTCATCTCTGATATTGCCCAAGGATATACCGTATTTTTCGCCCCATAGGGCGCACCGCCCCATAGGACGCACCTAGTTTTTTTTTGGGGGGGGGGAAATAAAAGAAAAAAAAATTATTTCCCCCCCCCAGGCGCGGGGCTGGCGCGGGGGAAGCCCGAGCTTCCCCCAACCCCAGCCCCGAGAACAGCCTGCTATCCGCAAGCCTAGGGAGCCCGGAGGGAAGTCGCGCCGGTCTCCCCAGGCTTGCGGAGAGCTGGGCGAAGCCCGGGCGCACTCTTCAGTGCGCCCCAGGCTTCGGAATGCAGGCAGCTCTGCGCAGCCCTTGGGAGATTGGCGTGACTTCGCACTGGGCTCCCTAGGGCTGCGCAGAGCTGCGCGAAGCCCGGGGCTGCCGGCAGCTCTGCGCAGCCCTCGGGAGATCGGCGCGAAGTCGCGCCGGTCTCCTGAGGGTTGTGCAGAGCTTCCTGAAGCCTGGAGAGCGAGAGGCGTCGGTGCGCACCGACCCCTCTTGCTCTCCAGGCTTCAGCGAAAGCCTGCATTCGCTCCATAGGACGCACACACATTTCCCCTCCATTTTTGGAGGGGGAAGTGCGTCCTATAGGGCGAAAAATACGGTAAGCTCTCCAAGAAGAGTAACGAACCTGTGTCCTTCCAAATTAACTCCAACTGCCATCAGCCTTAGCCAGCATGGCCGCAGGTCCAGGGGTCCGGCAATATCTGGAGGGTCCAGGTTCCCCACCCCTGCTCTGAATCTTACTGTGTTTTCCTTAGTTTGCTGCTCCCTAGTATATCCCAAAGTGTCACGATTGCACTTGGTTTTCACTGTGTTCAGGGTTAATGGAGCTTGTTAACTGCATCATTGCAGAAGTCTCTTTGCATTTAGCACATTAAGATACACCAGATTTCCCAGACTTGTAGTTTGCCAATTGTTTAATTTAGAAATATCGCCTTGCTTAGCAGAGAATACAAACAGCAGTCAAGTTGATTGAAATGAAAAGTCTTCCCTGGAAAAGAGCCTATAAGACTTCATTGTTGGCTTCTGCACAAGGTTTCCTACTCCTCCCCAGCACAGACAAAAGCAGGTTATTTTGCTTCAGGGAGTCAGAACATAGCAGCAGGAACTTAAGTCAGCAACCAAACAAGTTTCCAGTTTTAAAACTGGAGCAGGAAGCTTATCAACGGGAACGAATTGTAAGGCCAAGCGTTGCAATAATAACAATAACAACCACAACACTTGACTTGAAATCACCAGACTGCATTTTAATTAAACATGGGTAAAAAAATCACAATTCCCCAAACTATCTGATTAGCAGCAGTAAAGCACTTGGACCATTCATTCAGCTCCTACTTCTAATATTTAACCATTTCATAGCACTACAGAAATTAACAAATGGGGCTGGATTCAACTAAGCAGTTGCACAATAAATCCTAATAGTGGTACAGAGCTGACCCCTTCTCTTCACCTGCCCCCTGTCCCAAATCAGCACTGGGGGTGTGTCTCCCCCCCCCCCAAGAACAGCACATAGGAGAGATTGCACTGAAGGGACAATCATACTGGCACAATGTTGAATTCCTTCCATGAACTAGATTAGACTCACCAAGCAGAACGGGGGATACTTACTATCTGAAGTTTGATTGTTTTCCCATCTAACTCTATAGTTCTGATTTTAAAGTCCACGCCAATTGTGCTGATGTAGCTTTCTGTGTACGTATCATCCTAAATGGGAGAAGAGAAGAGAAAAGAATATCACCATTTACAAATCAGCAGCACTGTGTCCTACAAAGGCCAAACCAGAATCAAGACAAGTCAAGGTTCTGGAAAGGGTGGAGCTGAAGCCATTATACCAGCCTGTTCTCTCACCTTGCGTAAACAGTGATGCAACTATATGCACCAGCAAAGGTAAGGTGTCATGGCTCACTGCAGACACGACTTGCAGTCAAAGTTTGGCCACAGTCACAACTATTGCAATATATATTTCAATAATACAATGGGTGAGGAAACCTTAAACCACTATCTGCCTGGTGTCACAGTAAGGGCTGATTCAAGTAATTCTGTCAGGAACAGAAAAGGAGCGAGAAAAGGCATGCTCAAACAGAAAAGCATGAATTATCAATATGGTGTGTGGTTTTCCATTGAACCATGCACTCCCCATTACCAACCCCAAAATATTGGGTGGGATTCAACTAAGTTATTGCACAAGTCGAATTGTATAAGGAAACTCCTTCCTCCCATCTGTTCTGGGGTTTTCATCATACCTCTGCAAATTAAGGGATGGCAAAGGGCACATGCAGGGGGAAGAGAGGGAGAAGTCCTGTTGTGCAAGCTCACATAATTATTTAGTTAAATACTGTCCGCAGTTTATATTAATCAGTTTATTATTCAGTTATAATTTACTCACATGCTATATAGAGCTATTTGCTCTACATGAAAAGTTTGGGCTCAGCCTTTGTAAGATGTTATTTTTCCTGGGAATTCCCAATTACACAAAAAACCATTATAATGCACTGCATGAGTTCGCTGGGCCCTAGGAGTGGTTTTACCCAAAGAGGTTTTTTCTGCTCCAGGTTGGTTTTATCTCTTATTGTGCAAATATTTACTTACTTACTATTTATTTACTTGTTCTGATATTGTTGTTTTAAGAAAAAAACTATTAAACTGTTGGGATTATTGAGATACATTGGACACCCTTTTCATTATATTACTATGAAGCAAATATATCCTCTAGACATTATTTGTTTCTGTTTTGTTCTTCTTCTGGGTTATAAGTCCAGTATTTTGCTCACACATATTTTCTGGTTTTGCCTCTAGGGCTTCCCAATAACGTAAATTCCTCACTGGGCTAACACTGTGGAGTCTATTGTACCCAAACAGCTTTTGTGTTCGACTATGTTTTTGGACGCAGGCGGCGCTGTGGTCTAAACCACGGAGCATAGGACTTGCCAATCAGAAGGTTGGCGGTTTGAATCCCTGCGACGGGGTGCGCTCCCGTTGCTTGGTCCCAGCTCCTGCCTACCTAGCAGTTTGAAAGAACGTCAAAGTGCAAGTAGATAAATAGGTACCGCTACGGCAGGAAGGGAAACAGTGTTTCCGTGTGCTGCTCTGGTTTCGCCAGAAGCAGCTTAATCATGCTGGCCCCATGACCTGGAAGATGTACGCTGGCTCACTCGGCCAGTAAAGCAAGATGAGCGCTGCAACCCGAGTCGTCCACGACTGGACTTAACGGTCAGGGGTCCCTTTACCTTTAATGTTTTTGGATCATGATGATACCAATAAAATCTTCATTAACTTGTGAATTAAGAGTTGTTGACTCTTAAGATAAGCAATAAGGGACTTTCAAGGCAGTTTGTGATGTAGCATGGAGCCAGCTTTTCAAAGTGAAAAGCATCAGGCATGCTCAAGATTCTGGCCTACCGATTCTCCCCTGCTGCCAAGTCTTAGATAAGTTATTGTATTTTAGTGTTTTGTTGGAAGCCGCCCAGAGTGGCTGGGGAAACCCAGCCAGATGGGCGGGGTATAAATAATAAATTATTATATTATTATTAGATTTAGTGAAGGAAAGAAGAAGAAAGACAACCACCACAATATTCCTCCCTGAGTTATAAACTAAATGTAGAACTTCATTGTCTTATGCAAAATTAGGCACAACTCACAGCTGCAAACCTTAGCATACTTATTCCAAGTATACTTGGAACTCCATGCAACTGTCCTATTGAACTCCACACAATTTACTTTCAATTTAATTGTGCATAACATTAAGCTAAGAGTTGAACCTGCTTGTGTTTCGTATTCTACAAATATTACAAATCATAGGATTAGTTCTCAATATGGCCTACAGTTATCATATGGTAATTGCAAAGATCATATAGCAGCATGTTCAAAGAGCCTATGTTTTGATAGCTCTCCATTTAAGCTACCAAAGGAAGGAAGCTTATCAAGCAAGACTTTTTTTCACTCATCAGCTGGCATCTGAACCAATCATGCAAATGAGCTCGGCATAATTGCACAGCAAGGAGAATTCAACAATATGCGAGTTTTCAGGTGAATATGCAACTAAAAAACTAAACTTCAGTTCTGCCTGCTAGAAGAACCCATTTGAATTTGAAGGGTAACTGCACCCATACAAGGAGGACTCCTTTTCATGTGACTGTAAATTGGTATTTTCTTTTGATTATGATTAGCCAGTAGGAAAGAAAAAACAGGAAACCTGGAAAACATTCATTTTTGCATTACAATCAGTTTTTAAGGTTAATCGTTAACAAAAAGTTGAAGATGCATGACAACTTACTGCAAACCTAAGCAGAAGGCAAGATTTTCCAACACCAGAGTCTCCAATCAGAAGCAGCTTGAATAAATAGTCACTGAAAAGAGAAAACCATAATTAAATCTACTATAGTATGGCACATAGCAATTGAAACTGTTGCTTCATAATACACTTTGTTCTATTTCTATCACAAACTAGGGAAATTTCACACCTGTGTGTGTGTGTTTATGAGAGACCTATACAGTGGTACCTCGGGTTACATACGCTTCAGGTTACACACTCCGCTAACCCAGAAATAGTGCTTCACGTTAAGAACTTTGCTTCAGGATGAGAACAGAAATCGTGCAGCGGCAGCGTGGGAGGCCCCATTAGCTAAAGTGGTGCTTCATGTTAAGATCAGTTTCAGGTTAAGAACGGGCCTCTGGAACGAATTAAGTACTCAGCCCGAAGTACCACTGTATAAGTAATGCTTGTATCTAAAGTACAAATTTAAAACTACAGTGGTGCCCCGCAAGACGAATGCCTCGCAAGACGAAAAACTCGCTAGACGAAAGAGTTTTCCGTTTTTTGAGTCGTTCCGCAAGACAAATTTCCCTATGGGCTTGCTTCGCAAGACGAAACGTCTTGCGAGTTCTTGTGAGTTTGTTTCCTTTTTCTTAAAGCCGCTAAGCCGTTAATAGCCGCTAAGCCACTAATAGCCGCTAAGCCGCTAATAGCCGTGCTTCGCAAGACGAAAAAACCGCAAGACGAAGAGACTCGCGGAACGGATTAATTTCGTCTTGCGAGGCACCACTGTAAATTCCATGGTTACCTGGAGCTACACTTTTGTGAAGGTCCTGAAAAAGGTTAAAGATCCTTAAGTTTCTTCAAAAAAACTACAAGGCTGTCCAGATGGGAACTGCTGGTTGTAGAACCTGGTCAGCTGGTTCCACAAGGTGATGTTAGGTGACTATTGTTCCACACACTGGCACAAGTGTCATCGTGTTCCATAGGGCTCTATCTTGTCTTTGGACATCATCCACTGAATTGGAGTCTTATTTAACGTCTAAATGAAACTACAGGTTAGGGCACCTGGGCTAAGTGTCAACAGTATATAGATTACAACTAGCTTCACATCTTTTCATCCAATCCGGGTGAAGCAGTGGGCATTCTGAACCAGGAACCTAGCTTGCTAATGGACTGGATGAGGGTCAATAAACAGACAAGAGAGAAGCACTGTTGGGGGTGCTCCTAGCTGTTTATTGAGGCTCTGGTATCTTGGAACACCTTTCATAAGATACAGTCATCTATACTCTGGTACCCTCCCAGGGTGACCACTGCAATGCATTATACATGGGGCTGTCCCCAGAGAGGCTCAACTAGCACCTATTGTCTTTTAAATGCCAGGTAAATAACGTACTATTCGTCAAAGCCTTTTAGCTTCATTTTTGGATACTGTACTAAAGCTACCCCCACAGGCTGTGTGCTGTTGCTAATATTTTAGCTGCTTTTTCATACTACATGTGTTGTTGGGGTTTTAAATTGTCTTCTTGGTAACATTCACCTTAAAAAAGGGTTTACCATGTTGCAAACTGTCTAGAGCAGGCTTCCTCAACCTTGGCCCTCCAGGTGTTTTGAGACTACAATTCCCATCATCCCTGACCACTCGTCCTGCTAGCTAGGGATCATGGGAGTTGTAGGCGAAAAACATCTGGAGGGCTGAGGTTGAGGAAGCCTGGTCTAGAGGACCCAGTAGGATGAACAATACTCAAGTGTGACAAATATATAAAGGCTTCAGAGACACTTTCTAGCCCTTAAGAAGAGGTATGCACCATTGTAGAGATGGTTCAAACTCCTGCTGTTCAGTAGCTATGAATAATAGGATGCTTAAGACATTTGTGATAGCATGGTTGATTCTTTTCCTATCTTGCCCTTCCAGAGTTTTGTGGAAGCCAGAAAAGAAAACATTGCTACTCTCAGGAGACTTCTCAATACAGTTACTTAAAAACACTAGGCTAACAACTAATCACAGCATGGAATATGTTTTCAATAGAAGAGGGATCATGTGAAGACCACGGAGTTTGTGTAGATAGGAGAGAACTCTCACAAACCTGAAGAACAGTCCCAATGCCACATAACTTATAACCCTCTTTAAAACACTGGAAATCCCATTTTTATTAAGATTGCTGTGAAAAGCCTTTTGAACACCTAGGCTTTACTACCTGCCATAGGTTGCATTACAAAGAACCCAGTATGTATCAAGAGCAATACTAGTTTCAGGTGATCATAAATCCCCTAGAATAGCTGAAAGTAAATAATGAACAGTAATTATAGAAAGGCTTTGTATATGCAACACCACAATCCTAAACTCATTACTTGGACAAAGTAAAACTCAAATAAGATTGACTTCCAATTAGTTTGGGATTAAAATTCAAGAGTAAGAAGAGGTAGAATAATGAAAGCTAAAGGGTTCAACTAGTATGTGTGCCCCATGTTTGTTCCATGTCACGTTTAGAAGGAATAGATAATGCACAAACCACTTAAGTCCAGTATGTCATATTTATTTAAATATATAGATTACAAGCAATTATGAATACACTGAGTTGCCGCTGACCTATCTCAGTATTAGCAGCTGCTAACATGATACACTTTCAGGAAATGTTTGTCTTAAAAGCTTGAGCCTGTTAAGACTGTTCAGAGAATAACACTCACTACAGTGCCAAGACTTCCTTAGAACAGATTTCTTGTTTAGCACTCCATGTTGTTAGCTTTACCTAACCAAAATAATGTGACTGTCTGTACTGCATTAACTACTATGGCAGCTGTAATTAGGTCCAGTTAAGAGTATAGGAGACATAAGGGAAGCTCATCAGAAGCACCTATTCTATTTTTAAGTGCCCTAGAGTAGCTGCAAAAATTCAAATGCATTTTGCAGATTTGACATTGGAATGAGACCTCTCACTTTAACAGTATCAAGCAAGTTAACACTGATTAACCATCACAGTAAAAGCACTGTTATTGTTCAACGAAGTCTCTGTCCTGACAGTAATATTGAATTACTCGTTCAAAAGCATTTTCATCTTAAAAAGAACAATCTTATTATTACATTTATATCCCACTTTTTCTCCAATGAATGCAGGGTTTCAGTTTTCTGGTATAGTTTTCTGAATATTAAAAGCAGATTTGACATTGCAGGTAAGTTTTCGGCAGTGGGAAGGATCCGATTATCTCAAGTGCCATTCCACATGGTATTTGATATTAAAAACCCAGAGGTAGGCTGATGAACTTTCAGACATGAGCAGCCTATATATCGGTATGCAACTGCTGGAAGAGATCTAAATAACAAGATTTAGAAACAAAGCTTAATGATGCAGTCCTATGCAAACTTTCCTGGGTGCAAGTGCCAATGAAACAGTGACTCTTATTTCTGAGAATACCTACCTACCTACCGCACCCTTCATTCAAGGATCACAGGGCAGTTTACAATATAAAAACACAAACATAATAACAAACAAAATACCCCACCAACAGTTTAAAAGGCCATAGATTGTTTAATTAGCCAAAGGCTTGTGAGAAGAGGAATGTTTTTGTCTGGCACCTAAGATATGTAACAAAGGTGCCAGGTGAGCCTGTCTGGGGAGAGCATTCCTTAAATGGAGAGCCACCACAGAAAAGGCCCGCTCTCATGTTACCACCCTCCACACCTCTCAGATGACAGGCCTCAGATAATGATCACAGAGTCCAGGTCAGTTCATATGGGAAGAGGCGGTCCTTGAGGTATTGGAGTTCTGAGTCCCTTAAGGCTTTATGGATCAAAACCAGAACTTTGAGTTGGGCCCGGAAACTAATTTGCAGTCAGGCCAGGATTGGCATTATATGCCCAAACTGCTTTGCCCTGTGAGCAACCTGGCCACTGAATTCTACACCAGCTGAAGTTTCCAAACCGTCTTCAGAGGCAGCCCCATGTTTAACACACTGCAGTAATCTGACCAAGAGGTTACCAGAGCACAGACAAAAGAAGTTAAGCTATCCCTGTCTAGATAGGGGCACAGCTGGGCCACCAGCCAAAGCTGATATAAGTCACTTCACTTCACTGAGGCCACCTGAGCCTCAAGCGACAACAATGGATCCAAGTACAGTGGTACCTCGGGTTACAAACGCTTCAGGTTACAGACTCCGCTAACCCAGAAATAGTACCTTCGGTTAAGAACTTTGCTTCAGGATGAGAACAGAAATCGAGTTCTGGCGGCGCGGTGGCAGCAGGAGCCCCATTAGCTAAAGTGGTACTTCAGGTTAAGAACAGTTTCAGGTTAAGAACGAACCTCCAGAACGAATTAAGTTCTTAACCTGAGGTACCACTGTACCCCCAATTTGCGTACCCACTCCTTCAGAGGAAGTCTAACCCCATCAAGGCCAGACAACCGCCCATCCATCTAGTCTAAGGAACCACCCACTAACACTGCTTCAGTCTTTTATGGATTGAATTTCAGTTTATTGGCTCTCACCCAGTCTACTACTGGATGAGAGACATGGGTCCAGAACATCCATTGCCACACCTACAGATGCAAAAGAGCTGTGTGTCATCAGCATATTGCTGACAATGTACTCCAAAACTCTGGACAACCCTCCCCCACACTAAAGACTTCACAGGACCGAACCCTAACCCTAACCCTAAGCATCATCCTCTGAAAATGGCCATCCAAGTAGGAGCGGAATCACTGCAAAGTGACACCACCCACTCCTAACTCAGACAGCTGCTCCAGAAGTATACCATGGCCGATGGTATGGAAAGCAGCTGAGGGGTTGAGGAGAATTAACAAGGACACATTACCCTGTCTCTCTCATGACAGACGTCATCCTAGAGTGTAACCAAAACAGGAATGTATGATCAATTTATTTCCTAGGCTTCCCATGTTCATCTGCATGTTTCTCCTCTTCCTCTATTGTTTTGTTGCATCCACTTTCAGAATGAAAGGTCCCTGGGCCACTACAAATACATAAAATACAGTCCATTCTTCAGAATATCTGAACTGGGAAATCAGCAATACCTGAGAACATTTGATTTTAATGTGCTAAAACGTGCTATTATTAAAACATGCTAAGTACAGTCGTACCTTGGATCCGAAACGCCTTGCAAGTCGAAGTGAGTGTTCTGGTTTGTGAACGTTCTTTAGAACCCAAATGTCTGATGCGGCTTCTGATTGGTTGCAGGAGCTTCCTGCAGCCAACTGGAAGCCGCGCCTTGGTTTCCGAACGTTTTGGAAGTTGAACGGAATTCCGGAATGGATTCCGTTCGACTTTTGAGGTGCCACTGTACTGTTAGTTCACAGCCATTATTTTATTCATATTAATCACTCACTTCTTACTGATTTCAAGGGCTGGGAGCAAAAGAACTGTGCAACTAGTTTTACATGTCCAATGGCATTACACGGGGTTGCTTCACTTGCACATTAGCCTCTCCTACTATTGTGCAAACTAGTTCTGAAAACCAAGGATACTTCCATAAGGATCTGGCACACCAGACTGCATTCTTCACAAAGGCAAAAAGAGCCACTGACCTGCACAAGTCCTTGGATGGGCCTAAAGTAGCTCACTAAATCCCTGCCATTAAATCTATACGGACTATAGTGATGACATTCTTCACTAATCCATACACAAGATGCAGCCCTTTTTGGAAATACTGGATTAAAACAAACATTTGCAGCAAATAATTATTCACTGCTGATCTCCTATTTTAGACACACCAGTAACTGAAATGAACTTTTGTCATCAGAATCATCTATTTTATTTCCATATTGCCCTTCCTCACAAGGACATGAAGATTAAAAAATCCAAAAATAACTGAAAGCACCTAAAAATCACACCTCAACAATTAAAAAAGCATTGGTAGGTATTGGGGGAGTCAGCCCTTTACATTCTTGGGCCCCACACCATTTGGGGCTTTACACCAGTATCAGCACCTTGAATTGGCCCTGGTAGCACACACAGTCTCAGCTTGCTGCCCTGCTGAGCAGGGAGTTCGGCCACCTGGGCCTCCAGGGAAAGTCTGGAATTAAGGAAGAAGCCCAAGCTAAATACCTCAAAGGGAGCACAACCCTAACCAGAACAAGTTGTCTCCCCAATTTCTGGAGATGAGGACCACCAATCTACAACACCTCCAGATCATCAGCATTCAGCCTCAGTTTATTGGCCCCCATCTAGCCCATCATTCATCCCCACACTGGTCCAGCACAGCCTCTCCGATGCACGTAGAATGGAGAGAGAAGAGAGTATCACTCCAAATTTTAGGATGACAGTTCCCAGCAGCTTCACAGAAGTATGAAACAACATGGTGGACAGAATATACCCCCACAGAGCAACACACCACAAGTACCACAAGGTCAAGCAGTAGTTCCCCAGCACTACCCTCTGGTTACAATCCTGCAGGTAGGAGCAGGAATGCTGTTAACATGGTCAAACACTGCTAAGAGATCAAAAGCCATCCAAGTCAAAAATCTCCCTGCCCCTCTCTCCAAAGGTTATCAATAATCAAGATGACCAAGACTGTTTCAGGGTCAAATCCAGATCTGTAGATAGACTGCCTCAGCTTTGACAGAAAAGGGAGGGTGGGGGGAAGCTTTGCGGAGGGAACAGTAGCTGAGAGAGGGGAGGCTTCGCTTCCCTGCCTGGTCATGCAGAGGGGGCTGGGAGAAAGGCATCCTCTGCAGTGTTGGGGAAGGGGAAGAAATTAGGAAAGCTCCACCTGACAGAGGGAGGGAGACAGTGATAGAAACTGGGATAGGATTGCTAGGAGTCATGTGGCTTCTGGGACCTAGGTTGCGGGTGCCAAAACAAAATGTCTAAGCAACATTTTTTTGAAAAAATGCTGGTAGTGGGGCAGCCTCACAGAAAAAAAAGGTGCTAGGCAAATCAGGGGAGGTGCAGGGTAGTGTGGCACCAAAAGACACGTATTTTGCTACCACTCTACCCTGTCAAACACCTGCTTCACCATCAGCATAGAACAAAAAGAGAGGTGTTTTTTGGCTGCTGTGCTACTGGGCAAATAAGGCGTGAGTCATTTGCTACCACTGTGGCTGGCAGGCCAGCTGACTGCAAACAGGCAGGTGGAGATGCTAGGTGCCAAGGGTGGCTCCTGAACATTTCCATCCTGTCGCAAAAGGCTGGCTACCTGATACAAAATGCGACTGGCACCCGGCTAATTTCAAACGCTGGAGGGAGAATAGGAGCTCTCCTGCTGCTGTCGCCTTGTGGAGCAAGAGGGTCATGGGGTTGTTTGGAGCCATAACGCACCTGACACTGAAGTCTGGAAGCTGTGGGAGCTGCTTAAGAAGTTGCAGCAGCAGAACAAGCAGCTCTACAACTGCAGTGCCAGTAGGGCTCCAGGCAGCCGCCGCAAACAGCTTCTCGGCAGAATCCACAGCGGCAGGGGGTAGGAGTCTGTATGCCACTGATAGTGCCACTTGCCGTGGCCGTCGGCACCCTGCTGTTGCCTTCGCCACTGTTCCCTACCACCAGCCTTCTGCTGCCTGGTCTCAAGAGTCACTGCCTCGGCTCCAACAAAACTGAGCCCAGGTGGCCTCTGCTGAGTGGGTAAAAAAAGGAAGAGGAAGCGGCTTGGCACCGGTGGATGTTTCGGCGGCAGGGGAAGCCGCAGAGAATGGCAGCCTTATTATCAGTGGAGCTGCTGAAGCCTGATGAGCTGGACTGGCTGTGGGGAATCACCTGGCTCATGCAGCACCAAAAGATGTGCTTCTCTTTGGTGCTGTGCAAGCCAGGAGATCTGTGGGGCACCATGGCACAAATGGGACTAGACAATGTGTTTCGGAGCCCCACAACCCAGGTTCCAGGCGCCATGTGGTACCTAGCTTTGAACACTGCCTCAGATGTCATAGCCTAACCCTCACATCATACCTTCCCTCAACCCTGCTGACCCACGCTCTGAGCTCTCTCTGTCCCCCATCGCCCAGTCACATGCTCTTTTCTTACTAATTTCAGCGGAACACAAGAGGAGAAACTAAATCCAGCCATAATCAAGTGCGGGACGCAACAACAAATTAGATTGTTGGAACCCAAGTTTAGACTGGCAGCATTTCTGTGCAGTACTTTAGCCATATAATGCTAAGAAGATGTGTATCTTAGCTTTTTCTTCACCATTCATGCAGATCAAATGGGTTTCTAAAGTTGGTAGTACTAGTAAACTCTAACATCCTATTGCAATTCAAAGTAACATGTGAAAACACAACCTGAGTCTCTTGATGGCTGGGACACAATCTGTCCAAAATTAAGTAGTACCTACTTAACTTTCTCTCAGCTGTGGGAGGATTTTGTCTTTGGTAACTTGCTGTTTTTTAATAATCTGCTGTTTCCGCATCCCCACAATGATCTGACTATATTTCCTAATCCCATCCACCCTCCCGATAATTCAGCAGACTCCTAGAAAACTTCACGTTGGCACTCTTTAAAATAATCACAGCTCCACAGTCAACAGATTCACCTCTTGAAATTATTTACCAGACAAGACAGATTTATGTCAAATTATCTACTACCTATGAGCTCACTTCAAAGACACAAAAAGATATCACTCAGTATTCCAATCTGAAACATCAAGAAACTTGTTACTGCAATTTAAATATCCACAGCATATCAAAACAAGTTACAGCTGTGTTGTTGTTTTTTCAAAAGGGGGTATTAGGATGAAACATGGATACAACACCTGACCATTTCTTTAATGTTTCTGTTGCAGAATACAGTATTAGAAACAAATACAAACTTCCTAGAGCTGGGGCACCGCTAGGTACTAAAATGACTCACAGCACAGGCTCATGAAATAAATTTGCAGAAAATGTGCTTATGCTAATTTACATGCATGGGTGCAAAATTTTGGCTGAATTTCATAGGGGAAACTTTTTTGCCTCTTGCTATGGGTTTCCAAAAGAATTTCATTGGTATAGTGGGTTATAGCCATTGCTAATCCTGTTCAGAGTAGACCTAGTGAAGTTAAGTAACATGGCTAACTTAGGTTGATTAATTTCAGTGGGTCTACTTTGAGAAGAACTTAATAAATGGATTGGGTCCTACACCCCACCTACATTCTATATGCACCTATTAAAAATCTTGTCCAATATCTAACATAACACTCATGCTCTCTTTCACAAACACTTCTCCTTCCACATGCCATTCAGCTATTGCATATATTCACAAGTCCCCTATCACCAGTCAATACCATCGACACACAATATTCAACAACCACGATCTATACTAGAATTGGGAAACAAATGAAAACAGAGGGTGGTGGGGTCTCAAAGCACTGTGCTTTGCAGTTCACCCAGCCATCCTATAGGCAGGCTTATTTTTATTTTTTTGGACTGGGGGAGGTGAGATGAACCATGATCCAGCACAAAAGACCCAGGGTCAGTCCCCAACATCACCCCTGCCTAGTGTCCCCATACAAAGTTTTGAGGGTCATAATAAATTTAGATTTATTGCCCTACAGTGTCACTGCTGTTGCCAGAAGCAGAACATGATCTCCTGATAGCAGCCTACACAGTTCTCAAGAGAGGAGGAACTTTAAAAAGTGCAGGGGTCAAAGAAGTTCAACAGTTAAACAACCATTTTAAACAGCTAAATAACTTCTTTTCTTAGAAGCTATCACTGTGATGCAGCAACATTGCAAAATTAACGTTAAGCCCACAAAGCATTTTGTAAGCATCATGTGGTGAGCACATGACCAGCAGCTAAGTGAAGGGTAGACATCTATGTCAAGCAGTCAACAGCAATTGGTTGAAAAGTGTGTTAGATGAACTGCCAGAATGAGACAAGACTTCACTTTATTCCTTACAGCTTAAATTTAGGGAACTCAACTAAGCTTTACTACATTTTAATACAAAACAGCAGGGTTCATTAGAAAATAAGCTTGTATGGCAGCCTTAAGGGCGTAAGTAAAGTAGGCCTGCTATGTGCGCAATTGCTTCTCAGTGTAGAGGAGAAAATATCATTAACTTTTCATGACGTGTCATAAAATCTTCTCACTCCCCATCTGTGACCACTGCTGTTTGTAACCCAAACTCCCATGGGACAACATTACAGGCTTCCTTCATTTCCCTTTCATTCACCTTCACGTTTGTTAAGTTTCTAATACATTTTGAAGACAGCTGAAGCCCGAAAGTGTTTCAGTAGTGTAAACAGAGTCAACTGCTAAGAGTGCAATTTTCAGCCAACAATTTCTTGCCTCAATTGTTAAATCCACTAGATGGCTACTCCCAGCTTCATTCCACTTCCTGCACTATGGAAATAATACTGACTTCTCTGTTAAAGCAGGGCTGAAACCACAAGGCCTCTGGGTTGACTGTGCTCCTATATGGCAGTAGAGAATCTGATCCAGCCCCCCTCTATCTGACCCTTGAGATTCTCCCCAGTCACACCCTCTAGTATTTGTGCTCTGCTGGAATGTGTTCTTAACTATGGAAGTGCCTCTTGCTTGTCTGGATGGGTGACAGAAGGACGTGTATGAGTACTAAAGTACTGTACAAAGGTAAAACTTACATTCATTGCTCCACCCACTTTTGCCTCTGGACCTGCTCACCACTGACAAGCTCCATAAAGTTGCACAGAAAAGAATGCAGCCCTTGCGTTCCCCATCCCTGCTAAATTTATTTTTTTAAAAATATTGACCACACTTTCAAATAAAATATTGCAAGGCAGTAAACCACCTAAAAACACCAATACGGGAACCTGAGGTGCTCAGAATTTGTGGTCTATCTTCACATTTGTGTAAGAGCAATCCAAGTCCATCATAACTGCGAGCGAGGACAGGAGATAGTCTGCACCACTACTTCTGTACTGTGCCTCCTATATTCTGAAGCACATAGTGACACTGATACCAGTTTTTCCAGTCTTCTGCAGCTGACCAACTAAGCTGCATGTTCACCTGAATCTCAGATCCCTTCATTAAGATACTGATGCTACTAAACTAAACTAAGAAAAAGGAGTTTGGACAAGACAGCAGGCCTTCAGGGGGAGAGAAGCAAACAATGAAAATTGGGACGGGGAGGCTGGGAAGAGAAACTGGTAGGTGGAAAAGACAAATATGGGAGAGTTGACAGGCATAGCAACAAAGATGCAGTTGTAGAGACTTGTAAGGCAAACGGTGAAGGGTGTCGCTGAGATACCTAAGTGAAGATAGAGACTGCACCTGCAAAGAGGGAAAGAGTGCCATGGGGTATAAAGAGAACAGAAGAAATGTTGAGAGAGAGAAGTTCAGGGAGGCCTGTAGCCACGGGGTGGGAGAGGAATAAATACACTTATGGGTTACAGAAAAAAAAGAGGAGGTGAAGAGAGAGATTACAATTAAAAGTTACAGCTGAGGGCACAAAGCAGGGGTCAGAGCACAGGACTTAAACCTGGGAGACCATTCAGTCACAACTCATGCAAGCGATGTAGATCAGTTGGTACGGCATAAGACTCTTAATATCAGGGTTGTGGGTTCGAGTCCCATGCTGGGCAAAATTTTCCTGCATTGCAGAGGGCTGGACTAAATGATCCTCATGGTCCCTTCTAAATCTACAATTCTATGATTCTATCCTGGGTAACTTTGGGCTAGTTACCTATCCTCTATCAAAGGAATGTTGTGAGGATTAAAAAGAGGCGAGCCACATATACTGCCCTGTGCTCACTGGAGAAAAAGTGGATTTTTTTTTTAAACAGCCCCCACTGACTTTCAGAGATTAAAATACTAACACAGCTCTAGTGTGTTAGTGAAAGCATTCTACACAGTGTGATTTGAGTTGTGCACCTCTACTATAAGGTTTGCCAGCAAGTATGCATACTACTACTTAGCATCTGGGCTCCACAATTTAAAGTTTGAGTTGCATACAACATAGGTGTGCAGAACACAAAGGCACAAGAACGGAATCGGGCAAAACCATATCTCACAAACACTTTTTAAAAGAGATTGTTTTGCCAGAATCTGTTCTTGTGCCTTTGTGTTCTGCGCACCTATGCTGAATGCAACTCAAACGTTAAATAGCGGAGCCCAGACGCTAAGTAAGTAGTATGCATAGTTGCATACTATAGTAGTAGAGGTGCACAACTCACATCGGGCTATATATCTCTCCACAGCAGGAACTGTTACCGAGAATGTCATCAGGAAGCTGTGACATCCATTCCCCTAATACTGGGGCCCCTTTATAGATCCTCGCCGGCCAAATGCGCCCAAACCGTCCCCCTCCCGGCCCCACAACAGGGCTTGGGAGAAAAACCCTCAGGCACATTCAATTCCACCAGTTCGTCTCCACAGGACCCCCCCCGCCCCAATATTCCATTAATACCACTTTTTCGCAGGCCCTTCAGCCCCCTGCTTTCTGCGGCTGGGAGGCCGGTGGGAGCAACTCACCGCCCCCCACCCCGCGTCCAGCCCCTTCACCCCAGAGATATTTGCCCCCCCGCACCTACTCCCTTCGACTTCCGCGTCGCCCCCCAACCCCGAATTAGGGTTACCCCCTCCCCCCTCATAGCCCCCCCTTCGGCCCACACGCAGGCGCAGAGCGACCCTCCCCTGGCGCGGCGCTACTCACTATTCGGGATTCATGCTTGACATGTCAGCGGGGCCCCGCGGCCTGTGAAGAACGAGCTCGCTCCGCGGAGCAGGCGGCGGTCAGACCCACCGGTGGCGGCGGCGGCGGCTCCTCCCGGCGGTCAGGCTCCCTTTCTCCGACCGAGCAGCGGAGGGGCGAGCGGAGGGCAGCACCGGCAAACGGACGCGGCGTCTCCCTTCTTGGCCGGGCTCCACTCCTCCCCTCACAGGCGGCAGGCAGCGTCCGCTCCGGCACCCAGATCCCAAAATGGCTGCCGGCCCCGCGAACCAGGAAACAGAGAGGCACCCGAGAGGAGGGGCCGGGCTTACATTGCGGCGCCCGAGCGGGGGAGGCCTTCTCGGGGCACGCCGGGAAATGGAGTCTCCGCGGGAGGAGGCGGCCCTCGGCCCGCCGCGGAGGCGTGAGGAGGGAGAGAACTCAGTTTCCCGGCGGCGCCCTCGGCGCAGCTGGCGCGTGCGCGGTCCGGGTCGCCTGTCTCCCCCGCGGCTTCCCGGTTGACTCAACTCCGATGTTCTGGTAGCGGATTGGCTGGCGGGCGAGGCCGGCCGGGTTGACGTCAGCAAGGAAACGTGGCAGCTCGGGCGAGCCGTTGACCTCGCCGGACGGGAGGGAGGGAGGGGCGGGGCCTGGCAGCCTGTGTGGGCGGAGCCACGCTGGCAGGCGGAGGGCGGGATTCGAACTGAGGGGCAAAGTTGCCTCTGGCCCCTGATCCGAGTCCCAGAACAGCAGGGCCGGCCCAGTCGTGAGGCAAGGGGAGGAGGAGATCGTTATTCTAAAAAAAAAAAAAATTATTAGCTTTCACAACATTATAAACAAACAAACACATAAAACAAACATAAATCATAACCTTATTAAAAATTACGCTTAATAACATTGTTGAATGACTTCCTCGCTTCCCCTTGGTTGAATTTCATTGCATGTCCTTTTAACGGTTTTCCAAATCACAGTTCTAAAACATTTTTAACTTAAACATTAACATCCTTAGATCTTCACATTATGAAATTAAACATATTAATTCATCACTTAACATAAATAAAATCTTAAGCCAATTAAGTATCTGCAAGCTGTTTTCAGTTAATTTAACTTAACATATTTAACTAAGTAATCATTAAATTTGATCCAATCTTCCTGATACTCCTCCTCCTTCTGGTCGCAGACTCTTCCGGTTAGGTCGGCTAGCTCCGAAAAATCCATCATCTTCATCTGCCATTCTTCTATCGTTGGTAATTCTTGGGTTTTCCACTTTTTAGCTAATAAAATACGCGCAGCAGTCGTGGCATATTAAAACAATTTAACATCTCTCTTGGGTAGTTCCAAACCTGTTATTCTAAGAAGTAAGGCCTCTGGTTTCTTTATAAATGTATGTTTCAACATTTTTTTCAAACCGTTATATATATTTTCCCAGAAGTCTTTCACCTTGGGGCAGGTCCACCACATATGATAAAATGTTCCTTCCTTTTCTTTACATTTCCAACATAGATTATCACAGTTATGATATACCTTTGCTAATTTTACAGGAGTCAAATACCACCTGTACATCATTTTCATTATATTTTCCTTTAACGCAGTAAATGCGGTGAACTTGACCCCTTTCTTCCACAATCTTTCCCAATCCTCAAACATTGTATTATATCCTACATCTCTTGCCCAATCGATCATCACAGATGTAGATCTCTCCCCCCCCCATCCCTGTAGATCTTTCCTCAGCCCCTCTTCCCTGACTGGGGGAATGGGCGCAATTTTGTGGTTTGTCTGGGGCACCAAAATGTCTAGGGCCGGCCCTGCTGGAACGTAGACAGGGAGCTGTCTTGTACCACCCGCCCTGTGGAATGCCCTCCCATGACTTTTAGAAGACATCTGAAGGCAGCCCTGTTGAGGGAAACTTTTAATATTAGATGAATTATTGTATTTTAATATTTTGCTGGAACCCACCCAGAGTGGCTGGGGAAACCCAGCCAGATGGGTGGGGTATAATAAATTATTATTATTATTATTATTCTACCGAATCAAGCCCATTGCTCCATGTAGCTCAGTATTGTCTACACGGACTGGTAGCAATGGCTCTCCAAGCTTCCAGGCAGGGAGCCTCTCTGGGGATTGAACCCAAGACCTTCTGAGCTATGGCCCTCTCCTCATTTATCTACTAAACCATTGATTTGTTTAAGGGGGCACATTGCTACAAATATATCAAGTGATGCTCAGCGATTCCAGAAGCTGTAGGTGGCGAGGTTCATCTTGGACTGAGTAATGAAATATTACTATGTCCAATAATAGCAAAATCACACTTTTCCTGTTTTTCCTGCGTAATAGCAGAGGTGGACCACGTTCTCCTTTTGTACAAATACACAAGTGTCCCTTTTCTCATCTGTGAAATATTGTTGAGTACAGAAAGTTGGGAAAAAAGTCTGATTGAGAGATGGGAGGCCCACTGCTATAAAATAGACATCCTGTCAGAACATGGTAATTTTATGCATGGAGGTGACATCTTGTAGGAATCGGGTGCTGTTTACAATGATAAGAGCAGCTTTTCAGGCGGGGAGCATTCCCAGTCCTCTCTGGAGCTTATACTTGGGATCTTCTGCTTGCAAGGCAGATGCTCTACCAATGGCCCTTCTTCCTGCATTGGAGCATAAAGAGAAATAGAAATAGCAAGACTAAATTAAGGCTTTAAATTTAATTTAAGCAGCCAAGGATGTACAAGGATCCAACACACAGATCACTGCCTTCAGTAAGCCAAAATTCTTGTCAGTGCCCTTGATAGTGTACAGAATAAAACCGCCATCTGGTTACTTGCAACAAGTGGTTGATCTGGATACTGCCAGTTTAGACACTGCTTTCTCAAAGCCACATCAAAGCCAGACTAAACATGAATAGCTTTTTATCAGCAAATTAATATAGCAAAGGCAACAAAGTGAGCAACTGTTCATTCACTTTCTGAGGAGCTACTTGTCTTTCGAAATTTACTGATTTTTCACTACCATGCAGAACTCAACTAGACACAATTCCTGCTAGCAGCCACCAGAAGCTCTGTGCAGAAAAATAACTCTGGTGTGTGTTCGTTAATACAGTAGTACCTCGGTTTACGAACTTAATCCGTTCCGGAAGTCCGTTCTTAAACCAAAACCGTTCTTAAACCAGGGCGCACTTTCCCTAATGAGGCCTACCGCCGCCGGTACCCTTCCACCGTTCTGATTCCGTTCTTAGACTGAGGTAAAGATCTCAAACCAAGACACTATTTCCGGTTTTACAGAGTTTGTAAACCAAATTGTTCTTAAACTGGACTGTTCTTAAACTGAGGTACCACTGTATGTGTTGGGCTCAGAACAAGGTTCCCATGGAGACCACAACATCCCGAGTAGAACTAGAAGCACTCTTGGCATGGGCATCTCTTGAGATGATGATGATGATGATGATGATCATCATCATCATCATCATACATTTATTTCTACCCACATTTTTCACTGATGGGACTGAAGGCAGCTTACTATAAAAATGAGAACAACAAAAAAAAGAGAAAAAGCCACCATTAAAAACAATTAAACACTGATAGAAGTAAAACTATATACGTGAACAAAATCTATTAAAACTATACAAAGAATTAAAATAAAATCTATATGGCCCCAGCCCTTTCATTTAAAAAAGTTAGTTCCTGGAAGTCTGTTGGAACAAAAAAGTCTTCACCTGCTGGTGGAAGCCAGTCTAGCTTCTCTAGAGAGGGAGTTCCAAAGTTGTTTGAGTTGTTGGGAGTCACTGTTTTGTATGCTCTGTAGTGTTTAATTTTTTTTATGTAAAGCTTTTCTGTTCAAAATACAACAACATTGGTGTAGAATTGTAGTGAATGCTGCATATTGCTCAATATTTGCAATGTGTGTCATATGGAAAATCATGGGAGGCGCTCAGCCTGATCCCACATTCATAGGACGGGATAAAAGCAAATGGACGACTGAAATGAGTTAACTACTAATTTGGATATTGCATAATTCACTTTACAGAACATTTGTTTGCACCTGCAAAACAAGTTGAAAAGTACCATACAGTAGATGTGGCACAATGAGAGCTGTAGTGCAACAACACCGAGGGCACTACACTGGCTAGGCCTGACCTAGACAAATAGGATATATGCAAAAAAATAATGTAAATAGCACAAAAGCGTATTAATGAGCTTGGTCTTGTTCAGAGAACCAGCATCCCAGAGAAGTTGCCTGGTTTAACACCGATATGTTTTGACGCTTCTGCAGAGCCGCCAGTGCAGTAAAAATGTCAGTTATTTAACATTGATAGGAGTGTACATACAACCTGTTAGCTATCAAGAGAATGCTTTTCCCTTTCTAAACTGAGCATAACAATAGTTAGCAGATTCTGGTACTAATACTGGAGAGCTCAACCAAATACTTCAAACCCTGTCCATACTGACACAATGATAAGTGGTCAGAGCACCAAACAACAAGGGGCCACAATTAGCTATTAAGAGGAACAAAGAAGTAGGGGTGGGAAGGGAGATGATAAATATTTGGCTTACAGTTGTTTTCTGTCTCTTGAGTATCTGTTGCAAAATAAGGGATAATATTCTCATGTCCCTTTGAGGGAAGTAATAGTGCCACTGTATTCTGCTCTGGTCAGACCTCACCTGGAGTCCTGTGTCCAGTTCTGGGCACCACAGTTCAAGAAGGACACTGACAAACTGGAACGTGTACAGAGGAGGGCAACCAAAATGGTCAAAGGCCTGGAAACGATGCCTTATGAGGAATGGCTAAGGAGCTGGGCATGTTTAGCCTGGAGAAGAGGAGGTTAAGGGGTGATATGATAGCCATGTTCAAATATATAAAAGGATGTCACATAGAGGAGGGAGAAAAGTTGTTTTCTGCTGCTCCAGAGAAGCGGACACGGAGCAATGGATCCAAACTACAAGAAAGAAGATTCCACCTAAACATTAGGAAGAACTTCCTGACAATAAGAGCTGTTCGACAGTGGAATTTGCTGCCAAGGAGTGTGGTGGAGTCTCCTTCTTTGGAGGTCTTTAAGCAGAGGCTTGACAACCATATGTCAGGAGTGCTCTGATGGTGTTTCCTGCTTGGCAGGGGGTTGGACTCGATGGCCCTTGTGGTCTCTTCCAACTCTATGATTCTATGATTCTATGACTCATACAACTTTGATCATGCCCGTGCATGCGCAGAAGAATCCTCTTACACCTGGAACTTTTGTGTGTGCAGGAGGTGGATCCAGCAAGCCTATCAGAAAACAATTGTGTAGATGTTTCCTACACAATTTTATTTCTAAATTTTGCATTTTATTCATTGCCAGCATATGGGTACAATGAAAAGCTAAACTTAAAAAAGCAGTTATCTGAATTGGAAGAGAACTCCTTGCTCCCTAAATAAGTCAGCAAAAGGATTTGGGTGGTTGTGAATGTAATTATAACGTTCAGACATCTCACATTAGACTAGTGCTCTCATGTTATGTCTCCAAAGATGTTTTAAAACTGGTTAAAAAAATGGTTGTGGACCAAAAGGTAACAGCAATCCTGTTTCCTTGTAAAGAACAAAAGCAGTGTCCAAATGACAAAGGCAGCCCATAATTATCAGCAGCCCATATTTCCACTGAGATGGCAAGCTGTGATTATATCCTAAAATGTCAATGTATTCTTATCTTCACCCTTTTTTGCAGGCAGAATGTTTTTGTTTTCTGTAGATAGTCTCTCCAGGCACCTGGTCACAGAGCAGGAAGAGAATCTGGAAGAGATTCAACGAACTCGTGGGTCGCATCCAGTTTCCATGGACTTTTTTCCAAATGCAATCATTGTCTGCATTGTGTGAGAAGGGGATTTTTAGCGTAATGGCAGAAGCTTCTAAGATGTCTGCTCATTTTATGCTGGGAGCAGCAACACAAATATTGCTTTAGGCCTGCCAAGTGTCCTTCCCAGGGCCAAAAGTTCATTTTCTGCTAGAACAAGTGCCTCCCAGATTAGAAGCCGTTTAGAACCTTACATACTGCTTTTTAACTTAGTAGTGAAAGAAGAGTGGCTGGGGAAACCCAGCCAGATGGGCGGGGTACAAATAATAAATTATTATTATTATTATAGTGCCACCTTTACCTTCCAACATGGCAGGAACCCCTACTGGAACAAAATAAGAGGGGAGGGGACATTTAGCAACTTTTATCAGCCTGGGGGTGGGATAACCTGTTCACTGCAGTTCATGTTCCATTACATTACTCTACCATTTCACTTCAGAACTAGGTCTAGAACTCGTTTAAAGTTGTGCCATTGAGGATATGTCAATGCTCTAGAGTAGTACAAGGTGTGGCACCAACATGTTCTTCCCCAGTGCTGCGTATTATGACAAAATGACCCCTGGGGTCCCTTCCAACTCTACAATTCTTTGAGTCTACGAAGAGGTGTCACAATATGTATGCTGTTCCAACAGCTATTACTTTACTTATTACTTTAATAAGGCATGGTTATTGCAGATTTGCTACAGAATGTTATAAGTTTTGCCTACCACGGCAATTGACTGCCTCCAATGTGGCAGGACTATCAGTGCTAGTACCAAAGGTCAAAAATCTGCACTGATTTGCGCAACTTCTGTGAAATCAGCGGCACACAGAACTTTGTCACTGTGATGTACAGAAGGAACAGTTATCAGTAATAAAATATTGCATCTTTCTGCTCTATGCACCCCAGAGCGACTTTTATTTTTAAAAAAAGCCTGGACAAAGCATGTATAACTTAAAGCATGTATAGTTTTATTGAAAAGGCTTTCCCTTAATAAATACAGCGCTAGCTTTCATTTACTCCCGAGAGTGAACCTGTGATGTCTGTATGTAATATGGAAATATGGCATTTTTGGAGTTTTTTTGCATTTTTAATTAATATTAGACACAAGAGAGCATTATACATTTGCAAAAATACTCTCAGGGAAATACAGTATAAGCATATTATGAAAGGTTTCTTTTTTAAAAAAAGCAGAACTCCACCCCCCTTAATATATCTATGGTCTTACCATCTTCTTCCATGAGTGGAGCTATTGTGGCTAGTTTCCAAATGCCACCTCATAACTGAAGCTGCTATTTGTCTTAGGAGAGAAGCTGTCACTGGTGTTAATGGCAGTTTTCTTCCTGGAATGAACAGCAGCTGAGGGTGGGTGTGATTTCGTAATGATCACAGCAGAGGGGAGAAAGAGTTAAAATCCTCCTCTCAGTTCAAGGTCTTTATTCTCTCTCACACACAGTGTCAATGGTGGGAGGCAGCAGCTGGGGAATCGCCAGGGGAACACAGCTCAGAGCCCGGGGAAGATGGCTGAGAACCTGGAGATTGGTCGTGGGACAACAATGAGTGATCAGAGGAAGAAGAGGGGCAAACCTGGGAGGAGGTGTCAGAAGCTGAAGAGTTAACAGGGTTTAGTGAGCAAGAAGAGGCTGTGGCAGAGAGCAGTCCAGAAGCAGGAGAGGCGGGGTGAGTGTGTCAAGAGGCAGAGTGGAGGCAGACTGCTGAAGAAGCCAGGGAGTCTCCCCCTCCTGCTGCAACCAGCTCCCCTCCACCCTGGTCTCCCAGAACATCCTGAGCAGGCCTTGTTTTCTCTAATAAAGTGTTAACTTCATGTACTTTGTGTGAGTTATTGCTGGCTCCCTGGCATACATGGTATAAAGATGAACAGTAACTGCACATTTTAATGTATTGTCCAGCTTGGCCGTAAGAAATCACAGTTTCTTGATTAGGTATAGGCTGAAGCTCTCACATACCCATAGTTCAGACCTTCTGAAGAAAAGTCTCAATTTAGATTCTCCTCCCCAATACTTTACACAAGAAAAGGAAACGTCACAAGATAAAGGTGGATGTGACTCTGAACCTGGGCGCAAGAGGTGCAGAATAATTTTTTCTTTGATCCTTTAAAAGTTGTTAGCATTGTTGCATCAATTGCTCTACAGAGTCCTTTCCCTGAGACCAGATGCAATATGGGAATGGCATTGATGAAGCAGCTCCAACTTCTCCCTAAACATTAGAAATCCACAAGGGGAAAAAAGATGAATAAATTAGGATTCATTAATATCCTATTCGATTTGCCTCAATTATTATTGTAGCAACTCCCATCCTACCATTTTGTCCCTGTTTAGTCATAATCTAGGCTAGCTTGCTACATTATCCCATATGTAGGATACACGATGAAAGGTAAATAGGAACATAGGTTATCATGGCCATGAGCAACCAAGAAAACGTGGGGAAACACTTGTCTTTGCGTACCTTCATATTCATTGCAATTATTCCAAGTTCAAACATATTTTCCTTTCCTGTTCGCTGGAGGATATCCTGGACAACAGTCTGGCATGCATCCATGGGAGACAAGCCCTGAAAGGTAAACAAAACCTCAAACAAGTTTCTTTCGCCACTCATTTCTATTCTGTGTATCTAAGGAAGTTTTAATTCCTGCCCTCTCAATGCTGCTTACATTGACCAACAGACCGAGATGTAAAAGCAGATGCACATTGCTCTTCATTTTATCTGTTTATACATTAAATCACACAGTACACTGCAAGGCATAATTTGGACTGTTCAACAGAGGGCAACGTAAGGATTACAACTCTGCAGAAAATGCCACAAGGACATTCTGTGGCAATTTCAGTGATCAGGAGCATGTGCCAGGATTTATTTGTGCAAGAAGAATTCTTATATTAGAACTCAAATCCTTATCTCAGAATTGTGCTGCCGATCAATGGATTGCCACCACCTCTAACAAATCGGTGAAACGTATCTAGTCCCTCTATGATTGGTTTGCAGGACTGGTCTCATAAGGGTCCGTAAGAAAGTGGTCTAGTGAACAGAACTTCCTAACAGAGCCTCGCTTTCTTGTATTAAGAGGGCTGGGTAAAAGTTTTAACAGGGCTGGCAAGCTTCCATGAACAGATAAGGGACAGAATGTTTTACATATAAAGTGCTAGAGTCTAGCCTGCACCCTCTTCAGCACTCTGTCCTCAACTTTAACTGGCTAACTTTGACTACAGTGGTACTTCAGGTTACATATGCTTCAGGTTACATACGCTTCAGGTTACAGACTCCACTAACCCAGAAATAGTGCTTCAGGTTAAGAACTTTGCTTCAGGATGAGAACAGAAATCAGGCTCCGGCGGCGCAGCGGCAGCAGGAGGTCCCATTAGCTAAAGTGGTGCTTCAGGTTAAGAACAGTTTCAGGTTAAGTACAGACCTCTGGAACGAATTAAGTACTTAACCTGAGGTATCACTGTCCTGATGTTTTCAGCTTCTGCCTACCATTTGGCCTATCTTTCTGCTCTTTTCAATCACCTATGTCAGAGGTATGTTTCTTGAAAGGGACTGCTGCCACAAACAATTTCTTTAGAGAGTCTATACCACTCTCTTCTCTAGCAGGAGGCTTCAATCATTTCTAGTCAACACATTATGGTTGAAAACCACTTCCCTTGCCCTTACTAGCTAGTCTAGGGGTAGGCAAACTAAGGCCCGGGGGCCGGATCCGGCCATATCGCCTTCTAAATGCAGCCCGTGGACGGTCCGGAAATCAGCGTGTTTTTACATGAGTAGAATGTGTGCTTTTATTTAAAATGCACCTCTGGGTTATTTGTGGGGCATAGGAATTTGTTCATTCCCCCCCCCCATATAGTCCGGCCCACCACATGGTCTGACGAACTGTGGACCAGCCCACGGCTGAAAAAGTTTGCTGACCCCTGAGCTAGTCTCTCTCCCTCTCCTCTCTCCCAGTGATGCTCTTAATGATAGTGCTTCATGCTTGAAACCCACTGATGACATACCTGTTTCATTAACAGGGCTGCATGAAAACATGGACAGAAACACATAATCTTGTCTCCATCACCAGTAGCTGATGGGTTAAAAAAAAGATTTACTTGTGAATAAGTGTTCTGTGTTAACTTCTGCAAATAAGAAAACAGAATTGCAATGCATCTATATACAAATCACTCCTCTTCTATCATACATTGTTGGAGTAGGACAATGTAGTCTGGTTTCAGTGGATAATACCAACAGAGAAACACTTTGACTAGACTGTTCCCAAAGTATATTTTCTTGTACTCTCTGTATTGTCTTGGATTTAGTAGCTTGTATCACAATGGCAACAATCACCTCCAGTCAGAGAAATTTTACAAAACCTGTGTTGTTTTCCACCCCATGCTTTTAGGAAATAGAGACTGAGGCTGCAATCCAAGGCAAACAGGTAGAAGCAACAGTAACTATAATGAGGCTTACTTCTGAGTAAACAAGAATAGGATTGCACTGTAAGGCTGCAAACCTACACACACTATGGTAAATCCTGCTGAACGCAATAGTGCTTATACTGTAGCAGAGACATACAGGATTGCAGTGTAAAAGATTTATGTGACTGTGTGGTTGGTGAGTAACTTTGGCAGGCTAGCAACACTCAGCCACGAAACTCACAGGTCAGTCACTCACTCTCAGCCTAGCTGACCTCACAGCCTTATTGTGAGGATAAAATGGGGAGGAGGACTCCTATGTAAACCACCTTGAAGTCCTTGAGGAAAAGTGAGATATAAACGTAATAAATAACAAACAGATAACATTTACAATTATGGCTGGGATACTTTTTTTTGCAATAAACGTTTGTACATGATCCTTATTCATCCCTCAAAACGCTTCAGGTGAATGTGTATTTTTAAGGACTAAAAAGCCAAACAGTTCTTAGCAGTTATCCAAGCAGCTTGGAAACAGGCGTGGCAGTTTTGCTAAGCCCTTGCTAGAGCAACAGAAAATACTAGCATTAGCATAACAAGGTTAGTGCATGAGATTAGGCTAGGTGTTTTTTAAAAAAAATAAATGGAAAGAGGCTACAGGGTATTCCTATTTTAATTAGCCAAGGTATGGAATTGTAACAAGAGGCTATGTACAGGGGAACCAATAAGCCTACATATTTCAGGTCTCTCCCTCTTTTTTTGGAGGGGAGGACTAATGTTTCCTGTGTTTATTGGCAGATATTGCTGCAATAATGATTTCTTCAACATTCCAGTTTCCCTTTGCCTGACTTCAAGGGCACGGCAAAGCTATAGGAAACTACCTTGCACAGACTACGAGCGGGCAAATCTGTCCATTTTGGTTTCTCCATTTCTTATTTTTCTTATCTGAAATTCAGTTCTCAATATTTCCAAATCAGTTTGCAATATTTTTTTTTTTTAAAAAGTCCTCATACATGCATACTTGCAAACTAGTTTTCCCTAATATAATGCAATACATACATACATACATACATACACACACACACACACACACACACACACACACATTATATGCACACTTTAGATGTATTTTATAATATAGGTAAAGGTAAAGGTACCCCTGACCCTTAGGTCCAGTCGCGGACGACTCTGGGGTTGTGGCACTTATTTTGCTCTATAGGCCGAGGGAGACGGCGTTTTCCGCAGACAGCTTCCGGGTCATGTGGCCAGCATGACTAAGCCACTTCTGGAGAACCAGAGCAGTGCACAGAAACGCCGTTTACCTTCCCGCTGGAGCGGTACCTATTTACCTACTTGCACTTTGACGTGCTTTTGAACTGCTAGGTTGGCAGAAGCAGGGACCGAGCAATGGGAGCTCATCCCGTCGTGGGGATTCGAACCGCCAACCTTCTGATCGGCAAGTCCTAGGCTCTGTGGTTTAGACCGCAGCGCCACCTGCGTCCCCTATTTTATAATATATTATATATATTTTACACACCCTTTACCCTACTATATGCATTTTTGTAAACATTACTTGGCTAGAGAACTGCACCACAAAATTCAGAGAAGTACAAATTTTGAATGATTGCCGAGTTTCAATTCACATATTGTTTCCTAAAGTGCAAATTACATAGAATAATCACGTTAATGCCCCAGCGGCCCATAATGTGGTGGCAAGAAAGATTAGGAAGACTATCAGGATAAAATTGTAGTAAACTGTAAGTGAGATTCAAAGGTCTAAATGGGGAAATACTGTATGCTATGTGGAGACCCTTAAGTCATGCATGCACCTGTGTTCTATGATTCTGATGGTTTAGGCAGAGGTTCTGTTTTTATACATAGATTTATAGAGATTTATTTCTTTGGTAGTCTGTATGGTTTTGTCATGGCCTTTGGCTAGTACAATAAAGCTACACACACACCCTACATGATAGGGAAAAGGTTGTGTGGCCATTCCCTCCTTTCATAGCCACCCCAATCATCCTTCAGAAAGTGAAAGTTTCGGAGGATGGTTGCGGTCATGTATTGTTTTGGAAAGTGTGGATTAGATAGGCTTGCCTTCAAATGCAAAGAAAACTGACTTTCTCCCCCATCCTCACCACAGATATATTCTTCCTTTTAAAACTGTGTTCATGGCCCAACTAGTCTTTGAATAGTCCTGTTAAGTAACATCACATACTCACTCTTCCTGATCTCATACCCTAGTAGCATTGCTTTGTTATTTCTGGCTAGTGTGCTCCTTTCAACAACTGCACCAACATGAGCTCAGCAAAACAGAATCTTGATCTGGGAAGCAGGAAGATGGCCTGAAGTGTTTAGAACCCTTTAAAATAGAAATGGACTGATGCCCCAAACAATTTCTTTTCTGGCATGAGTACAAGAGGTAAATGTTTCCATAATGTGTGGATTCTTGGAAGGCCAATTAAGCTACCGGCAGGATAAACTCTAAAAGAACTGGGCAAAAACAAACAAGATGAATTTTAACAGGGAGAAATGTAAAGTCTTTCACTTGGGCAAAAAAAATGAGAGGCACAAATACAAGATGGGTGACACCTGGCTTGAGAGCAGTACATGTGAAAAGGATCTAGGAGTCTTGGTTGACCACAAACTTGACATGAGCCAACAGTGTGACGCGGCAGCTAAAAAGCCAATGCAATTCTGGGCTGCATCAATAGGAGTATAGCATCTAGATCAAGGGAAGTAATAGTGCCACTGTATTCTGCTCTGGTCAGACCTCACCTGGAGTACTGTGTCCAGTTCTGGGCACCACAGTTCAAGAAGGACACTGACAAACTGGAACATGTCCAGAGGAGGGCAACCAAAATGGTCAAAGGCCTGGAAATGATGCCTTATGAGGAACGGCTAAGGGAGCTGGGCATGTTTAGCCTGGAGAAGAGGAGGTTAAGGGGTGATATGATAGCCATGTTCCAATATATAAAAGGATGTCACATAGAGGAGGGAGAAAGGTTGTTTTCTGCTGCTCCAGAGAAGCGGACACGGAGCAATGGATCCAAACTACAAGAAAGAAGATTCCACCTAAACATTAGGAAGAACTTCCTGACAGTAAGAGCTGTTCGACAGTGGAATTTGCTGCCAAGGAGTGTGGTGGAGTCTCCTTCTTTGGAAGTCTTTAAGCAGCGGCTTGACAACCATATGTCAGGAGTGCTCTGATGGTGTTTCCTGCTTGGCAGGGGGTTGGACTCGATGGCCCTTGTGGTCTCTTCCAACTCTATGATTCTATGAAAGAACCTGGAGTAAAAATTAACATCAGGGATATTAACTGGTTCATGGGAGATTTCAGCTCTAGATATGCATGAATGTATTTAAACATAAACAGGTATGCAAATCTTTTAATTATTACTACTAATACATACCTACTGCAGCTCCTACCTAGAAAGAAAGAAAGAAATTACTTTGGAAGTAACATGATCTGGATTAATTGTTCTCAGAGCCATAAAGAAATTGACAGCACAATTCTAACTCCTTGATCAGCATGGCTGGGAAAGGTAAGAATTAGGTGGAGGTGTCTCTCCTCTGGCAGGCCGGCTCCGCTGCAACAGATGCCCCTGTTGCGCCCACTGAAAGTGTGGGTGGTTGAGAAGCTACTGCCAGCAGTGGCCAGTGTAAGGCACAGAAACAGGGGAGAGGGGAGAGCAGGGTAAAGCTACCTCTCTATCCTGTCCAGGCAAGTGCTCACTCTAAGCCCCTTGGTTAGTCCAGTCTGGAGCTGGTATAGCAAAATAGTAAGAACAAAAAAATGTCCCCCTTCCACTCTGGTTGCTGTGAGTAGCAGGGCTTTGGATGCAATGGTGGCTCCATTGCTTCCCAACCACATTTAGGGTTGCTATTATTATTATTATTATTATTATTATTATTATTAATCACTCAGCTTGAAGACAGACCTTGACATTTCAAAAAGGATAAGAGGTTTCCCTGTTGCAAAATGTTGCCTTTTCCGCCATCTTAAAGAGAAGGAACTTTATATAAATAAGATGGGGGGAAACGCATAATAGGTTGCAATTAACCAGCATATTCCTTCTGAGCACAATCATAGAATCACAGAATTTGAAATACTTTATTGTCACTTGCACAACTTGTATACAGTGAGATTACACAAGCACCCCCCCACTCAGCTCTCTTAGTCTTAATTCCCCTCGTTTACTGACGCACACCCACCAAACCCGAAAGTCAGTTGCCCTGTTGTTATCTTTTCATAAATAAAATAAAAATAAAAAATAAAAATAAAAGCAAAAGAAGCCAATAACCCTTTCTTCCACAGACACATTTAAATGAATAGTAATATTAATCAGCCAAATGCCTGGTTGAAGAGAAACTTCTTTTTTTTCCCCAAGTGAATTTTTATTGTTTTCCTTACATATTCTTTTCCAACAAATTGTAATAGCACCGTACATTCCCTTTGACTCTGCCGAGTCGCGACCCCCCTCCCTCCCCACAACTGGTATATTTATCCTCTTTCCATCATGCACATCATTCTCATATTAGTACTATTATACATTGGAGGTATTATGTCAATCCTGCTAGTGTCTTGACCTCTTTACAATTCTTCTTTAAATATTCAATAAATTTACTCCAGTTATTTTGGTATCTTTGATCTCCCTGGTCCCGGATCCTCTCTGACAGTTTGGCAAGTTCTGCATATTCTGTCAACTTTGCCTGCCACTCCTGAATAGTTGGTATGTCTTGAACTTTCCATCTTTGGGCCAGAAGGGTCCTCGCGGCAGCTGTAGCATACATGAACAGATTTTGATCTTCTATTTTAATTTCTGCTCCTATTAAGCCTAATAGACACGCTTACGGTCTTTTGGGGAAAGTATATCTAAATATTTTTTTGAGTTCATTATAAATTGATTCCCAATTTTTTTTTACCTTATCACAGGTCCACCACATATGGAAATAGTCCCCATCTGCCTTTTTACATTTCCAACATTTTCTTTCTTTTTTCCTATACATTTTAGCTAATTTTACTGGCGTCAAATGCCATCTATACATTTTTAGCAAGTTTTCCTTTAAAGTCATTAAAGGTTGAAGAGAAACTTCTGAATATTTGTGTTTCTATACACTTCTTAAATATAACAAAATCAATATTACTAACTGTTCCAGAGATACCTGTGTGATCACATAACTATTGCTGACAGTGGAGTGGGAAATACTGTTACTCTCAAGTTACTTTTTAGGAGTATTATGGTTGACTACTTGTTTCTAAATGCTGTATCCTACTGCCATTCCTATGCTCCATACAGTTTATCTTGGCATACCTCTTTATCAGCATACAGCCCACATCCCGGCATCGGAGAATCTCCCACTCTTCCTGGATATTTAAAAGGTGCTCCAGAAGTAGAAACCCCTAAACATATTTTTTTTCAAATCAGTAAAATATTGGTAGTTATTCTGATAGCAAAAGAAAAATAGTTACATGAGACAGCGGAAATGATGGAGCTAACTGAATCATTATCTTTTATTCACCACAAACACACACCTCACTATCTTTCATGCGTTTGGTTTATATCCTCGGTGAAAAACTGTCAAATGACACAGCTTCTCCGCTAACAAATTCTGCTGTAGTCACTGACTGTGAATGTTACACAGCGCTAATAATTGTAATCAAGCTCTATTTTTTTAAGGGTTCGTAAGTCCCCTTTAAATACTAACACAGATGGATGTTTCTCATGACAGATTCTGCTTCCTTCTCCCCTCCAATAAAGCAAGTGTATTATTTCCCTTCCTGTAAATGATGAGAAGACCCACACAGCTAATTAGCAGCAGTTGTATAACATAAGGCAGGGATGAAACTCATTATTTTTTTTGTTTATGCTGCTCCCTCTTACCAACTGTTATATTTCCAAAGGTATCCAAGGCAATCAAACCTAATGAAAAGGCAAAAATAGAATAACAGAATTAACTTACCAAGCAACACTAGGAATATTGCTTCAAATAACAATCTCTATTGAAATTTTATAATTTCCCCATTTTAAAAAATACAGGAATATTTATCTGAAATTTCCTAGACAACAGAGTGAAACCCAGATGACATCTTCATTTCATCCCAAGTCTGCTATACTGTCACCTTGCAACTTAGAAAGGACTCTAATAATATGGGTGAGTGCACTGTGGAATTCAATACAGTGGTACCTCGGGTTAAGAACTTAATTCGTTCCAGAGGTCTGTTCTTAACCTGAAACAGTTCTTAACCTGAGGCGCACTTTTGCTAATGGGGCCTCCTGCTACCGCTGCACCGCTAGCACACGATTTCTGTTCTTATCCTGGGGCAAGGTTCTTAACCTGGAGCAACCACTTCCTGGTTAGCGGAGTTTGTAACCCGAAGCATCTGTAACCAGAAGCGTCTGTAACCCAAGGTACCACTGTATTGTTAAAAAAACCAAGCATGTGGCTATGATATCTGGAATAAAGAGAGATCCAGGTAAAATAAGTATATATTGCATAAATTCTGTACTAGTACACTTGTTAACCAACCTTTCCACTTGGAGAGGGTAGCCATGGGGAAAGTGGGGGCAGAGAAGTCTGCTTTTAATACCCCTGTTACATGCATTAACCCAGAATCATGTTTAACTCGTATCACTGTGATATGTGATCTTAAAATTATCTGAATATTTTGGATTACTTTGAGATTGTTTATATACCGGTACATTCAGGCATATTGTACAGCTACTGAGTATCTGCCAGTGTAAACAATTAATTGTCATAATTTCTACTGAAACATCTTTTCAGACATCACTTTACACCTAGATGTCAAGCAACTGCATTTAGATTATCTTTCATTTTTTATATGCTGCCTAGCACACAATAACTAAACACCAAATTTCCATGAGTCCTTGATGATTTTGGGAACATAACAATAGTTTGTGTTATAGAGCCATCATTATCTGCAGTATAAAACGGTAAAGGGACCCCTGACCATTAGGTCCAGTCGTGACCGACTCTGGGGTTGCGGTGCTAATCTCGCTTTATTGGCCGAGGGAGCCAGAATACAGCTTCCGGGTCATGTGGCCAGCCCAGCATGACTAAGCCGCTTCTGGCGAACCAGAGCAGCGCATGGAAACGCCATTTACCTTCCTGCAGGAGCGGTACCTATTTATCTACTTGCACTTTGACGTGCTTTTGAACTGCTAGGTTGGCAGGAGCAGGGACCGAGCAACAGGAGCTCACCCCTATACCTGTTCTTTATTGTGCACTACTGCCTCTGGCCAAACTGGCCTTGCAAGTGTTTATAAGGCTTTAAGTTGCATTCTGGAAACAGCCAAAACAAGTCTCAAGAAATGTGGCGCTGCTGAAAAAAGAGAGCGTGGTAGTTTTGACGTGACTTTCACAGATGCCTATTGTACTGTCTTCATCCAAGAAAAATGCTGCATTTCTTCCATCCTAAATATGCAGAACACTTTTGGAACAAAGTTATTGTTTTCAAATCTAAAGTATTTATCAATATACAGCTCTTGAGGTCTTTAAAAAGAAAAGTTCAACGTCTCCCTAAGAAAAATTTAATAGAATCTTCTGTTTCAATGGAAAACAGCAGCGACTAATGAATTGAGAAAGGGTTCCCTGAATGTTCAAAGTGGCTACAATAGGAAAACACAGCCTAAGATACTTCTCTTCTCCCACCCCTCCCATTCATTACATTAATAGTGATGACTCTTTCAATCCTAGATCAGGACTTGTGCCACGTCTTAACAATAAAGGGGAAATGGTAGCTGTTCCATAGAAATGTTTGTGCGCTGCTAGCTTCACCACTTCTGTTGTGCGTATCTAACATGGGAATATGTATGAACACAGTGAATTTTTTTAAGAAGGTGGAAGATTTACCCTTAAATTAATTTTTAAAACCCTGTGATTCTACCTACTGTACTTGGGAGTGACACTGGACTCATTTTCAAACAAACTTGCATAGGATTGGAAGGCAACTGCTTACAGTTGTTCTGTCAACTGGATATTTACAATGTCACTTTGAGGCTGAAATCATTTACTCACTTACCTAGGAGTAAGACTCACTGAAATCAGTGTGGCTTATTCTCCCCCCCCCCTTTTTATGTGGCTTATTCTGAGTAGACATGTATAGGATTGCACTATAAGGCTTAGATCCTATCCTAAGCACCCTTAGAGCCCATGTATTTATGTTGTCTCTTGTAATGGAGATGGTAGGCACAATTGCTGGAGCTGGGATAATTGCCAGGTGATTTTCAATTATTTCAAGGCAGAAATTAAATACCTTTTCCTAGCCACCATTTCCTTTAAATCCAACCTTAACAATTTTCTTATAGCTTTTATTAAGCCATAGCACCCTCTTGAGGCTGAACAAAGAACAGGATGTACAAACCTTTGCAGGATACTGAATAGGGCAACATTTTCTGGAATGGAATGCCCAGTAATGCAATAGGCAGAAGAATTCCTAACCTAGATTTCTATAGGCCCTCAAGTAAAAAGATCTAGCAACAAGTTCTATTTACTTCCTGTTGGTCCCCTGGCCACTGAAAGTGAAGTTATTAGGATGAATTAGAGAGCATGCTATACTCCATGATCTCAAGGCAGCTCCCTGAATTTTCCAGGCACCATGTCACTTATATTGAAGCTTTCTTGATATTCTATGCGTACTAAAAAGGGGCTACATTTAAACTAGAGATGTATGTCAGGCAGAAAAGAAACCATGCCCATACACACTGTCATCTGAGAAAGACAACATCTATTTGCTGCAGCCTTCTGCACATGTTCACGTCTTCATTGAGATAGATGTAGATGCTGCTGTCATGCATGACACACTACATGAAGACCTGCATGCTTGGCTGTAAGGAAATGGAATATGTATAGAATCATAGAATCATAGAGTTGGAAGAGACCACAAGGGCCATCGAGTCCAACCCCCTGCCAAGCAGGAAACACCATCAGAGCACTCCTGACATAAGGTTGTCAAGCCTCTGCTGGAATCAGCCCAGATTGTTTCCAAAACTTAGATTAATTCCTGTATTATTTCAGAAAGTCTGTAAAAGTTGCCAGTTAATACATAAGAATTAATTAACCACAGCATCTTATGTACCTGTAAATTCTTGGTAGCATAAACATACAACTAGAAAATGGCAAGTTAATGCCTCCACAATTACAAAAAGAAGACCCAGCATGTCCCATAAAAGTGTTATTTTAATAAAAATATTACTTACCCAATGTATCATGTTTCTTCAAGCTCTTTCCCTTTTCTAAATATTCCTACAGAAAAGATAAGACTAGAATGAATTGTGCTATCAAATGCCACCCATTTGTAATGATAGTTTCCCCCCCAAGTAGAAATCTGTGAAGTAAGCAGAATGTATCTTCTTATGTATAAGTAACATCCAGAAGTTGTATCTGAAACATAGTTTCTTTCAAAGGATTAATCCTAAATTGTATGTGGGTTCAGTGGGAGAAATGGTTGGGCTCTTCTGATCATTCTGTCAGCGCAAGCTTTGTCGGCTTGCTAGACCAGCGGCGTAGCGCGGGTTGTCAGCACCCGGGGCAAGGCAAGTAATTTGCGCCCCCTAACCTGGGGCAAGGCAAGTAATTTGCGCCCCCTAACCTGCCGCCGCTGCCAGCTTCTTCTTGCTGCACTGTCCCTCCCCCAGATAGTCCCTCGCTCTCTCTCCGCACCGCACGCCTGGCACCCACCCCCTCCACAGTGGGCGGCGACCCAGCGGCTCGGATTAGATTCGCACAGCCAGCACTGCAGTGAGAGAGAGTGAGTGAGCCAGGTAGGGGCAGAGAGCTGCGAGTGCGAGCCCCCCCACCAGATGTTGCGCCCGGTGCGGCCGGCCCCCCCTGCACCCCCCACGCTACGCCACTGTGCTAGACAGAACAATATCCACTCTCCTCCTCCTATGTGCTGTTCCACAGGTTCTCCAAACCCCAGTGCCAATTTTGGGGGTGGGGGCACACAGGGGGGAAACACTGATGGGATTCATTAGTTGAATTCAACCCTCAATCTTGGGACTATTCTAAGGGCTGGCAACTCACAGCCCATAGCCACTGGCAGGGGTTTTCCAATACATTAAGAAGCAGCATAACTTCCCAGCTAGTCTCATGCCAGGTGAGATGAGGAAACGTTAACTTTAGAAAGGAGAAATAAGCAGAATTTCAATCTATTTTTCTCTCCTTTCCAAGCCACCCATAGCTGATCCTTCCTCAGCAGTCAGCATGAACGTATGCCATTGTCCATGCAGTTGGGAAGCACTTTGGCCAACAGAATATTAGTAGTCAGTTAATTTGAATTCTATTTCTGACTATCTGATGCGTGACATTTTGAAAAAGTCACATCGGGTGCCTCCTTTGTTGTTTGAAATGACTTCAAAGAGACTTCTTGATGATTCATGAGAGTCAGGGGTGCTCAGAACATCTGCAAGGGTATTTATTCCTAATGTGAATTATTCTACTACTGCATAAATAAACTCACATCACTATTGCTCCAAAGTAGAGTGTTACCTGATAAGCTTCTGTACTCTGCTCACTCATCATACTTCGGTTATCTTCCACAGTGAAGCCTTGGTCTTTTGCAAAAGCCACAGCACCATCCCCAACCAGAAAACTGTGTGGAGTTTCTTCCATGACCTTACGTGCTACAGCGAGAGGAGTTCCAATTCTTTATCAGCAGAAAGAATAATAATTTGAGAAGGGGTTTGTTCCATATATACTTTTAAAGAACTGAGTTCTATGGTTAAATGCAATGATAAAAATTATGAAGAGCTAAACCATTAGGCTCGAAGGAATAAAAAAAAAATCTGTGAAAAAGCATAATTAAAAAATAATAATCTCAGGGTTTTTGGTGACCTCTGACGCATAGCAAGGCATAATACATACCCATGCAAGGCTGCCACAGCTCCAAAACGCCCAGGTTGTCCTTCCATTATTGCTGCATCACATTGGATTATGCCCTGTTTATTTGGGTAGCCTCCCCGTCCTACTACAAAACGTCCTGTTTTCTCATCGTTCTCAATATCTGAAAACATATTTTAAGAAAAAAAGTGTTTTAAAACCTTTTATTTCTATAGCTATATCCTTGAGCACATTCAAAGCACATTTTCTCCCTCAAAGAATTCTGGGTACAGTCCTGTTGTTAAGGGTTGCTGGGAATTGTAACTTTGTGAGTGGAAAACTACAGCATCCAGAATTCTTTAACAGGAAAATGTGCCTAAGATTTCATATTAGCATTTGAAAATTAGCATACAAAGGTATCCAGTGTGCGACAGTTAACCATTAATGTATGATTAACAGCATGTGCTTTAATAAGCTAGGTGTTTGTATTATTATTTTTGACCTCGTTGGAAAAAACTATTTTCCATGATGGACTGATATTAATAATACATAACTATTGGTTAAAGGGCAATTAGTCCTGAATTCATCTCAGTTACATACAGTGCTTTTTTCTGGGTCTGTACCATTCATACAAAAGGAAGCAATTGTCACAAGTACTGCATCCTTTCTATGTGGCAGTCATATTTGTGGTGCATAACCTTTACATATCTGCCATCTTTATTTTGATCAGCTAGGTGGACAATACTGACATCTTATGTCATTCATATGCCACTAGATATAGCATGAAACAGTAACCTTTATAAGTAAGGTAAAGGACCCCTGGATGGTTAAGTCCTGTCAAATTCTACTATGGGGTGTGGTGCTCATCTCCACTTTCAGGTCGAGGGAGCAGGTGTTTGTCCACAGACAGCTTTCTGGGTCATGAGGCCAGCAGGATTAAACCACTTCTGGTGCAACAGAATATCATGACGAAAGCCAGAGCAAATGGAAATGCTGTTTACCCTTACCTAAGTTATATGTTAGCTACAGCCACAGTACTTTCACTGTTGGTATGCTGGCATATACATTTGGCTGGTTTTTTGTTGCAGAAACTGAGGGGGAGAGGGACAATAGCCAGTGGTTTTTTCCCTAGAAAAATACGTGCTGGTACCCACCATGAAATTGTTGTAGTAAGTGTCACACTTTTTAACAACAACAAAAGAGCTGCCGGTACTACATATCCTTGGAAAAAAGCACTGCCCATAGCGCACCATTGGGGTAGGCATCTCTCCTATTGCATTGTTTTTTAAATCATGGGGGGAAGTCTTAAAGCCTTTCAGATTGAAGCCTCAAGTCCCAAGCCTCGAGTCTCAAACGAAAGAATTGGATCCTTAATATTTTGTTGTACATATCCAAATTTCTCTCCATCCACGCTTTACACTTAGTCTTTGACAAGTGAGATATCTGCATATCTATATATCTCTATTTGGGCCTACCCTGCTATTCCGATAGCAAATTTTTAAAAGCTGGTTTTGATATTGTTGTAACCCGCAGCGCGTTGAAGGATGGCTAAGAAATCCAATAAATTATAGGATTGTAGTGTGGGAAGGGACCACAAGGGCCATCTAAGTCCAACCCCCTGGGTACCCAACCAGGGCCAGTGCAAGCAATCTTGCTGCCTGAGGCAAAGGGCAAGATGGCACCCTCCCTCAAGGTGCACACAAACACACGAGGTCAGCCCACCTGCCTTTGAACCTTGCTCCAATACCGTGATACCTCTGGTTGCAAACGGGATCTGTTTTGGAGCCCCGTTCGCAATTTGAAAAGAGCGCAACCCGTAGCGGCGCGTCTGCGCACATGCGGGTCGTGATTCGCCGCTTCTGCGCATGGCATCATTTTGTGCTTCTGTGCATGTGCGAGCGGCGAAACCCGGAAGTAACATGAAGCGAATGTAACATGTGTTATGACTGTACTACAAAGGACAGCACCTTCCACTGGACCTGAGGGCAGCAGGCTGGTGTGCAAGCCCAAGTCCTGCAGCGTTCCCAGCTCAGGACATTCCTTGAACCCCAGCATCTACAGCCTAAGGTCTTAGAGGACAGCACTGATATATAGTGGACGTAAGGGAAACTTGGTGGAACTGAGAGAACCAGGGCTTTTCCCTAGCCAAAACTCACCAGACAGAACTCAGTTATGGCACCTCTCCGGTGGGCACCATTGCCATTCTAAGAGAATGAGGGAGATGTTCATGGTGAGTTCTGGCAACTGTTTTTCTAGAGAAATGGCACTGGAGAGAGCCAGTGTGACACTGTTATCTCTGGATATGAACCCAATAGGAAGGGCACAGAAGGACATACTGCAGGGGATGTTGCTTTGTATGCGAAAGAAGGCGCTGATTCAAGCAAGCTAGAAATCCCAGATAAGGGAGACTCCTCCAAAGAATTATTGTTGGTGCTGATACCTGACTCCAGAAGTAATCTACTACTGGGGGCACACTATTGACTTCCTGGAGAAAACTCTCAGGGAGATCTTTTGGTGGAGAATGGGATCGGGGAAGCATCCAAAAGATGTCACAGTACAGTGGTGCCCCGCAAGACGAATGCCTCGCAAGACGAAAAACTCGCTAGACGAAAGAGTTTTCCGTTTTTTGAGTCGTTCCGCAAGACGAATTTCCCTATGGGCTTGCTTCGCAAGATGAAACGTCTTGCGAGTTTGTTTCCTTTTTCTTAAAGCCGCTAAGCCGCTAATAGCCGTGCTTCGCAAGACGAAAAAACCGCAAGACGAAGAGACTCGCGGAACGGATTAATTTCGTCTTGCGAGGCACCACTGTAAGTAAAAAAACTACGGATGCCCCCAAAAACTGTGCGCTAGAACAGTTGGTGAGGGAGCCCAACAAGGGTGACCCAGGATCTAGTGCAGGCTTCCTCAACCTCGGCCCTCCAGATGTTTCTGGCCCACAACTCCCATGATCCCTAGCTAGCAGGACCAGTGGTCAGGGATGCTGGGAACTGTAGTCCAAAACATCTGGAGGGCCGAAGGCTGGGGGTGCCTGAGGCAGCTGCCTCGCTCTGCCTCATGGGAGGGCTGGCCCGGAACGTCGCCCGTTGCTAGGCAGCGGAAGAAGGGCTTTTTGCCGTTGGTTTTTTTACTCCTTCACATTTATGACCCGTCTCTACCTGCCATGGCCTCCTGGAGGCAGTCGGTCGCTAAGCCCCCCTCGAGCAGCAGCCGCCTCATCCTCTCCACGGCCGGGCGCGAAAAGGCCCAGGTTCCCGCAGCGGCTGCCATGGCGACGCCCGAACGCGGGGCGGGGCTTCGAGGTCTTCGGGAGGCTCTGATTGGGCGGCCGGCGGCCTGTCAGTCACGGCGGGGTCGTCTTCCGCCTTCCCGCCTTCCCTTCCGGGGCTGCCTGTGAGGGAAGAGAGAGAGAGGCCTGGTTGGAGTCGCGGGGAGGAGGCGAAGCTACCCTTCACTTCAGCCGCTCGCTCTCGGGCCCCTTTCCCCACGGAAGAAGGAGCCATGGACACGCTGGGCCGGAAAGTGGTCGTCTGCGACAACGGCACCGGGGTGAGGAGGAGCCGCCTCGCTTCCTGGAGCGGCGGCCGCGACTGAGCTCTTCCCCCCCCTCCCCATTATACGAGGGCGGGAAGGGCTGGCGGCTCTCGCGTCAACCGCCTTTCCCCACCTCACCTCAGTAGCCTGGAGGGGAAACCCTAGTGGGTGTCTGGCCCGCCACACGGGGGAGCGGGGCCTGAGGCGGGGTGGGTGCGGGGTCTGGGAGGTAAGGCGTTAGCCCACCCTGCCAAATAATTATACACAGGTAGGTAGCCGTGTTGGTCTGCCGTAGTCCAAACAAAATAAAATAAAAAAATATTTCCTTCCAGTAGCACCTTAGAGACCAACTAAGTTATTGGTATGAGCTTTCCTGGTGTTTAATTTTCATCCCTGATCTCGGCCCTGAATGGGAAGCCCGGACTTTGAAAGTCATCTAATCTCCCTTGCTGTATTATACTGTATTGTTTAATTAGTGTTTTTATGGAGCAGTCAAGTAATTTCGTTGTCCCCGAAGGGGGCAATGACAAAGATATTATTATTATTATTATTATTATTGGTATGAGCTTTGCATGCACATGAAAGTTCACACCCAATAACTATCTTAGTTGGTCTCTAAGGTGCTACTGGAAGGATTTTATTTTATTTTGTTTCAAATAATTATATACAGTGGTACCTCGGGTTACAGACGCTTCAGGTTACAGACGCTTCAGGTTACAGACTCCGCTAACCCAGAAATAGTGCTTCAGGTTAAGAACTTTGCTTCAGGATGAGAACAGAAATCGTGCTCCGGAGACGAGCCAGCAGCAGGAGGCCCCATTAGCTAAAGTGGTGCTTCAGGTTAAGAACAGTTTCAGGTTAAGAACGGACCTCCAGAACGAATTAAGTACTTAACCCGAGGTACCACTGTAGTTATATACTCTGCGGTTTTCCCCTGAGAAGGACTCAAGGCGGCTTACAGATTAAAAAAGAAGAAGAACATCTCTAAAGCATACGGCGGGGGTGGGGAGAGAAACACCGCCCATTGAGAAACTATTAAACATCAATGAGCTGCAATCCTTTGAGTCCTTTTGAGGTGCTAGTAGAAGAAGCTAGAATGATCCTTCCTCTTTCTCCTCCCTGGCATAAGTAGCTTTTAACTTGCCGAAGGTGCGCGCGTGCCTAAGTTAAGCATTTCCTCTCATACTGCCACGCTTTCTTTAAACGAATTCTTTCGCTTTTTCTCTGAATTGTTGCATCCCTATCCCACACTTTCATAAAAGGAGCTAAAGGTGGCGTTGTCACATTCTCCCATCTTATCCTCACAACAACGCTGTGAGGCGGGTTAGGCTGCGGGGGTGTGAGTGATTGGCCCAAGGTGGGCTTCTTCATGAGGTAGGGATTTCATCCTGCATCACCCAAGTCCTAGTCCAGCAGTCTAGCGCTGGCACAGAATTAGTCCCATGGTCACTTGTATTCCAGTTCTGTTGGATTACAATCCGACAGAAGTTGGATGAGCGTCTCTCAATTGCACACACACTCCTACCACTTTTCTTTTTTTTTTTAAATGATATTTATTGAAAATTTTAAAATTACAAAAGAGAACAAAAAAAGAAAAAAAAGAAAAAACAAAAAAAGACAAACCACAGTCAAACAATACAGATTAATAAAAATCAAAATCAAAAAATAACATGACACAATTAAAAAACAAAAATATACCACAAACATTTAAAAACAAATCCAATATTCTCATATCTTTAACTGTCATTACCTTCTTTCTTTGACCTCCTCCTCCTCCCTTTTTTTGTATCCTGATTATTAATTGTCACAGCAAATCCTTTCCATATTTCATAATATTCTGTCATTACTTTACCTTAATCTATTTTAATCTTATCTTACTATGAAAACCTTAAAACTTAAAACTTAAATCTTATTTTTACCAATTTCTCATAACCATAATATTCTTACATAATTCTTTAAACATTTTTGCTAAAGCCAAATAATTTCGTTCCAACATTTTTCTAACATTCATCAATTTTATAAAACAATCATAATAAAAGAAATAACAATCCAATCTTCATCCAGCGTCTCTTCCTCCTGGACCCGGGTTTTGTCAGTCCTTTCTATCCCATCAATCTAGCGCATTAACCTGGTAACCTTATGTCCGAGGCCCTTAAGTCTCTTCCATGTCCCTTCCGCAGCTCTTCTTCATATTTATAGCTATATTTTCCTTTATCTCCTACTTCTTTCACTCTTGGGAACTCCAGCTTGACAATGCTTTTGACCCTTCTCGACAAATCAGCCCCTTTTCCATAGTCCCCACTAAGCTCCATGTGGTATTTAAGAACATGTTTCAAAGACCCTCCAAAATTGAGAGCCCCCACAACCCCAAACATCTCACGGCCCATTGCCAGACTCGAAAAGTCCAAACCTCCCTGCATAGGGGGGTCTATCCAACCCCCCATTTCCAAACCAAACCAAACTTTATCTTTCCAAATCTGGCTTTTTCCAAGTTCATTTGTCAAATCCAAGAATTCATGTTCCTGCTGGGCCGCAGCTCCCTCCATCCCTGGCGCCCAAGATTCAGCAACATCCTCTTCCCTCATCTGTTCTGTCAGGGCACACTCCTGATCTAATTCCTGGGTGGGCTCTATATAATATCCCACTGCCTGTCCAAAATTTCTAATCGCATCAGTCATAAAATCCGTCTTCTCATGTAGCTGTTCCAGTAGGGCACTTGTTTTACAGAAAGCACTCAACAGAGCTTCTGAATACATTGTCCTGCAAGGTCAGAAGTCTATTCCCACGATCGTAATCTGTAACAGCTGCGAGCTTCCCGATTCAAAATTGGTTACAGTTTCACAGGCTCCCTCTAGGGGAAAAACTTCTGCTTGTTCTTTTCTTTTAAAAACAAATCTAACAACAAAGTTTCCTTTTTCAGATATTTTGTCAATATTTGTTCCTTTAAAATGCGAAGGGGAACAATGGAATCACTATGTATCTCTTCCTTTAGCTATCTGTCAAAAACGTTTGTCTCTGGTCAATGAGCTTCAAAGAACGTCAGTCCTGACACCCCGCTCCAGGATCAAGACGGTGGAAAGTTACTTTACTTTACACTCACTTCTGCAGGTTTAAACAGTCCAGAAAAAATCCCCCCTCTTCTCCTGCTTCCGAAGGGGGTTCCACAATTTTAAATGATGAAAGTTAATCCTTTAGAAGCGATTTTCAGAACTTTAGTTTGCTGTGTCTTTGCTTTAATCTATCTACAAAGAAACGGAAGGCTGACTTCCTGTTTAGACCTTCCCGTTTCAGTGCCAGATTAAATTAAACTTTAAGTCCAGTTTCCTTTCTGCTCATAAATCCTTATTTAGAGTCCAATTGTCCGAAACTTAAGTACTCATGGGTGGTTGTTTTAAAAGCCAAATTGTCCCAGGAAAAAGGCAGCGCTCTCCGGCAACGGCTGTGCGGCTTCGCTCCACGGAAGAAGCAGTTGACTCTCAGCACCGCGCCACTTCCCCCTCTTCGCTCCGGAGCCCGTTAGTGGGTTCCTTTGCGGGTTGGGGGGGTTAGGGTCCCATGGTCACAGGCTTCATCCGCCTGTGATTTTTGAATGGGTCCCCACTTCGCCGTAGCGGAAAAGACCCGATTCCTGTGGAGCTGGTCCCTCCAGTTCAGAGGGAATCCGCCATTGCCGATGGCGCCACCCCGGAAGTCCCCCCACACTCCTACCACTTTTCTAACATTTTGCCATCTACTGGCACCTGAGTTACTTTCTTTGTATTTGGCTGTCCCCTCAAGCTGTTTGTCACAGCTGCACGCCACTTCTCCCCTCCCTGCCTGTCCACCCCATATCTGTTCTCTAGGTGTGTCACTGTTGTGACTCTTTCCCTATTTTTTAATGTTTGATGTTTTACTATGCTTTTACATATGCTGTAAGTCGCCCAGAGTGGCTGGGAAAACCTAGCCAGATGAGTGAGGTATACAGAACAAAATTATTATTATATTTAGATAGGTATGTGCTCACATGGGCATAGCCGGGGGGGGGTGTCAGGTGGCCCCCTAGATCAAGTAAAACAATACTGTATTGTTTGCTTCAGCGTCCCACCCCTCATGTTTCACAGTCAGTTATTCAAACAAGACACCAGAGTGTTGGTTTCAGTTTTTTTCCCCTTGAAGGGCCTAGAATCAGCAGTACTAATAATAGTACCTAGACTCCTCCCTCCTCTAAAAATATGTTCTCTAACGAAAGGTCTTTCAGTTTGAGAATACCAAAAGTAGAATATTGACGTCAGAAGACTTAACCGCCTTTTTTCAGCCTGAGGCTAGAATCATTTTTTGTACTCTTCTCTAACAAGGTCTAAAAGGGACGCGGGTGGCGCTGTGGGTAAAAGCCTCAGCGCCTAGGACTTGCCAATCGAAAGGTCGGCGGTTCGAATCCCCGCGGCGGGGTGCGCTCCTGTCGCTCGGTCCCAGCGCCTGCCAACCTAGCAGTTCGAAAGCACCTTCAGGTGCAAGTAGATAAATAGGGACCGCTTACCAGCGGGAAGGTAAACGGCGTTCCGTGTGCTGCGCTGGCTCGCCAGATGCAGCTTGTCACGCTGGGCACGTGACCCGGAAGTGTCTGCGGACAGCGCTGGCTCCCGGCCTATAGAGTGAGATGAGCGCACAACCCTAGAGTCTGGCAAGACTGGCCCGTACGGGCAGGGGTACCTTTACCTTTACCTAACAAGCCATTAAAACATTTCCCTCCCTGTGTAGATTTATTGCTTATAGTGCTGTGGCAGGGAATACAGTGGTACCTTGGTTTAAGAACAGCTTAGTTTATGAACAACTTGGATTAAGAACGCTGCAAACCCGGAAGTAGGTGTTTTGGTTTGTGAACTTTGCCTTGGAATAAGAACATGTTTCACTTCTTGTTGAGTGTGTTCCATTCGTAAATTGAGTCCCCTGCTGCAATGGGAAAGCACGCCTTGGTTTAAGAATGCTTTGGTCTAAGAACGGACTTCTGGATTGGATTAAGTTTTAAACCAAGGTACCACTGAAGGTACCACTGTTACAGCATTTTGCACTACAGAGTGATGAGTGGCCTGAGCTTTGGGGTGGAATTATTATTAGCCTATCGTTCACCCTAAGCTCCCACGGAGGGTTACAAGAGTTTAAAATACAACTTTAAAGATATGCTGAAGTGTAATGACTTTCTTTGCAAGTGAGTAATGGCCCCTTATAAAATTGATGCTTACTGTGACTATTCTTTATGTGTGTGTTTGAAACAGATTATCTGGCTTCTCTGTATCACAGAGGGCTCATTCATTTTTTGGAATGTAAGGCAAAGCTTCACTTTGGTTATTGCTTGTGCTTTTTGTTGATGAAAAATGGTATGCTTTCTATCTGCAGCCTGAGCCTGTAAGTCCTATGCACATTTATTGGCAGTAAGTCTCATTGAACACATATGACTGCTATGTAAATCCTCATTAAGAACATAAGAAGAGGCCTCTGGATCAGGCCAGTGACCCTTCTAGTCCAACATTGTGTTCTCACAGTGGCCACCCAGATGCTTGAGGGAAATCCACTAGCAGGATTTGATCGCAAGAGCACTCTCTCCTTCTATGGTTTCTAGCAGTTGGAGTTCAGAAGGATACAGCCTTCAACTGCGGAGGCAGAGCATTTTTAACTTTTGACGCATTCACAATTTATTTTTTCAAATAAACATTTTTTAAAAGCTCAGGTTTTCCTTAGGGTGAAGTTAGATGTGACATTAAATGCATGTTTAAATTTTAACATGTATGCTTTAAAAAAATCACATAGCAAGTGGAGGGGGGGGGAGCTGATAATTGTCAGGATCTCAGCAGGCATGGAGAAGGAAGTTAAGTCCTGCTAAAATCCCTTCTCTGAAGCTGCTCTTTGCATTTAGAGGAAACACCCTGTTGACACCAATGGGATTTCAGCCTAACTAAAATGCCAGCTTCAGAAGATGATTTTTCTTCTAAAGTAGTCATTCACCAACAATTGGAACACGTTTGTATTTCCAGTTTGTGCAGTGTTAGCACCATCAGCAGAGATACTTCAAAACTGAGTGTTCAGTTTAGTGTCTTTGGATTAATGGCAGAATGCTTCAGGTTTGCGTATTCTCATTAAAACCTTATTCTTCCATCAGGAGAAACTAAAATGAATGAAGTCTACCTTATCTGGAAATTATGATGGGAATAATGCCATTTAATATTAATGAGAAGACCTATTTTTCAAACATTTGTGCTTTCCATTTGAAGCAATATTTATAGACAGCAATTTATTACCACTTGATGACTTAACAGGAAGTGAGAGAGCCAGTCATAACCACACAGCGTGTAGAAGAAACTATATATGGTAAAGCATACACTAGATAAACCCAGCAGATTTTCCTAAAAGAGTTTTTTTTTAAAAAAAAAGGTTATGTTAATGTCTATATTTACAATTGTGAAGTTAGCTGGTTTAGTGCTGTATTTCTTTTTGAAGAGGCAAATAGTTAGCAAATGTGCTCAGCACTGCAGTAAGCTGAAATAGCCAGTTTTATTCATTTACTTAATTAAAATTTAAATTATTTATACTTAGACTTTAAACTAAAAAATCAAGGCAACTTAATAGTAGAGAGACCTAAATAATAGGTTAAAAGCTTTCCCTGGTTACTTTACTTTGTTTTATTTAATTTTACCCTGGTTTTCTATAGACATCAGGGCACCTTATGCCACATATCAAAACAGCATATCGCTTAAATGCTTTTTCCCAGCATACACATGTATAAAAGCTAGTATCTAAAATGCTTTTACTGAAGATTGGCTTATGTAGCTAGAGAGAGGGGGAGGAAGAGCAACGACAAATGAGGTGTATGCATTTAAAACACTTATAGGCTGCTTTTACACAAATCCAAAGCTATTTATGGTGCAAAAACACTTTGCAGCACAAGGGAAAGAAACAGATTCCCAAATGATCTCCTACACTGAAAAGATCTTTCACAATCAATCGAAGAGCAATCTTTGTGTGTGTTTTTCTAAAGTCTATAGATTTTCATAACCATTTAAAAACCAGTTTGAAATAATCATAAATAGACGGCTTTGGTGTGTCGATGCATTTTTGAAAATATCCTTTGACACTCTTGTGTTGAGATCATGACTCAACACACCCTGCAGGGTTGTGCAGGATATAATAAGCCATGGCTGGAAAACATAAATCACAAGATTCGTTCAACATGCATTGAGAGAAAGTCAAGTCAAGTTGCCTTCAGCACCACATGAACTTCCTGCCCATTGATATTAATTAGGCAGGCAACTTTGCTGAACTGCTTTCAACACCTGCTAAAAACATTCTTGTTTAGGGAAGTCTCCCTAAATACGCAAACTTGACAAGTATTTTAGTATGTAATTGTATTTTATTATGTGTTTTTAAAAAAACTACTTTTAAATATTTTGAATTTTTAAAGAACAAATTCTGTTTGATTGTATCTGGATATTTTATGTAACCTGCTTAATGGCTTTGACTAAGCAGCATATAAATCTGGTAAAATAAAATAAAAATCAATTTCCCACTGAATGGGAAGCTCTGTACACCAGCATGCAGCCCCCATTGCTTTCACTTCACATGAGCAGGGAAACAAACCAGTAAGCCCATAGCTGACCATAGCTTCCTGTTAAGTGCAAACTGGAAACGACGGTTAATCATTTCCAAGCATGCCAGCCTAAACCAGGATGAACCACCATTATCTGTCCTGGGGGAAGAATTCCAAGAGACAGGCAAAGTCTCCACAAAGATAGTGGGACTGTCCCCTCACTATCACAGTGCTATTTTACCACCAACTGTGGGAAGGATCCTAGTTGCTTTTTTTATTTTTTAAAAAAGAAAATTACTGTTAACATTCTTGTTAACATTCTTGTTAACTAACTCACATGTTAGTTAACATTACTGTTAACTAACATGTGAGTGCCTGGAGGCGGTTGGAGGATGGATGGCGGCTAATGGATTGAAGTTGAATCCTGACAAGACAGAAGTATTGTTTTTGGGGGACAGGGGGCGGGCTGGTGTGGAGGACTCCCTGGTCCTGAATAGGGTAACTGTGCCCCTGAAGGACCAGGTGCGCAGCCTGGGAGTCATTTTGGACTCACAGCTGTCCATGGAGGCGCAGGTCAATTCTGTATCCAGGGCAGCTGTCTACCAACTCCACCTGGTACGCAGGCTGAGACCCTACCTGCCCGCGGACTGTCTCGCCAGAGTGGTGCATGCTCTAGTTATCTCCCGCTTGGACTACTGCAATGCGCTCTACGTGGGGCTACCTTTGAAGGTGACCCGGAAACTACAATTAATCCAGAATGCGGCAGCTAGACTGGTGACTGGGGGCGGCCGCCGAGACCACATAACACCGGTCTTGAAAGACCTACATTGGCTCCCAGTACGTTTCCGAGCGCACTTCAAAGTGTTGGTGTTGACCTTTAAAGCCCTAAACGGCCTCGGCCCAGTATACCTGAAGGAGCGTCTCCACCCCCATCGTTCTGCCCGTACGCTGAGGTCCAGCGCCGAGGGCCTTCTGGCAGTTCCCTCATTGCGAGAAGCAAAGCTACAGGGAACCAGGCAGAGGGCCTTCTCGGTAGTGGCGCCCACCCTGTGGAACGCCCTCCCATCAGATGTCAAAGCGATAAATAACTACCTGACATTTAGAAGACATCTTAAGGCAGCCCTGTTCAGGGAAGCTTTTAATCTGTGATATTTTACTGTATTTTTTGTTTCTATGGAAGCCGCCCAGAGTGGCTGGGGAAACCAAGCCAGATGGGCGGGGTACAAATAATAAATTATTATTATTATTATTATTATTATTATTATTATTATTATTAATTTTTAAAATGTAGTTTAGTGTTTCCTGTAAGCCACCTTTGAAGGATTTATATTCTGAAAGGTGGGGTGTAAATAATTGAGATAAAAAATGCATAAATTATATAAATCAAGGACATGCATTCTGATTATGCTAATAATTAGGGGGTTTATATTTGGCCACCCAGACCACTGGACTTATTAAACAATTTCAAAGATTTCATCAGGCATTGCCTACACAACTTTCAAGCATCTTTTTACATATAAAATATTTGGAGCATTTTTAAAAAATGATGGCTGGGATTTTCAGGAAGCTGAGTTTAGTGCACCATGCTTATGTACGGTACTTCACATCAAGTAACAGAATTCCAGCAGCTCTATGTCTTATAGATACTGGCAAACCTAAGGAAATCCCTACTGCTTAGATTGGTTTTTTTGAAGTGTATCCAGCCATCAGCAAGGGAAGAAGTTATTGCCCTTTTTATAATTGACATTTCATACATTCAGAGGTTTTCTGTCAGCATAAATGCAGAATCCATGGATAAATCTAAATCTCTAAACAGACTTTAATATACATAACCAGATGAAACTGGACTATGTGTATTTTTCCTTTACTGTATTGGCCTGAATATAAGCCTCACCTTTCCCCCAAATTCCGACCATGAAAAGTTAAATTGTGGCTTATATTCGCGACCTTACGGTATGCAAACAGCACGGGGCAAACAGCGGCAGGAGTGCGGCAAAATGGTGTCCACCCCGCGCGTAGTCCCCTGTCCTCTCCCCCAAGGTCTGGAAGGGAGAGAGCGAGGAAGGGGAAAGGCTGCCGGCAACACAGCGCGGCTCCCCCCCCCCCCCGGCAGTATGCAGCCAGGAGCAGCAAGGAATGGAGCGGCTTATATTTGGGTATTTTTTCTTCCCCCCCCCCTCCAATTTTAAAGGTGTGGCTTATATTCGGGCCAATACGGTAATTGTCTTTTCACGATTTCCAGCATTTCCTTCATGAGAACATTTTTAACTTAAAATGATAAGTGCTTGTTTGGGAATTTGTCCAGCTATCTTTAACTTGTTGTAGTTTTATGTTAAAGTAACAGAACAGCATCAACAAGCTATTATAATGTATGTGGGCGCCAACAAATTAACTTGAAGGATTTTTATTTTATCTTTCAGTTTGTGAAATGCGGATATGCAGGATCCAATTTTCCGGAACACATCTTCCCAGCTTTGGTTGGAAGACCAATTATTCGTTCAACTACCAAAGTGGGAAACATTGAAATCAAGGTACTATTAAAGAACTTAAGTCCTCTGCATGGTACTTTGGGGTGCTACCTCTCTCTTCTGGATAACTTCTTCTAATGTATTATGTGATAATCTAGTTGTTAAATCAGTGCAAATGGAAATTGAGATGTGGCTTCTTTATGGACAAAAAATACACTGATGGCGCTATTTAAGTACAGTCATACCTCGGGTTACAGATGCTTCAGGTTGTGTTTTTTTGGGTTATGGACCCGCCGAAACCCAGAACGGGCTACTTCCGGGTTTCGGCAGTCGTACATGCGCAGGAGCGCTAAATTGCGCTTTGCGCAGAAGCGCCGAATCGCAACCCGCGCTTGCGCAGACGCACCGTTGTGGGTTGCGAATGCTGTGGGTTGCGAGCGTGCATCCCGCACGGATCATGTTTGCAACCCGAGCGTCCACTGTTTTAAACTATTGTGAGTAAGTGAGCGAGCTGATAGCAATATTTTGTACAGTAGTGGTTATTGTGTCAGACTATGATTGGGGAATCCATGCTGAAACCCATTCAGCCATGAAAGATCACCTTGGACCAGTCATTTTCCTTCAGCCTAATCTGCTCACAGGAAGGGAATTTTCAGGACATTCTTGCTTCCCATTCTCGACCCTGACAGCGCAACAGATAAGCTGGGTATAATATTTATTCTGTGACATTCCAGAAGACCTTTATTCTTATTGACTCATTCTGTTGGAGTTTAAGAATATCCTTTCCTTTGAGTCATGATTGTTTGGGGATCCTGGCATTGCCCCATTTATTATGTTGAGGTATAGCAGGGGAATCAGACTAAATCAAGTACAGTGGTGCCTCGCAAGACGAAATTAATTCGTTCCGCGAGTTTTGTCGTCTTGCGATTTTTTTCGTCTTGTGAAGCACGGTGTCGGGAAAGTTTTGGAAAAGCTTCAAAAATCACCAAAGTCTTTAAAAACCTCAAAAAAGGCTACCACACCGCGTTCTATGAGTTGCTCCTCGAAGTCAAGTCGCAACTGTATTAACGGTGTTAAGAAAAAGGAAACAAACTTGCAAGATGCTTCCATCTTGTGAAGCAAGCCCATAGGGAAAATCGTCTTGCGAAGCAGCTCAAAAAACAAAAAAGCCTTTTGTCTAGCGAGTTTTTTGTCTTGCGAGGCATTCGTCTTGCGAGGTACCACTGTATGTGGAGAGTAGCAGGCAGAGAGCCTGCTAAAGTGAGATTTGCTTAAGATATAACATGGGTTGATATCAGTAGAGAGTTGTGTATTGATTTGTTCACTTAGGTTATGGCCCAAATTGCCCTCCTCAACCAACTGCATAACCACAAGGAAAGATGGTGGAATTGGAGAGATCAGACAAGCTGGCCTCAGAATGTTTTAGTAAAACCAAATCATGGGGGCGGGGAAGAGCTTTCTAAAAGCAAAGGGGGTGATTACAAACAGGCAGTACCACCTTGTATCCATGTTCATGCAATATAACTGGAGCACTGTCAGTCACCTGCATTTTAGTGGAGTAGTTATAACTTGCGTTATATGACAGCAGTTCCATTTCCTTGCCTTTCACTGTCTAGGATCATGTGTAGTTTTCCCATCTGCTACTCCATTCTGTGTCTAGGCTCATGTTCATTCTTCTTTTCTGGCCAACTTACAACATCTCAGATAGCGTAACAAACAGTTCTGTTTTCTCCTCCTCACGATGCCCAAACAGATAAACAGCTTAGAAGAAGAGAACACACCAAGCATGGGCAGGGGGGGCAAAGATGTTCAAAGTCTGCACCTACTTTCAAACTATAACAGTGATCGGCTAGCACGACTTTAGAGAAACCTTGGCTTTTACTATGAGTATTAATACTATCAAGAGTTAAACATTATATTAGCACTGCCAACTTTAGAGGTCCCACAAGAATTTTCTGTAGCCAAATAGCACAAATACTTAGCAGGCATTAGGAAGAGAAGAACGATGGCCATCCTACTTGACTAGATTCTGCTTTGTTACTGCTTTGGATTAAGACCTCATTCTACTCAATAGGCAATTCAGTTATTCATGTCCAATCTTGAAGGCAAGGGGAAGATGATTCACCTTTGGGAAAGGGTGGTAGTTGAGTGGTAGATTGTCTGGTTTGCCTGCAGAAGGACCCAGGTTCAGTCCCCAGCATCTCCAGGTAGAACTATGACTGTCCCCTGCCTAAAACCATGAAAAGTTGTTGCCAGGCAGTCTAGACAATGCAGAGCTAAATGGGCCAACGTTCCATCTATAAGGCAAATTCATGTGTTCCTGTAATCTGAAAAACACATCCGTGCAAGGCTGAAGAAAACTTGAAGGATGAGATAGCTCTTCTCACCTGGTGTAACCCAGCTCTGGCCACCAAAATCCATCTTTAATAAGTTTCACAGTGCTCATAGATGCCCAGGCTTGCATGTTAATGGGAGCAGCCTCCACATCTGTGTGATTTTCACTTGGCTAATGAGTGGTATTACAAAGAAAGTGTGCTTTGGGAGAGGATTGCTCTAGGCCCACATTTTTAGCTGCCTTACACAAATATGAAATGCACTGGCATTACATACTGGGCACCAGCTGAAACTTCAAAGCTGAGGTGGAGAGCCTTGGGCTCAGGGGTCAAAAGGGCCCCTCCAGACCTCTCAATCTGATCCTTGGGATTCTCCCAAGATCCTACTCTTCTCCACCTACATCCCATCTCCCTTGGCAACACCCCTTCCTAGCCATACTTTGCATCCTTCTCTGGTGTTTTTTGCCTGATGGGAACGAGTCTGTGAACTCTAATAATGGTTTTTGCTTGTTTGGATGGAGGATACAGAGGTGTGCGAATGTGTAGAAACTAGACTTCTCTATGAAGGCAACGTTTATATTCATTGCTCTGCTCTGGCCCCTGCCCACCAGTGGCATGTTGCCCCTGAAAGATTGACCTGAACAGAATGTGGGCTTGGGGCTGAAACTTTCCCCATCTAAAGGAAGCCTTGGTTATTTGGATCCTTGTGAGATCTTCATCCTTAGCAAATTGTGCTTAAGCAGGTTCTAAGAATGAGGGTTCCTGAGCACTCATTTTCTTCGTCTGAAAGCAAAAGTGGGGTGTCACATAGAAACACTCCACACCGTTTCAGTTTTTCCTGGCATATAAATAGGCAAAACAGTAAGGAGCATGATCAGATTTCTAAACTGTCTTTTCAACATACACAATGATACAGAAGTTTCCAGAATATACTTATTGGAAGCTAGATGCTAATTGCAACAACACAGCAAAGAAGAAATTGGGGGCTGCGTAATTTGATATCTGTTTTATATGCAAAATACATAATTTTCATTTAAGTGATATTCAGAAAATGGCCCACTTCACACATAATGGTAATCTACAATCAGAAATGAACTATGGCTTGTCATGAACAATCAATCATACCTGTTTCAGCTTGTGTACCTCAGAGAAACAAGCCATGAGTTTTGGGCTCCGTATTAAAGGGAAACCAGCACTTGTGGTTTGTTTTTTTGCAGAAAAACCATGACTTGAAGCCAAGGTTTGTTCTTGGTTTAGCCAAACTTCATGGTTTGTTTTTGCCACAGGCAGGCAAGGCACAGTTGAACAGTGATACCGGCACACTGCTCATTCATGCTAAGCTATGGTTTTATTTCTGACCTGGAGTTACCTTTATGGGCAAAGTAGGGCACTGAAAGAGGGTTGATTGTGAAGTGGCTACAAAAGTCAAAATTTTGCAGAAGCAGCATTAATGCATGCAAAACCCTCAACTAAACTATTAGCCCCTTTAGAGCATACTGAGGGCTGCCTGGACTGTATGTGCACATTGGGGTAGCCCTTAAAAAAAACCAACTATGAATAATTGTAGTGTTTTGGGCAGCTTAGTGGACTTAACTTTGCCAAAGATTTGATTTTTCAAAACATGATAAAACACTTAAAAAAAACCACCCCAAATTTGACCCCAGCTGTTATTGATGAAGTTCTCACAATGCTTAGTGTTCTTACATTTCAAACACCTTTGAAAGTCTCTTTGACTCCTACTGGTTTAAAGATTTGTGTAACTGCACTGTAATAAACTATAGTTGCAGTTCCTCCTTTTCTTCCCTAACCCAAACTCCCAACCAAGAAACAAGCTTCTGAAACACTGACAGCAGGAAATTGGCTCTAAGGGGATGAAAGTAGGCAGCATGGTACAGTCTGGATTTTTTTCTGGCAGAGATGGAGGTGTATCTGCTCTCCTTGGCTCTACATTGAAATATAGTAAGTAATCTAGTATACTTGAATTTAATGGCCTTCCTTGGTGACATGAGATATTGTGGGCTCCTTGTCTTAGATTAGTGACAAATAGCCATTGTATAGATATTATACTAGTACCGTATTTTTCGCTCTATAAGACGCACCAGACCACAAGACGCACCTAGTTTTTGGAGGAGGAAAACAAGAAAAAAAATATTCTGAATCTTAGAAGCCAGAACAGCAAGAGGGATCGCTGCGCAGTGAAAGCAGCAATCCCTTTTACTATTCTGGCTTCTGTGATAGCTGCGCAGCCTGCATTTGCTCCATAAGACGCACATGCATTTTCCCTTACTTTTTAGGAGGGAAAAAGTGAGTCTTATAGAGCAAAAAATACAGTACTTAAATTTTGCTTGTCTACAGAAATGCAGATTACTGCACTATAGAACAGTGAAAAGTTCTATGATTTGCTTTCGAATTAGCAATATACTTAGAGAAGTAAAGCATGCAGTGTTTAACATTTATCTGGTTGTATGTATATATTTCATCCTATTTCTTCACATTTTGAGTCAAAATGAATAACACCTTTATTATTCAATATATTTTTAGTGGTTAAAGGATAATAGTCATTTCTTGGGGGATGACAAATGCCGTCCTGCCTAGCAAAATTGCAGGCACACCAGGATACTTGTAGTGCATTATTGATGAAAATCAGAACATCAGGCATTGCATGCATGGAAATAAGCTCTTCTTGTTTCTATTTCTATTTCTGTTTGGGTTCTTTTTTTTTTGTTCTGTTTTTTAAACTTAGTAGACTTATTCTCACTTGCCCTGAAGTATGCAGAATTTGGAGCATTTCCACCTGTCCGTGCATCTGTTTTTTCTGCTTTAGTTCTGTTGTTTATACTTGAAATAATTTGAAAAAAAAAAGATTTCACTTAGGCCTCTTCTGATTCTCTTGCTTCTGCCTTTTCTTCATCTTTCTTGACCTGTTGAAGTAGAATAACAAAAAGATGGTAAGTGAGGCGTCCCTGTGCTATCATCCACTCTTTTGCTTGGTGGGACCTTGTAGCCTCTTTTTTTGGGGTGCTTTATAATTTTCATGTCCTGTCCACTTATGTTCTGAATACATAACCATTTTAATCTTTCTTCATTGCTTTCATTCAGTAGCTAGTACTTACTTAAAGCTATTGTACACATCTTGCAGATGTGACATGCCCCAATAATTGCAGCTGCCTGTAGAGGCAAGGAATCTGAAGGTCAGTATCAGTGCTAGAAACCACTTGCCTTGAGACATAACAAAAATGAGTCATCGAAAGCTACTTGCATCTTGTCTGCTATGTAGGCAAGACATATTATATGGAGAGTATTAAAACCAATAATGTCAGTTCACACATGCAAACTCGCCATTTCTTTTTTTCTGATGATTCCTCTTGCAATCCCCATGGGGAAATGCAGTGTGTCAAATGGTGGTGAACTGTTCGCACATAGAGCTATTTCTACAATCTCATTAATACAGCGGTTCCCAAAAGTGCAGATGCAGAAATCATGTCTATGAAGCGAACCTTCCTGCGATTCCCCATGCAGTCCTGCATTCTAGGGATACTCAAGGGAAAAATTAACTGGCTTGTATGTGTGAATCTACCCTTAATATGTTCTGTGTCATCGTGTTGCCATATATTTAATATTTGTTCTTCTAAATTGAATACAGGATTCTCAACATGCTTCTTCAAGATCATGTCTGAAGCATGTGCTAAAAGCTGTGATTCGTTGCTCCTCTTGTTTGATGTAGATCAAGGGTTGTCAACCTGGTCCCTACCACCCACTAGTGGGCGCTTCAGGATTCTAGGTAGGCGGTAGGGGGTTCTACGGCACAAGCTGAATCCTCCTTCCATCGGGCACTGGGGGGGGGGCAGTAAGGAAATTTTACCATCAAGAAAGATGCGTCAGTGGGTGGTAGGTATAAAATGGTTGACTACCCCTGATGTAGATTGAAAAAATAGTATTTTTAAAGTAGCGTTAATAGGACCAAGGCAGCAGTGGGGTAAAATGATATATTGAATATACTCTCTTTACCTTTCAGGCAGTTTTGCTTCTAAATTTGTTAAATGAATTATCTCCAGCAGACTATTTTAACCACAACTGGTATGAAGTTAAGAGCTATAGTAGAGGTGCAGAATTACAATTTTAAAAATCCTAAAAAGCACAGTATTAAAATCCTGCTTAGAGGAGGATTTCAGTTTGGTTTTAAAGATGCCTTTTCCACTTGCATGTAAGTTCCCCATATAACAGATATATTTAGGCTCAAATATTCCATAGTTGCTGGAGATCTGTTACTTTATTTGAAAATAAGGGACTTTACTGTTTAAATCTCCCCCTGTTTTGAAGCATGAGAAAAAATTTAACTTTGTTCCTTTTTAATATCGTGTTAGTTAGGATATTGATGGGATAGGACACAAAATAGATTAGAGGTAAACTTTTTCTATGCCTGTGTTCATTGCAAGAATGATGCCATATCACTGACTTGCAGTGCAAAGTATTTTTGGTAACTTCAGAATAGATCAGAGTTGCTTAATCATTTCAAAAATGTCTTTATAAATCAAAATTAAGTTAGGAATGAAGTTCATATGTTTGTGGAGGATAGTTTACAGACTTTGAATAAGTGGTGCACATTGCAGAAATCTTCTGACTAATATAAAACTTCTATTTTTTTCTCCTCAATCAGTGTGGAATTTGCAGTCCCTTATTTGCTTTTGCTACTTGTTCCCTATGCTTGTGCAGCACTCGTTATTCCCATTTAGTAATGTGCACAAAAACATGAAACATGCATGGAAATTTTATTCTGCTAAGCCCACCTATTATTGTGTGCAATTTCACATCACGTGACTTGTTCATATATAAATGTGTAATAAAAAGTTGAATGTATTGGTCTAGAATCTACATGTAAACTAGGCCCTTTGTCCCAAATTCCATTTGATTTTTATATACATAGCTGTTTGTAGAGTTGTGCCTACTGTGTTTCTTTCATTTTAAATACCTTGCTATGTTTTTCATTCGGACATGTAAGTATTATCCCTCTCCATTGTATTGTAAGACTGAATAATAAAAGCAGCTTCTTTTTATAGTTTTTTTAAAGAGTTGAATTCAAAAAATGGTTTTGTAAAATGTTAATTTGCCAGTTTTCATTTGTAACTTGTAGGATCTTATGGTTGGTGATGAAGCAAGTGAGCTAAGGTCCATGTTAGAAGTTAACTACCCCATGGAGAATGGCATTGTCCGGAACTGGGATGATATGAAACACCTTTGGGACTACACCTTTGGACCAGAAAAACTTAACATTGACACAAAAAACTGTAAAATACTTCTAACAGAGCCTCCTATGAATCCAACAAAGAACAGGGAGAAGATTGTGGAGGTAGGTATCTTGGAGCAGACCCTACTCTCTGTCTGAGAAAGCCCAGGTAGCAATATTCTTCAGAAGGAGTTATATTCTGTTTGGGGGCAGGGAAAACAGGTTTTATCCAGGATCATGGAGTTACCTGTGTTCAGAACCTTCTGAAATGGCAGTGGAAAGTTAGATATCCTTCAATGCTTAGGATGTTTTTCAGTGAAGTAATTTGTCCTTCGTTTCTTTACTTTCCTATGCTGGCTTATTCTTGCATGCTAAAGAGCATTTTAGGTAAAAGGACCCCTGACCATTAGGTCCAGTCGTGACCGACTCTGGGGTTGTGGCGCTCATCTCGCTTTATTGGCCGAGGGAGCTGGTGTACAGCTTCCGGGTCATGTGGCCAGCATGACTAAGCCGCTTCTGGCGAACCAGAGCAGCGCACGGAAACGCCGTTTACCTTCCTGCTGGAGCGATACCTATTTATCTACTTGCACTTTGACATGCTTTCGAACTGCTAGGTTGGCAGGAGCAGGGACCTAGCAATGGGAGCTCCCCCCGTCGCGGGGATTTGAGCCGCCAACCTTCTGATTGGCAAGTCCTAGGGTCTGTGGTTTAACCCACAGCGCCACCCATGTCCTAAAGAGCATTTTAGGCCTTGTTAAAACAAGCGGAGATGCATTTTAAATAAAAGCCCACCGTCTATTCATGTAAAAACACCAGGCAGGCCCCACAAATCACCCAGAGATGCATTTTAAATAAAAGGACACATTCTACTCATGTAAAAACACGCTGATTCCCGGATCGTCCGCGGGCTGGATTTAGTAGGCAATTGGGCCAGATCTGGCCCCCGGGCCTTAGTTTGCTTACCCATGCCCTAGATGGAGATTCTTGATCATCAGTTTATTTGTATGCCACTTTCCTATAGCAAATCCTGGCTTGGAACATCAATAAAGTTTGCATTTCAAGATAATTCAGTAACCATGAGAAAACATGAAGGAAATGCACTTTAAAAAACTAAAAAAATTAAAGATAGGAACATCATATAATGCACCGGTAGGGATAGCTATAAAGTGTTTAATAGTGTTAGATGGAAGGCCTTTCGTCACTTGTGTTCTGAAAACACTTCTAATTTAACTATTAGAAATTTAGTAGTCTGCAAAAATAGTTTTAGCAGTCTGTTAAATATTGACAATTTTTCAGCATCAAAAAGCAATTCATTTGTTCTGTGCTGCATATTAACTGAATTGAGATATGTTAAATTTATGACAACTTCTTTTTGAACTTCCAAACAACTATGAGCCATGAACTATATGATGGTCCGGGAATCAGCGTGTTTTTACATGAGTAGAATGTGTCCTTTTATTTCAAATGCATTTCTGCGTTATTTGTGGGGCCTGCCTGGTGTTTTTACATGAGTAGAATGTGTGCTTTTATTTAAAATGCATCTCTGGGTTATTTGTGGGGCATGGGAATTTGTTCTTTCCCCCCCAAAATATAGTCTAGCCCACCACATGGTCTGAGGGACGGTGGACTGGCCCACGGCTGAAAAAGGTTGCTGACCCTTCTCTAAATGTTCAGAAGATAAAATCATTTTTTGTACATTGAATTTTTAAAAGTATGGACTGCTTCTATGTTTGAGGGGTGGAGAGACTTACAGCGATCTTTTTATGACCTGTAAACCACACTTTTTTTGCAAATACAGATAATGAAGTTGCCAAATAGTGCTTTGTCAAACACTGACTTAACCTATGAAATTTACTGTGCTTTCTTCAAATAAGAGATAACTTTCATTTTCCAGGTAATGTTTGAAACCTACCAGTTTTCTGGTGTCTACGTAGCCATTCAAGCCGTTCTCACTCTGTATGCACAAGGTAAGTGTAAATACTCAATAGCAGTCAGTTGGGTGAGGCTGCACCACTCAGACTCCAGTCATTTTCTTTTTGGTGTTTACTGGAAGGAGGGCCAAGGCATTGGTACAAATGCATAATTGGGAGTACTGGATTGTCTCCTCTGGTGCATTTGAACCTAACTGCTGCTTCACCCCTCTCTCTCTACCTACTAGAAAGCAACAAAGATACAGGTGACAGGTTGGGTGAGAACTGCCACCCCACCTTGGCCGACTGCTACTGTAAATGCTACTTTGTACTTAAGATTTATTTATGTATTAGCAAAATTAGCCATCCCAGCCCTAGCTAATGGTATCTTTCTCAAACAATGTTGTTTGGAGGCCTTGTTCAAGCTTAATTGCTGTGCAAGGAGATCTTCATGGTGTGCCACGAGTGACTATGTTACATATCCGCATGACCACTGCTCCATGTGCATTTTTCTAATCTATGGGTTGTGCTGAAGAAGATTCCAGCAAAACAGTCAGATCATCCGGGATCACTGCCCTACGTTGTTATTCAATTACTACTTCGGCACAATTAACGCCTAAAAAAGTTTTACCGATTAGCCCACAGGATAGCATCTATTATGTTTTTTCAACTATAGACTTATTATACTTCCACGGACTTTCAAAGATTGACACATGTGTGTTCGTTTGATTTCAAACATATTAGAGAATTTACAAGTGTACACATTTTGTTTTTGTTGTACTAAATCATGTATATCATGCAATAAGAATTGCAGTGCTATCTAATATACTGGTGTTGCTTGTATTGTTTGTTGACGAGTGACTAGGAGGCAGCTCTGCCCACTGTGGCTTGGGCCACCCATCCCTACTTTAATTAGTAGCTAAAAAGCATAGCTAGTAGTACTTCTGTTCTCTAAAGTGCACTCTTTTCTATTGCTAATTGAGAGACTACTGCTATCTCATAATTAGGGCAGAGAGAACACTATGACATGTATTAGTCTGAACTGCATGTTGCTTTACTCTTGGGTCAAGTTAATAATTTTTTATGGAAGCAAGCTACTTCATGTATTGATTGAAAAGGCTCAAAAGCCTATTCAACTGGCCGCTTCATTTACTGAGACTAGAGGAAGACAGCTTGACTTTTGGAGCCTGAAGAAAATAAAACTTGTATCCAAATACAAATGGAACCATGATGCATGCTTGATGAAAGTTGTTCAAGCCAGATGATGATTATAATGAGCTTGCATTGTAAAGTATATGAAAAAACGACTATTATCAGCAACATGCTCAGCTACTAAAATATATATTTCCATTCTCCATGTGTGCAGGACCATCCTTCATACATGGAGAATGACAGTATATATTTTTCGTGGCTCAGTATGTTAGGTTACACGTTTGAAATGCTAGCTGGTATTTTCCACTATGATGCCTTTGTTTCCTTGAAGGAAATAAGCAAAAGCAATCTGCATCAGGCCTATAAAAGAAAGGAAGACTGCGTAAAAAACGACACTAGGAATGTGCCCAAATGTCTTCTTTAATAGTTTGAATAATAATTATTTCTACGCTGTAGTGTGAAAGCCCTAAAATGTTATAGTAGCATGCTTTTCATCTTGAGGCAGAATGACACTAGCCATTCTTGATATCTTCATATGGTGGGATATAAATATAATAACACAACTGAATTTAACTTACTTTTTGCTCAATGTGGACACTGTACCATGATGTTAGTTTCACAGGCTTCAGGAATAAGCCATTCAAGAAGTGGCAGTCCCAGTCCCTAATCTAGATAACTCTTCCAGGATTATACTTTCATTGTCTGTGTCACAAGCCACGGAGAGATTTGGGAGAATCTGTAGGCTCATGCTTTCCTCTGACCTTCTCCCAGCATACAGACCAAGGCTAGTTTTGTTTCCTAGACTTAAAACCAGGATCCATATTGACATGCTCTCATGTGCTTTGCCATTATTCTTGTTCAGGTTTACTTACTGGTGTTGTTGTGGATTCTGGAGATGGTGTTACTCATATTTGTCCAGTCTATGAAGGCTTCTCTCTTCCTCATCTCACGAGAAGACTAGATATTGCTGGTAGAGATATTACCAGATACCTCATCAAGGTAAGCTAGTGGTGTTGAATCTGAGCAGAATGCATGTTGTTGTTGTTGTTGTTGTTGTCGTCGTTATTCTTATTCTTATTCTTATTCTTATTATTTCCAAGAAAAAAGAAAACTTTCCACATATACACTCCAATACACAATATACATTTTCCATGATGATTTTGTTTTCTGCCCTTTGTTGCACCCTGTCTATCTCTTATGTCATAACAGTATTACAGTAAGTCCTAATTCTTTGTTGCTCATACTTAAAATCCTACTTGCGAATTCATCAAACTATAATATTTATTTAAATAGTCCCAAAAAGGCTTCCATTATTCCACAAAACGGTCATCAATTAATTTTAGCTGTTAACTTTGCCATTTCTGCGTAGTCCATCACCTTATCCATCCATATTTCTTTTGTGGAAATTTCTTCTTCCTTCCATTTTTGAGCATATAAAATACCTGCTTCTGTCGTAACGTACATAAACAATTTAATCATTTTTTTAAAACTTCTGTCCCTATAATCCCTAAAAGGAAAGCTTTAGGGTGTTTTTTATTGTACAGTGGTGCCTCGCAAGACGAAATTAATCCGTTCCGCGAGAGTCTTCGTCTAGCGGTTTTTTCGTCTTGCGAAGCAAGCCCATTGACGGATTAGCGCTATTAGCGCTATTAGCGGTTTAGCGGCTATTAAAGGCTTAAAGGCTTAGGGGATTAGCTGCTAAAAGGCTATTAAAGGCTATTAAAGGCTTAGCAGATTAGATAAAGGGGGAAGCGGAAAAAATCTCAAGACTCGCAAGGTATTTTCGTCTTGCGAAGCAAGCCCATAGGGGAATTCGTCCTGCGAAGCAACTTCAAAACGGAAAACCCTTTCGTCTAGCGGTTTTTCCGTCTTGCGAGGCATTCGTCTTGCGGGGCACCACTGTATAATCACTTGAAACATATTTTTTATCTCATCATATATCATCCTCTAAAACATCCTTACTTTCCTACAATTCCATCATATGGGAAAAAGGATCCTCCTGCTTGTTTACATTTCCAACAGTTCTTAGGAACTTTCTTATACATTTTAGCCAATTTACTAAGTGTTCTATACCATCTATACATCATTTTCATATCATTTTCTTTTATAACATAACAAGCAGTAAATTTCAAATTTGTTTTCCATAACTTTCCCCAGACATTTATTTCTATATTATGTGCTAGATCCTTGGAACATTACTGATTTAACTGTTTCATTCTTCATCTCCCATTTCAATAATAGATCATACATTTTTGACACCTGGGAATTTCAGTCTGGGTTATCCCCGACAAAAAGGACTCTGTTGTTTTTGGGAAAGTTATACTTAAACGTGTTTTTCAATTCATTATAAATCATTTCCCAGTACCCTTTTACGTTTTCACGTGTCCATAGCAAACTAAATTGCTGGACCTGAAAACTCAGTTCCCTTAACCTATGTAATTTGATTATTTTCTTAAAAGTCATGCTTTTATCAGCTTGTCTTTCAGAAGCCTGCTTATTTTAAAAAGCTATACAGTAAGCCTGCAACTTACACGCATTTAATTTGTGTGCATTCAGCTTTACATGTGTGGCAATTTTTTTTAAGGGGTGGGGGCGGGGTTCCAGGGAAAATGACTTTGGCAGTCCCGACCATCATTGAACCCAATGGGGTTTGATTAGATGCAATTTTGGCTTTAGGCACAATTCTTGGAACGTAACTCCCACGCAAGTTGTGGGCTTACACTATGTAGAAGGGAGAGCACTTTTCAGATTTGCCACTAATTAACTTACTTTCATGCCAGCTGCTTTTACTACGAGGATATGCCTTCAACCATTCCGCTGATTTTGAGACTGTTCGTATGATTAAAGAAAAGCTGTGCTATGTGGGCTACAACATTGAACAGGAGCAGAAACTGGCCTTGGAAACTACTGTGCTAGTTGAGTCCTACACGGTGAGTATGTCACAGGCTTAAGCTACCACACTTAGGCACTACTTCAAATGCTGATTTGAGTGAAGCCTCTTCTTCGAAAGCAAGGGTAGCCAACTCTCAAGTGACTGTGTTCTACTTTCAGAATTAAAAACGGGCAGTGATCTATCCCCGTTTTTGGGGAGTTCAGCTCAAAGTTGTTGAGGAATAGAAAAGCGCCGTTTTTATAGGAGTTTTTTTTAAAAAAGCTTTTTGAGGGGCAACTTCTGTTTTTTTTGGGGGGGGGTAAAGGCAAGGGACAAAGGAGTGAAGTCACTCACAGGCACAGGTCAAATCCGTGTCCAGGGCAGCTGTTTACCAGCTCCATCTGGTACGCAGGCTGAGACCCTATCTGCCTGTGGAATGCCTTTCCAGAGTGGTGCATGCTCTGGTTATCTCCCGCTTGGACTACTGCAATGCGCGCTACGTGGGGCTACCTTTGAAGGTGACCCGGAAACTACAACTAATCCAGAATGCGGCAGCCAGACTGGTGACTGGGAGCGGCAGCTGAGACCATATAACACCGGTCTTGAAAGACCTACATTGGTTCCCAATACGTTTCTGAGCACAATTCGAAGTGTTGGTGCTGACCTTTAAAGCCCTAAACGGCCTCGGTCCAGTATATCTGAAGGAGCTTCTCCCCCCCATCGTTCTACCCGGACACTGAGGTCCAGCACCGAGGGCCTTCTGGCGGTTCCCTCACTGCGAGAAGCCAAGTTACAGGGAACCAGGCAGAGGGCCTTCTAGGTAGTGGTGCCCTCCCTGTGGAATGCCCTCCCACCAGATGTCAAAGAGAACAACACCTACCAGACTTTTAGAAGACATCTGAAGGCAGCCCTGTTTAGGGAAGCTTTTAATGTTTGATGTATTACAGTATTTTAATATTTTTTTGGAAGCCGCCCAGAGTGGCTGGGGAAGCCCAGCCAGATGTGCGGGGTATAAATAATATATAATCATCATCATCATCATCATCATCATCTCTATGGATGAAAACAGCAGCACAGAGAAAGCTCCGTCTTCCCTTCCAGAGATCGTACAACGATGGAGGGCGGGGCGAGGGGGCAGGGCAGGAGTCAGTTTTAGCGACACTAAGGAAAGGGAGCCGGAGATCGACCGTGATCTACCAAAACCTCACGGGGATCTTCCAGTAGATCGCGATTGACCTGTTGGACATCCCTGTTCTAAAGTGTTCATTGTTCAAATGGGCTGCCTTGTTCCAAATTCTGTTGAAAACATGTTCCTTAAGGCTTAATAAAAGCTGATGTGTCATCTGAAGACATTACCACTTGGTGTGCCATTTGCCTATCACTGTCTGTCTAACTCATGTCTTTTATGCTCCTAACTACCTTAGACATACAATTTAACCACTTTCTTGGAAAGAGCAGGAAGCAAATGCTTCCAGTTAATGGTCACCTGCCTCTGTTTTTGCCTCGTTTTGTCTCAGCTACCTTGTTGGGGTTGTGTTTTGTTGTTTTTTAAACTGTTGTAAGACACCTTGGAGGATTTGTCGACAGGCGTGATGTAATTTTAAAATGATATCATTTAAAATTAAGAGCTGGAAGAGAGAGAAGATTGGAGTGTTATTTTGCCAGGAGACGCAATACTGGGTCATGATAACAGCCTGTCTTGCATCAGCTGTGCTTTCTGGTCAGAAGTCAGAGAAAAAGCCACACAACAACTGCTATGGTGGCTGTAAGCGAGGCTTTAAAGAGCTGTCAGACTCCTGGAATAAAACCACCTTTTACATGTGTTTGTGGGAGGGGGACTAATTGTTTTGTTTTTGTTCTAACTATTTATTAGTGCTTTTATATTGTGCTTTTATATTGTCTTTTTCTCTTGTAAACCTCCCTGAGAGCTTCAGAGAAGGGTGGTATATACATTTAATAATAAGAATTAGAATTAGAATTCAAGTGGAGAGAGAGCCCAAACTACAAGTGCATCAAAATGAGATTTGGTAACTTTCCTCCCATCACACATTTGGACCAACTTGGGACTGCTAGAGGGGATTCCAGTGATTTATCTGAACACTGTCAGTATTTTTTTTTTAAAAAAAACTTTTATTAGTTGTAATTTAACAGTAATTTTATCAGTAACATCAGACGTTCTGTTCCATAGCTTCCAGACGGCAGAATTATTAAGGTTGGTGGCGAACGGTTTGAGGCGCCAGAAGCTCTGTTCCAGCCTCACTTGATCAATGTGGAGGGAGTTGGTGTCGCTGAACTGCTGTTCAATACCATCCAAGCCGCTGATATTGACACCAGGTAGGACCAGGAAAAACTAGCGCACTCAAATCTGTGTGAAGGTAGAAGATGGGACGGGCAGTTTCCCGATGTTGCATGGATGTTGTGTTTAAAGAGATGAGTATATGAAAATACAATTAAGATTCAAAGACTAGGCAGAAATGGCTACCAATCATCTGTACAGCATTTACTACTCCTGTCTTGCTGCAGAAAGACAATCCTCAATGGGAATGTTTAAGGGACAATTACTGCATCTTTAATGTTGGTTTCTGTTCCCCTTTTTGGAAGTGAAAACATGTCTTTCACACTGGTGTCGCTGCAGTCACGCTCATTGTTTACAGAAGTGTGTTTCATCTTTAGGTCTGAGTTCTATAAGCACATTGTGTTATCTGGAGGTTCCACGATGTACCCAGGGCTGCCTTCACGACTGGAACGTGAACTTAAACAGCTTTACCTAGAACGGGTCCTGAAAGGTGATGTGGAGAAACTTTCAGTAAGTAGCCTTCAAATAAATCCTAAATTATATACAGGACCGTCACTAGAGGGAGCAAGGTGGTCAAAAATAGCGTGGGACTGTCGATTGAGTTTATAAACTTTGAATAAACAACTGCATGTTGAGATTACAGTTGTTTGTGAAATTGCTTTAAGCTGTTCAGCGTCTTGGATTGTACTTAAGTACACTGTGACTAACTTTCTAGAGTTCTCTCTAGAATGGCATCTCAGTAGAGAAGTGGTATCCAAACTTTTTTCAAAGAGGGCCAGATTTGATGAAGTGAAGGGCCGTGAGGGCCGACCCAAGTTGTTAACCTTTTTTAGGATTGAAGTTGTTGAGCTTCTTTTAGGGTTGAAGTTGTTGAGGTTTTTTTAAGGATTTTACCCCAGGAAATAAACTGCCACAGGGGCCGGATTAAACTGACCAGCGGGCTGGATTAGGCCCCCGAAACAGAACTTGGCCATGCCTGCAGTAGAGGAACTGCTAAGTTGGAACAATGAGGAGAAACTGGTTTTGCTTTGTGTTGTTGTGCATTTCATTACATACAGTAGAAGTTTAGTTTCCTGAAGCTCTTAGGTGGTCTTCATCCTTCATAAAACAATTATTTAACCCAGGATGGCCAGGGTGCATGTTGTATACAGTCCCCTGAAGGAATTTCTGGCAGCTCCTGAAGCTTCCCAACAGTGATCTTAAAACAAGAGAAAATTTTAAAATCCCCCAGCAGGCGGCATGGACCCAGTATTGTGCTGGTCATACTGGACAGATTTCAGCCTCTCCACTGGTCCCCTAAGGTGCCTCTTTTTACCATTGCAGAGGGGCACCTTCTCCCTTGGGTGCAGTGTTCTTGTTAGAAGTTCTCAGAGAGGCTTAGCAAATGGGAAGAAGCACTGCTTCCTTGTTCCTCTTTAAGAACATCTGACAATGGCACCAGCTGAGAGCATGTATGTGTTTATATGAATGTGCACACATACTGGAATGTGGCCCTTGGAGGGTGGCATACCTTTAATGTGGCCCTTGAGCAGAGAAAGATTAGCCACCTCTGCTTTGACCTATCCACATCAGTGGCGTAGATTAGAAAATGTTCCAGTGCTCAATCTTTCTGCAGGAAAACTTCCGTTTCATGTGTTTGTTGGTACCAATGAATGGCTACTGATTCAATTTTATTTTGCAGTCTTGGCAGTTTCAAAGTTTCTAGCTTGGTTTACTGAAAATAAGTAAAATAAACCTGCTAAATTAGATCACTCTGTGATGTGAAATATTTGACCCTCTGGAAATTGCTGGGCTTTTGTTCAGGTTTCCAGAAATACCAAACACCACTGTGTTCTCAAAATTACATGTGATCTGACTTCACATTTGTGAGATCAACCTTGATTTCTTTCTTACTAGCATCAGTTAATTTTCTATATTATAAAGCTACCTGCTTTATGGGATGACTTTGTAACAGGTTAGATTTAAATGTGAATGGATTAATCACGGCATTGGTTGGGCAGCATATTTTTACAGCACAATTTTTAATACAAGTGTTTATACAAAATGTAGGTGACATAGGAGGAATGCCTTATAAATTGTGTGCATCTAAATGTATCAAAAATATTCTTGCTTCACAGACATTGTGTATATGCAGGTTAATTGACTTAATTTGTGCACACTGGGTTGCAACTCTACAGTATGTCATATACAGAGCTTCCAAAATACAGTGCCTTACCAATTACAGAACTTAAAAAAGCCTATATATTAACATTTTTTATATTCTAATATTTACATAATACTTCGGTTAATTTTGTGGCTTAATACGTATATAATTAGACATCTGCATTATACTCCGCTTGCATATTGGATAAGGTCATTGATTATAAACTAGTCTCTTAGTATCTCTGTCCACAACTACTTTTGCGATTGTTCTGGATCAGAACATAAGGAAAAAGTTTCTGAGCAGAGAATACAAGGCATGCTATGTTTTGCTGGTGCCCTTGAGTCCAGTTCTACAGGGAGCCAAACCCAAAGCTGGGGGAATAGATTGGAGGTCTAACCTGTGCTATAACGCTTCAGGGAAATAAGGCAAAATGTAGAATGCTCCCCTATCTTGCCAAATGCATCCACATAAAGATAGTTTACAGATTCTCCTGCTATCTAAACCTGATTTTTTATAATATATGTATATATCAGGGTTGTTTTTTTTATGTAATAGGCTACAAGTTCAGATAAATCCATTAGAAAAAGACAAAATTGGAACTACAGTTCAGTTTCTAATTTGCAATCTTTCCCATAATCTCCCAAGCTATAGCTGTTTTATACATGGTGTCTACTATTATTCCAGTACTGTAGTCATTGACCATCCAGAGAGAAAGAGCTGTTTGAATGCCAGTTCTGCCATTCTTAACAGGTTTTACAGCTTTGCTCCATAACCTCTAGTAATGCTGCTTTATCATCTTTTCCCATTAAGAAATTTAAGATTCGTATTGAAGATCCACCTCGTCGAAAGCACATGGTATTCCTTGGTGGTGCGGTTCTAGCAGACATCATGAAAGACAAAGATAACTTCTGGATGACCAGACAAGAATACCAGGAGAAGGGAGTACGTGTGCTTGAGAAACTTGGTGTGACGGTTAGATAAACTCTGGAGCTTGCTCCCATCGCAGCTCCAATGCTCGCATTCCTTTATTGCCAATCTTTGAACTCATTCAGCTATGTGACACGGAAAGGCCTGTCTCTGCCCTTTGACCCAAGGGCTAGGTTTTGTTCTGGTTCCTTTGTTAGATATTTTAAATGTGGCTATATTTGACTACTTAATTGGACCACTTCTCAGCAAACAAAACAAGGGCACGAATAGCCTGTCTGTCACATCGTTCCTTCCCAGTAGGCAGTTGGGTAATTCCAGTAGCTTTTTCTTGGGTTATTGCTATAATGCTGTTGGCATTTGTCTGTAGCTCATCATGGATGGAACCTTTTTTTAGCACGAGAGAACCTTTGGACAAACAGCTCTTTACTATCATGTGGTTGTAGTGATTTATCTTTGCATCTTTTTGCCTTTATCCCATGCTGTTCAGTGTCTTTATATTGTAAGAACTCTGAAATCAGTGTCTTTATATCTTGCTTATGATCTCTTAAATTGGATCAAATGGCAAACATTTTTTTATTCCCCGGAATATTTTGGGGTCTGAAATTGTTTCACGTGAAAATTGATTATGTATCCTTAATCAGATGGCAGAGTTATGAGGAAACTAAAATAGAAATTTGCCTGTCTGTTGTCGCAAATTAATTATCTTAACTGCCTGCACTTCTCTCTCTCAAATGTATATTTCTAGCTTAATGATTTGGCACTAGGTAGTTTTTTTCTCCTATGGAATGCATACAGAGCTTCTTGCATTTTTTTCCCTTTCTTTTTTTTGGTACTGTGATACCATCTTTTATTATCATTGGGGCTTAAAGACTTTTTTTTTTAATGGGTAACATTAGAATGTCATCTGGGACTGGATTCCTGGATATAATCTATTGAAAGTAGTATGTTTAAAAAAAAACCTGAACTTTATTTACTGGTACAAAATTAGAGAAAAACAGAATTGTATTAAATTTGAACACACAGTAACACAGTGCCAAGTAATTATTGCTTTTTTTAAAATTAAAAAAAAATATAATTGTTAAATGTTATTTAAAATCACCCACATATTTATATATGGAACTGTGAGGTAGGTTGTGAGGAATGACCTATATTTGTAGCGGTTAAAAAACCCCACATTGGAATATTGGCATTGTAGTAAACTGGTAAATACTCAAAATTTACCTGTCTAATCTTGACTCTGGGATAAAAGGAAATAAAATAAGTATTTGAAATACTGTTTCATTAAAGTCGAATGTACCACTGAAGAAAGGTATAGTGATTATTGACACCCTTCGAAGTAACATCCACCAGGAATGGCGGAAGACGAAAGCTGCTTTCTCACCAGAGCATTCTTGGTAATTTGTGGTGTTCCATACATGTGCATAAAAAGGAAAGCCTGTCAAAAAGATGGGTGAAGCAGCTTCAGACAGAAAGAAGTACAACACACACAGGGCAACTGTTCCATGTGAATAAGGGTGCCCTCTAATTTCTGTTAATATTTTCTCTTTTTGTGTGTGCCTTAAGCATACCTGTTGAAAGCAAGTGCTAATGTGTGCAGTGCCTCACACAAGATGGGTTCGGCTTCAGCTAGTAGTAGCATGTACATTGTGAGTGCCTTTTGCTGGTTCCAACTCTCTGCTTTTCATTCCTCCTTGGTTTGTGAGCTTTTACTCTACCTTTTCCCCCTAGGTGAAAATCCCAAACAGGAACACAAACTACAGGGTTAACCCTTGTTTTCTACTATGAGAAGCACTGAAATATGGTAAAATAAACTAGATAACCGGTATCTAAGTACATAAGATCTACAAATGCCAACTTTGACAAGTGGCTGGCAACAAACACTGACTCAGAATTGTCAGCCTTTTACTGTGTGGGATAATATGGTGTGGGTGTTCTTGCAATAATGTGTGCTGTTGAACCTCAGCATAATTTTTAGAGTTTGAGGGTAAGTTCACTCCAACATAACAGCCCCCCCCAAAAAAAATTTCAGAAGAGAGAGAAAGAAGTTAAAAGGCATGAATATATATAAAACGATGAAAAAGTACAACAGTTTCACAGAGTAGTTGCTAAGATGTTGAGCAGTACTCATCTTAAATGTTTAGGGAGTTAAGAGACTAAAACTCAATATCAAGAGCACCCGCTATTTTTTGGTTACTGATGCTATCACAGAATGAGGCATATTTTTCCAACCATAAAGCTATATAGACAGTTCGAAGGCATCACATTCAGATTTTTTTAAAAAACCCCAAACCTTTTCCTGATGATGATGATGATGATATTTGTATTCTGCCCATCTGTCTTGGTTGCCCCAGCCATTCTGGCTGCTTCCAACTGAGCATTAAAAACACAGGAAAACATCAAAACATTAAAAACTTCCCTAAATTGTTTAAATGCTTTAAACAATTAAAATGGAAAAGAAATAGTTCTGCACTCATGAGAAAGGAAGTAAATAAATTCAAATGTTTTATATAACAAAACTGCTTTACATGAAAAAACTCACTGTCAATTATTCAGCTGAACTGAAGGCTATGTATTAAAAAATAGAGTTGGATGCCTCTTACTTAAATTAATTACCTCTGTGCTGGATTGTGGCCATACAAGAATTCAAAGTGCAAGCAGTTTGCAAGATGATAATACAAACTCTTAAATTTTTTACAGGATCTGTAAAATGTGAGTAACGCTACTTGCATGGAAGTTCTTTTTCTGTGGACTCCTAGCAAGCTCCAGACTAAGGAGTTTAGCTAGTCATTTGCAGTGTTGCCAAGATAAGAGAGAGCTTAAAATGACAGACCAAATTGTCTTGATTTATGACACCAAATAACCTCAAGAAGCTTGGCTGATTTCAGTTGATTCATCTATTTCTGTAGCATGAGGGTGAAAAATCTATTGCAGTAGAGATGGAGGAAATTACTTCTGACTCTAGAGACTGTGGGAAATAGGAATCCTTGCATGTAGAATAAGGCAAATTTATGTAGCAGTGAATTAAATGCTGTAGAGCCTGGGAAACTATAAAGAGAGCTGGAGAAAAAATTAAAACAAGTAATGAACATTGCATAAACTAATAGCAAGAGATGAAATTTAAAGCTATTACTCATTACGTGTACAAAAAACATAAGGGATGCAAACTATAAGATACCTGGACGTTTTAGCACTTCCTGTCCAGAAAAGCTTAAATTTTAGTTCAAAATGGAAATGCATCATTTCGTCTAGGAAATGTAGAAATTAGATACTCCATTTTGAATAGCATACTTAGTACTACTACTGTTTGGTTCTGAAAATGTGTAAGGTACGCCAACATTCAGATCAGCTGCTTGAGGGAAGCAATTTTTGCCTTCATGTGTTGAACACATAACGCTGTGTTCACACATAACGCTAAACTATAGCTTAAAAACGCATGGACAAGCGTCTTCTGTTGTGTGCTTTCTCCCTCCACTCAATCCCTTTTCAAATAACTGCAAGTACATCTTAAAACTACGAACTCTGCTTAGTAGTTGCTTGCTTCTCTAAACCATAGTGAACATCAAGCCGTGGTTAACAATCCTCACTTGTTTTGCTAAAATGTTCTTCAAGAAGCCGCAGTTAGTTGAAAGCTTCAACTACCCATTTTATTGGCGGAGGATCAGGAAGCATATGACGTTATGATTCCTTCCCATAGCACTAAACTATACTTTAACATTGTGTCCAAACACAGCCTCTACATTGCCTCATGCACTTTGATAATAATAATAATTAATAATAATATCTTATATCTTATTTATACCCCGCTCAGAGCCAGGCTCAGGGTGGCTAACACCAGTAAAAGTACAATAAAAACATCGGGGGGGGGGGGACAATTTAAAATACAGGTTAAAATGCAGCCTCATTTTAAAAGAAGCCCATAGATCAAAACCATAAGGGGAGGGAAACGTAAGGGTCAGACTGAGTCCAAACCAAAGGCCAGGCGGAACAGCTCTGTCTTGCAGGCCCTGTGGAAAGATGTCAAGTCCCGCAGGGCCCTAGTCTCTTGTGACAGAGCGTTCCAACAAGTCGGGGCCAGTACTGGAAAAGCCCTGGCTGTAGTTGAGACCAATCTAACCACCTTGCGACCTGGGACCTCCAAAATGTTGTCATTTGTGGACCTTAAGGTCCTCCGTGGGGCATACCCAGAGAGGCGGTCCCATAGGTACATGGGTCCTAGGCCGCATAGGGTTTTAAAGGTCAAAACCAGCACCTTGAACCTGATCCTGTACTCCACCGGGAGCCAGTGCAGCTGGTAAAGCACTGGATGAATGTGATCCAGGACCCCATAAGGAGCCTCGCCGCAGCATTCTGCACCCACTATATCTAATACAGGCATGGCCAAACTTGGCCCTCCAACTGTTATGGGACTACAACTCCCATCATCCCTAGCTAACAGGACCAGTGGTCAGGGATGATGGGAATTGTAGTCCCAAAACAGCTGGAGGGCCAAGTTTGGCCATGCCTGATCTAAAAGGTTCATTCACTGTAGAGAATGGTATGGTTAAATTTCTCCCATGTATTTATTTCTTTTATGATACCCTACTTTTCCCCATGCAGAATCCAATGCAGCTCACAGCATAAACCAAAACAGATACAACTAAAACCACACAAATATAAATATGCACAGAACATGCCCCTCTGCCTGCACCTGGCTAAGAAGAAATGACAAGCCTTAATTAAATTTTAGAGTATCAGTATCAGCAGTGTTGGGAAGATTATAGGTGAATAGGGACACTTTGCATATATGGGAATGATACCTTGAAATAATATGCAACGTAAGGGGAAAATTCAAACTGTTAATCTACTACTAGAAGCAACTGTGCTTTAGTGGAATCTCTCCAAACGGATCTGTAATTCAGGAAAAGTGCCAGTAACATCTTTCCCTGGTAGAATAATGTATTACAATGTATAGGAAAAGGAGTGAGTTTCATCTCCTGCAGCCTAGAGGCACAAATGGAAAAAGCAGCTCTGGCAGACAACTTCACGGCATCTCAGCTGCTGTGTTCTTACGCATCTGAATGTTACATTGAACCTGATTATTTTTTCCTTTACGTGCTATTGTTAATTGGGATAAACAGCATTTAAAAATTACATTAGACTGGAGGAGGTTAAACCTTTGTCTACTTCATGTTCTGGGCTCTCATTACCACTTGGCTGGTGTTTGCTTACAAATTTTAAAAGATTTCTAAACTTGCTACCTGACTACATCCTTTGGGACAGGGACTTATATTGGACTCTCTTGTTTTCCTTCTGAAAGTGACACCCTAGAAGTGACTTTCAAGGAAACTAACAGCAGATACATTGAAAAATGTGAATATACTTGAGGGGTCAGCAAACTTTTTCAGCAGGGGGCCGGTCCACTGTCCCTCAGACTTGGGGGGCGGGGGCGGCGGACTATATTTTGGGAAAAAAATATGAATGAATTCCTATGCCCCACAAATAACCCAGAGATGCATTTTAAATTAAAGGACACATTCTACTCATGTAAAAACATGCTGATTCGCGGACCGTTCGTGGGCCGGATTTAGAAGGCTATTAGGCCGGATCTGGCCCCCGGGCCTTAGGTTGCCTTACCCATGCTTTAGGGTTTTTTTAAAACCAAAATGAGTAGAAGGTTATCACAAAAGTGAGCCTTACAGAAGCTAGAAAAGACATAGGAATACAGTGGTGCCTCGCAAGACGAAATTAATTCGTTCCGCGACTTTTTTCGTCTAGCGAATTTTTCGTCTTGCGAATCACGAATTCCCATAGGAATGCATTGAAAATCAATTAATGCGTTCCTATGGTCAAAAAAAGTCCAAACAAAGCCAAATTTGGTATAACAACCTCCCCAACTGTTGCAAACCCCTCCCCAACTGTTCCCCCAGTCACCCAGCACACAGAAATTCAAATCCAGAAATTTTTTTAAAAAACAGCAGAGTGGCCCAGTGGTCACAGAAAATCATAAAAATGCAGGGAAAAAACCACACAAGCTTCCAGATTCTTGCAAACCCCTCCCCAACTGTTCCCCCAGCCACCCAGCACACAGAAATTCAAATCCAGAATTTTTTTTAAAAAACAGCAGAGTGGCCCAATGGTCACAGAAAATCATAAAAAATGCAGAAAAAAGACACACAAGCTTCCAGATTCTTGCAAACCCCTCCCCAACACCAAGTCCTTGAATTCCAAACACCCCAACCCAAAATCCAAAAACCCCCCAAAAAGTTTTAAAAGCTTAACTTGGCTGCAAAAGAAGTTTTGGAAAAGCTTCAAAAATCACCAAAGTCTTTAAAAACCTCAAAAAAAGGCTACTATGTACACTGCGTTCTATGAGTTGCTCCTTGAAGTCAAGTCGCAACTGTATTAACAGTGTTAAGAAAAAGGAAACAAACTTGCAAGACGTTTTCGTCTTGCGAAGCAAGCCCATAGGGAAATTCGTCTTGCGAAGCAGCTCAAAAACGGAAAACCCTTTCGTCTAGCGAGTTTTCCGTCTTGCAAGGCATTCGTCTTGCGGGGCACCACTGTACTTGGGGCCTTTTAAATGAACATTAATTATTCTTCATACTCTTTTTGATTGCCCAATACAAAATGTAGTTTGCAGAAGACTTAACAAGCAGAATAAAGAAGATGGAGTTAAAAACAGCAGTCACCAATATGTAACTAAAACAACAACCTCAAATCACATCAACAAAATCCATAAAAAAGCATTACTATATAGGAGCCAGGATAACCCATCAATTCACTGAATGCCTGGGAAAAGAGGAAGGTCTTAACCTATTGAAAAGTCGTTGCCCGTTGGGTCTTACTGGAAAGAAAACTTACCTGGGTGTCTGTGATGGACAGCAGAGCCAGACCACAGTCTGGTGATGCAATGCCCCAGAATTCCACCAGAATGCTGGAGCCTCTCTCTGATTGGCTACCAAATCAGCTAGCCAGAGGGGGTGGAGCCAGCACTTTGGGAGGGAGTATAAAAGGAGCCGTTTCCGAGGGGGAGAGAGACAGGGACAGAGATAGGGCTTGATCTGAGATGGAAGGT